GAAGACGAAAAAACACCCCATCCACCCCATCCACCCCCAATCTTGTCTCTCTTCCACCACCCATTATTAAGCATAAAATTAGAAGTTTTTCCCCCATTTCCCTATTAAAAATAACAATTAAAAGAAAACGCCGTCCTTCCTTCTATCCATCCATCTATCACCCCCGCCCGTCAAGGTAAAGAGACGGGGGGATTTAAAAAGTGTGGTGCAGATGAACACACTATCGGATCGGGGTCCGGAGAAGGTATGGTGGTAGGTACAATCGTCGCAAAAGGACGTGTTTGTGTTTACAACTCATTCGCTGACTCTGGGCGATCGGTGAATGTCAACGGGCAATCATCCTGTTATAGTCAGTATACACATCCCAGCATCGAAAAAAGCCCCCAAGAAAAAAGGGGGTGGAAGCAAATCTTACCTTGGGGAAAATCGTAGCAAAAACCTTGATCTCCTCCGACAACGGCGTAGCATGATGCACCCAATCCAGGCTCATACTCGCCTTCCCCACCAACAGCGCCAAATTCCTCTGGACATAAACCTGTCCCAAACAATAATGCGCTCCCGTGCCAAAGACCAAGAAGTTCTTCGCCCCCTTCGTCTCCGCATCTCCCGAGATCCAGCGCTCTGGGTCGAAGGTGTCGGGGTTAGGGTAGACCTCTGGGTCACGCAGAGAGGGGTAGGTGGTCGGGATCACCATTGCGCCCTTGGGGACGGTGTACTCGGGGGTGATGGGGAAAGCTTTCTTAACGAGGTAGGGGACCATGAGGACTGGGGGGCGATAGCGGAGGAGTTCGCGGACTACGGCACGGGTGTAGGTCATTTCGTCGAGATCGTCCATCGTGACGCGCTTGTCGCGGTCGCCGCCGCGGACTTGGAGGTTCTCGGCGCGGACACGGTCGAGGACGTCGGGGCGCTGGGCCATGGTCTGGAAGAGGTAGGTGACGGCGCTGGAAGTGGCGTCCTGGGATGCGAAGAGGAAGGTGAAGACTGTCTGAGCGATTTCGTAGTCGGAGAACATGCGGAGCAGGGGCGCGGGCTTGGTGATTCCCTCCATGGAGGCGCCGGAGTTGAGACGGTCGGTGTAGGCAGCGGATTCGAGGATGGTCTTCACCCACTGGTCCATGATGCAGTTTGCGGGGGCGCCGGCGGCCATGCGGGCCTTGGACTTGGCGGCGCAGCGGGAGAACTCGATGAGGACGAGGTCGGCGGCGCGCTTGCCGTACCAGGTGCGGGTGAAGGGGATGATTATGGGGAAGTTGACGAGCTCGAGGGCTTCAGTGATGTGGAAGTAGTCGTCGGCGATCTTCTTGACGCCCTCGTCCGTGATGTAGGTTCCGCAGAAAGTGCGGAGCGCGACGGCGCAGGTGACCTCGCGGAAGTTGGCCATGAAGGGGACGGGCTTGCCGCCGGCGTCGGCGGTCACTTGCACCATCTTCTTGAAGTACTCGTTGTAGACGTCTTCTTGCCCGGGCAGATAGATGTCGAGGGCGGAGCGGGTGAAGAGGCCGTTGAGGCCCTTGCGGAAGTCGACGTGGGCCTTGCCGTCGAGGAAGACCCAGTTGTCGGCGCCGAGGAGCTTGTGGGCTGCGTCAACGACGCAGGGCTTCGCGTACTGGGGTGAGTTGAAGATCTTGCGGGACATGTCGCGGGTGGAGGCGATGACGACGAACCTGGGGGGTTGCTGTTAGATCGCGTGCCAATTGATGTCTGTAGGGTGCTGCTTGTGACTTACTTGTGGAAGACGGAGACACAGCTGAGCTCACCGGAAGCCCACTTGGCCGCGTACTGCTCGAACTTGGGGTTCACGGACTCGAGGAAGGGGCCCATGAAGGGGATCTTGAAAGCGGGGCCAACAATGGATCCCTTCTTGGAAATGTAGCTGACTGTTATTTCGTTAGCCATGTGTTCTCCCTTGCTTCGCGGGTGGGTGGTAAAAGCGTACCCTGATCATAGACGACGAGGCCCAGGAAGAGGGTCAAGGCGATCTGCCATGCTGACAAGCCGCCGAGGGTCTGGATGATGTTGTCGACGAAGGGGTTCTCGACGAACGAGGCGAAGCTGGCGTCGGCGACGGGGGAGGCGAACGCAGTCGCGTTGTTGATGTCCTGGATGGTCGCCATATCGAGGGTTGTAGTCAATCTCTCCGGACACGGCGTGAGAGAATGAAGCTGCGAGATTGTCGCGTTTATATGTATGGGGATAAAAAGAGGAAGGGGAGGAAAGAGAGGAGGAAGAAGTCAGGTAGAGTAGCGAGAGACGCCAATCTGTTAAAGGGGGACCAGGGTACACCGGGCCGCAGAGAAGTGGAGGGAGGTAATAAAGAAGCTCCGGGAGGGTGGTTCAACTAGTAATCTAGGAGAAATAGAGAGATTAGGGATAGGGAGAGAAGGAGCGTAGTGAGTGGACTGCCTGTGATGCGGTTCTTTTCCCCAAAGAAACCCCCTAAATGTGTAGTTTTTGTGCTAGGTTGACTGAATAATACAGGCAAATTATGCAAATTAATGGATTCACGGGTTAGTGTTTACTTTTTCAGCGGCGAAGAGTGTAAATAAAGGGCTGTAATTGGCTGGATAGGGTGAAATTTAATTAAATTTGATTTTCGGAGAGTGGTTGTTTACTCTAACTCCGTAAAGTGGGGTACATGCAATTGGAGAAATGGCTTATGTAAGCAGGTATTTCTCTTAGAAAAATTGGCATTTCATTTCATATTTCGGTGCTTACCAACATCCGCGATCCGGATTACAAGCAAGAAGTGATAGAATCGAACGGTATGCCCCCGAAATAGGGCTCTCTAGGGTATCTCTAGTGGAAGTGTAGCGCTATGTACGCTGGAAATGAGGATATGCATCCCTAAAACCCCCCATTCTACTACTATAATCCCCCCCCTAATTACGTCAAATTAGTGCACCACTCTCCCTCATCCCCCTCCTCATTATCGTGGTGACGGCGTTGAAAGTTCTTGCATCAGCACTCTAACTTCCAGCTTCCAGTAAGTGAGTGATACACACCGCCCCTAATGCAAGCCAGACGCTCCCGCAAGATGCTCGTGAGATGCAAAATAAGCAATGCAAGGGACCGCCACCAATCACCAGCCTACACTGAGGATCCGATCCGAATACGAAAGTTGCCGTTGTGGCTGTGGCGCTGTTGTACTCGCTCGTACGACAGTGGGTGTGGAGGTACTTTGTCACATTTGTTGTACTGTGTATTACTGTGAACCACTGGCTGTGAACCACGGATGGCTGGACCGTCGACGCCGAGAAATCCGAGGGAGATGTCACATGATGACTGTTGGCAGGATCACGTGTGGCATCTCCTGTTTCTCTCCTTTCCTTGCTCCCTGGTCCTGGCTCCATCTTTCCCTCTCAACTGCAATCAAAAGATCCATCCCAGCTGTAAAATGCAAAGATCATACCCGGTCTCACCACCTGAACGCCTTCCCCCATTCCCCCTAAAAGCAAAAGTCCCCCTTTAAAACAAAAACACCCCCTTCTCATACACACTACAAAGGCACCCCTTCATAAACAAACCCATTCGCCGCTGCCCTCCCCCACTTATCCCTCCCCCTCCTCCCCCTCCCCACCCTCCTATTCCCCGCCACCTTACTAAACACCGTCAATGCACTGATCACCAGAATAATAACTGCCGCCACAGTCGGTACCACGATCTCCCTCTCCCTCGCAAACGAAAGGAGCGTCACGCGATCATACGGACACTCTGCGTCGGCGTCACCAATGACCCAGCATCCGTCGACTTGCACGGAGTTGAAAGCGACGAACACGCCCCGCCTGTCGTAATCGCGATGGGTATCCTGTTGCGCTTGCGCGAGATACGCGTTCTCCAGCGCCGAAGCCGGGGCCACGAACGTAGTGCCGTGTGGACAAGCGGAAGCGGCGAAGGGGAAAGCGACGGGGTGGTCAGAGATGGACCAGTTGAACGGGGATGAGCGGCAGGCGATGAAGTATTTATCAGCGCATGAAGCTACGGCCCAGGATCCGGATGGGGAGGCGACAGCGCAGCGCATGAGGGCGGCGTTGGCGGGGGAGAGGCTCATGGAGTAGTTTGTTGGTTCGGAGGGGGCCCAGGACCAGTGGGTTGAGAGGGCGAAGGAGCGGTAGGGGAGGGGCCAGGTGGAGGCGGGGGCCGTGAGGGTAGTGTTTAGGTGGGGGGAGATGCCGCAGGTGGTTAGGGAGGTGAGGGTGCTGTTTGTGGGGGGGGTGGTGAGGGCGTAGGTTGCCCAGGAGGAGTTGGTGTTGGAGGGAGTCGCGGGCGGGGAGTGCAGGTAGCAGCCGCTGGTGAGGCGGTCGGTGGAGTTGAGCGAGACGCCGGGTTGGGGTTGGGTGATGTAGCCTGGGGGGAAGAGGATGGAGGTGTCGGGGGTGTAGTCGGCGCCTTGCATTTGGGGGTCGATGGTGCCGAATTGGAATAGAACACGTTTGAGACTGGAGAACTCGATGAAGGATTCCGAGGGCCAGCCATCGTCGGTGGACCAAACGCCGTTGTCGTCTATTGCGATGGAATAGTAGTCCGACACGGGCCGGTAGCGTTCGGGGACGGTGTACCACGACGAGTTCAGGTTGGCTCGGTTGTTGGATAGATTAATTGGGGAGTATATGTATGAAGTGAGATTGCTGCTCAGCATGCCCCCGATGAGTTCCCCGCCAACAGGGGGATTAGTAGGAGCTTGCGCCGGGGAATCGGGTGACGTCGGTGATGCCGCGGCGTGGATGTTAAACACATAATATGAGATCTGAGCCGCCAGTGTGTTCTGTGTATCTACAAGATAGCTGTGCAATTGGTGTCCAAACGTCTCTAGAGTCGCCGCGGGCGAGCACGTGTAGGGTCCCTCCGCGTGCATCGGCTCACTTGATGGTGTTGGCGCCGGAGGGCCGGATGAACCTTCTGATGTTCCCGAGACAAGCAAAGCATCATTGGTACCTTGTGCTGATATTGAAGTTGCCACACCGGCTGGAAATGATAGGCTACCTTGATTCGTTGTGGTTGCAGGCGTCGTGCGACTTTGCGACAAGGAAGAGCTGCCGTTGTCGTTTCCTGGCATTTGCTTCATTTCGACAGGACAGAAACTCCACAAACTTCGTCCAGCATCCCAATACCTAAATCATAATCAGTGAAGGCCCTTATCTGCAGCAATTGGAAACTTACAGGTCCAGCTCAAAGCGACGGAATCCTACTGACAAGAGATTTGAGAAACATCGCGACAGCTCGCCTTCACCAATCACTCGATCCCCAAAGCATGCCGCGGTAAGGGATACCCCCGGAACGGTCATAAAATTAATAGGAATCGAAAGAGAGAGATCTCTCTGAGAGAGTTGAACGCGCGTCTCGTCGACAGAAAGGAGCGCATCGTTTCCAGGCGCATAGTCGTCAGACGACATTAGGATAGTTCGCGCTCAACCCGACACCTGAAATGAGAAGGGAACGAGACATCAGATTTGGAGAAAAATTAGGTATTTAAAATATATAACAACTAGAAGTAGAAGAAGCTCATTGTATAAATCGCCAACAATTGATTGTGTTGATGCCAATTTATGCTGGCTGGCCGAGATGGGGGAACTGATGACATACGCTCACTCATCTCTCACATGGTCGCTTTCGCGCATTGCGACGCCTGAGGACAACGAGGCTTGTCAGCCTTGCGCTTGCGGCATGTCCCGCCAGCCACGATTAGTGACAGATATGATGATTCTCATTTGAAATAAAGTCCAACACGTAGCCCGAAGCGCGATCCAAACTCACAACCAGGCAAAACGCTCACGACAACACCACTGGATAACAACACCACACAGGTACATACAGATACCTCAGTGTCTTTTTCTCTCCTATAGCTCCACAACAACCCCGCACATCCAAAATGGCGAGTCCAGGCGGCCCTCCCCCATTGCAGCCGGGGCAACAACCGACCCCAGAGCAGATCCAGATGATGCAGCGCCAGCTCGCCGCCGACGCCGCGAAGCAGGGCGTCTCTGTCCCTGAGTTCATAGAGATGCTCAAGAAGCAGCAGCAAGAGAGGCAACAGCACATGCAGCAGCAGCAGATGCAGCAGATGCAGCAGCAGCAGCAACAAGGCGGAGGTCAACGTCCCGCCCAAGGGCAACCACAGCCGATTACTCCTGGCCCACCTAACCCAGCTGCTATCGCCGTCGCCAATTTCCTCAAGAGCCAGGACTTGAAGCCGCGGACGTGTATTCTGAATGGCCAGCGCAAGGACATGTTCAAGGGTAAGTCGTTCATTCGCCCACTCACTCTTCCCCTCTGACCACCACCACTGACACCACCCAAGTCAAGCGCGCCCTTCGCGCCCTCCAGAGCCCAGCGTACGAGAAGGCTCGCGCCAAGAACGCCCTCCTCCCCCCGATCACCGACCGCCCCTCCCTCGAAAACGTATTCAAGCTCCTCCCGCTCTCTCTCCTCGCCCTGCGCGTCTCCAAGATTGACCCGCATGAGGGCCACGACCACGGCCCAGTTGCCAAGGGCAAGCGCGTCAAGGGGCTGTGGACGGTGAAGATCGAGCAGCAGCAGGAGTGTCGCGAGGAGCTGCACTTTGTGTGGCTGTATGAGGGGTCGCAGGTCATGACGAAGCTGTATGCTGCTGGTGCGCTGGCGATTGTGTTTGCTATCGTCATGTTTCCGCTTTGGCCCATGAAGATGCGCTTGGGGGTGTGGTATCTCAGTATGGGTATGCTGGGGTTGATTGGTCTATTCTTCGCTATGAGCATCTTCCGTCTTATTCTCTTCGGTCTTACGTACTTTGTGGCGCCGCCGGGACTCTGGCTGTACCCTAACCTCTTCGAGGATGTTGGATTCTTTGACAGCTTCAGGCCTGTGTGGGGATGGCAAGAGGTTTGTTCTCCTACCTCAGCTTGATTACTTGAATGATAATACTAACGAATTATATAGGAAAAGAAGAAGTCCAAGAAGAAGTCTAGCAAAGCCGCCTCCTCTGGCACCTCGGCAAGACCACTACAAGTCCCCGGCCAACCTCCTGCAGCCACTGCCACAACTACCTCGTCGTCCGCACCGCAGATGTCGACGGCGACACCTGTAAATCGAAACCTTACACCGCGTGTGGAGGAGGTGTTTGACGAGTAAGGTGCTATGAACGGGTTGGGTTGGTCAGGGAGGGCGTGCAAGTAGAACCGGTTGGGGTTATGGGATGGGGCCGGCGACGGGGGTGTTATGTATACGTACACTGGGTAATTTAAGTTGGAGTAAATGACGATGCTATCTTTTGACTTTCGTGGGATGTCGGGTTTGTTGAGGACACGGTGGTGAAGATTATATATGTATTTGTGATCTATGTAGCTTGATTTAACTTTCTCCTCCAACTATTTCCAACCCATGACAATCTAGCCACCAAACACACTTACCTCTCGACCTCCCCCCCCCTCCCCTCCCACTCCAACCAACTCCCCGGAAACTCCCCCACCGGCCCCCACCCCCCCTCCCTCGCCAACGCCGCCGCCGCGCGACTCCTCACACCCGCCTTACAGTAAAAAACCACCCCCCTCCCTTCTCTCGGCTTCTCGAAGCCAAAGCGCTCCTCGAACTCGTCGGCGGGGAGGAAGAAGGCGTCGGGGCACGAGGAGAGGGGGAGGTTGACGGAGGTGGGGATGCGGCCTGTGGTGTGGAGCTCGCCGGGTTCGCGGACGTCGATGAGGATGGGGGAGGTGGGGGTTGGGTTTTGGGCGTGGGTGCGGACCTGAGGGAGGGGGTTAGCTTGGGTCTTGGGAGGGTGGATGGAGGGGTGGGACGTACCTCCTCGAAGCTGTAGATTTTGCTTGGTGCTTTTGATGGGGCGGGAGAGGATGTCCCGGGAGCTGGTGCGGTTTTTGAGCTGTCGCGGCGTGCTACTGCGATGCTGAAGAGGCGCGACTGCGGGATTGATGTAGGTATGCGGATGCTCTGGATACGGGACCCGAGAGGGCGAAGCTGGGAAGGAGATTGCTTTGCTGCGGCAGAGCGTGAGGCGCGCGCAATGGCGGAAGCAATACGGGGCGTTGCTGTATTCATGGCTTCTAGTTTTTGTGAGGATGGTCTCCTAGTGTTGTGTTTGAATTGGGAGAATGTTCTCGTTGCGGTTAATGACGGCGTTTGTGGTGATATCTGGACCTCGGATTATGTCAGCCACATTTCAGCCACAGCCTTTCAGCCTCGTGATGTCCAATGGAGCTTGTAGTGCACGGACCACTTTATTCGCGGCCCTGAGCGTCAGGGAAAGCTGGCCTAACAGTTCATCGAGTCTATTGATGTGAATCTGATATCGCGATCGATATTGAAGACACAACGCATACGGCTAGGCAAGGAAAAAAATAAGTCGGGCTGTGATTTGGAATTTAAGAGCGACGCGGTGAGGACGGAAGAACGATACATAAAATGTCGAGCAGCAACAACGCGGGATACGACGTCGTTGTCGACGTGGACGACGAGGTGAGCTCCCTCCCTCCCCTTTGCGCCATCCCACCTCCTAGGCCTCATCACCAACTCACATCCCACATGTGCTAACTTCATCTCGCAGGGTGATCTCGGCCACACAGACCTCCAAGAAGACCTCTCCTTCCACAACTCCACCTTCACCTCCCCCAACAACAGCAATAAGCCATCCGCCGGCCTCCCCCCACCAGCTACCTCCTCTTCCTCGACGAAGCACTTCCTCTCCCTCGGCTTCTACTCCCAGTTCTTCGATGTCGATACCTCCTCGGTATTGAGCCGCTGCGGCGCAGCACTATACCCACGCGCCAACTTCCTCGACGTGCTTGATGGCAACCCAGATCTATACGGCCCGTTCTGGATCGCTACGACGGTTGTGTTTATTCTGTTTGTGGGCGGGACTGTGAGCCAGTACCTAGCGGATACAGGGAAGAGCTCGGATGGGTTCCGTTATGATTTCAAGCTGCTGAGTGGTATGTGCCCCTTTACATGATACCCCTCTACCACTACCCCCATTGAGTTCACATGAAAGGCAAGGAAAGATCATTACTAACACCCTCCAGGTGCCGCGGGACTCATCTATGGCTACACCGCCGTCATCCCCGTCGTTCTCTGGGGCGCCCTACACTACTTCGGCGCCGACACCGCCCAGCTTCTCGAGTGCGTCGCCCTCTACGGCTACTCGAACCTAATCTGGATCCCCGTGGCCCTGATCTCCTGGTCACGCATCAGCATCCTCAACTGGGTCTTCGTCGGAGTCGGCTTCGGACTCAGCGTCGCCTTCTTGCTGCGCAACCTGTACCCCGTGCTGGGAGCCACGGAGCGCAAGGTCGGCAAGGCGCTGTTGGTGCTGGTGGTTGTCCTGCATTTTGCGCTGGCGGTGGCGATTAAGTTTTTGTTCTTTAAGTCGGGGAGCCCGGTTCCGGGTGGTGATGGGGCGGGAGGTGCGGCGCCTGTGGAGCCGACGCCGACGGAGACTCCAGCAATGATGTTTTTTTAGGGCTGCTGAGACGGGGGCATTATGCTGTAGGAATAGAGGGACATGGAGAGGTGTGTTGTTGGGCGTTCATGTGGCGTTGGGTCACTTTGTAGAAGCAGCGTAGTAAGTATATGTACTAGTCTAGAAGCTCTTATTATCCATTTCCATTGTCTTCAAGACAAACTTTGCTGTGTCATAATTCATATTCAAGAGGGTCCACGGTTGGCATAACGCCTGGATGGGTATTTGTGTGGAGGATACACTAGGAATACTATCAAGGCCTTGTTTCCAGGGCGTAGAATTATACAGCTAGAATCGCATTCAGGCGGTGTTCAAGACAATGTTGTGCCAGATATCACTACGCCCACATCCCTCCCTTTCCCCCCTTCCCTTCCTCCCCTTCCCTCCTTATCCATCCTAGGTAGGTGGGCGACAAAAAAAGAACCGGAAAAAAAACATACAACAGTGGGTATTCGCTGGTGGTCACCCACCCAACTACTAATCCACCGATCTCAAGCTTGTGTATGGCAGAGCGGACGGGATGCCCAATTCTCTTGAGTCTATGGTCGTATGTGACTATTCTTCGAGTGTTGGTGGATATATAGTAGTGTGCTTAGTCTAATAGTTATAGTGTTCTGTGAACGAGATGAGAAATTAGAAACGGATATGTAAACAATATTAGAGCTGCTACTACCTCTAAGTCTATTACAACTATTGTAAGGATGCCTCCTGACTCGGGTTAGTTACGGCCGTCATGTGGCGCCATCGAGACTCAGGGCCGTTACGGGGCAGTCGCGACCGACACCCTTAGGCACATAGCGAAAGGAAGCCTTAGGCAAACAGGGAGTTAGCTGAGTCGGAGCGGTTTCGGGTATTTAAGGAAACAGCCATAGAGGGTTACATCTCTATCTTTTTTGTATCCTTCGTAGTAGACCTATAGGATTGTACCGACTGATATCCGACTTGCACTCCCATATACAACTTCTCGTGATACGGTGCCCTGTGTCCTTACAACTATGCTTTTTACTGTTATATTAAGTTCAATCGTCTCCTACCTTACTACATCTATAGCTATAAGATATAATTAGAAGCCCTATTACTAAATACCTTCTCCCTACTCTACTAACAAGGCACTAAGGAGCTAAAGGCTACTAAGTAATACTTATCTTAGTTTTCTCTGTCTATTAAAGTGCATAAGCAAGCTATAGTATAATAGAAGCAGCACTACTAGTCTAGTTATGCCACCTACTTTATATATAGTTGATTAGCCTACCCTAAGGACTCTAAGCCTAGCCTCAGCTTCATCCTTGCTTTTACCTTCGCTGTCATCTTTAATGATTAGAGACACTTATGTAGGGAATTAGTAAAGTGTTTGCTAATATAGGGGTAAGGTACGAAACCTACCTTAGTTAGCCTGCGTAAAGACTGAGTTCAAGGTTGTGGGATTAGTACGTACATAGCCCTCGTTGAATAGTTAGCGCTTCGAGCTATAGACGGGCTCATGATCCTAAGAGGGTACTTAAGGGGCCTCTATTTTTCGATTGCGTGACAACTCGTTAAGTGATGGAAGAGAGTCATCCAATGAGTCGTCATCTTGAACATTCCATACTGATACTGCAGATTGCAATTTGATGGGTTGAAGACGCGGTTGGCGCTATGGGTATGATGCGAAATTGGGGTTGTAGAATACAAATCCATTGTCACAATAACCAAGAAACAAATTACGACAGAGAAAGAATTTTATTTGTAGGTTTATTGGTGGAGGGAGCAAGGGTGTGTTTGTCCGCTTTGCAGTGCAATTTATTTTAAAACCCCATGCGAATCCGAAAACCCCACAGGTCATCTGACTGATCGTCGGATTTGCCTGTTCGCTTCGCTCACTGTCGGAGGAAGCAAGTGCGTCGCGTCATAGCAAAATAAGTAAGTACCTTTACATAGAAAATTGTATATAAAGGTACATAGTGTAATTATCAAAGATGAAATTCAACGCTGCTATCGTTATTGTCTTCACTCCCACTCCCACTCCCACTCCCATTTCTGGTAGCTTCCTCAGCTCCGGTCGCCTGGGCTTCGGCATGTGGGGCAGGAATTGGCTCCTGATCTGCGGGTAGAATTGGTTGGCCAGCTTTGCGGAAAGCTGCTACCCCTCTTCTTCCAGAGCCGCTCCAGCTTCCGGTCTGCAACACTAGCCTGGCGTAACTCCTCCTAGGCTTGAATAGTAGCTGATTTAGTACAAATCAAGCACTGGAAAAATATATACACTAGAATCCAAGCTTTCTAAATAAAACCAAAAGGTACTCTCTATAATGGCGAAAAGCTATACTTAAAGGTGTTTTGCGGGGTCTAACAGATACATGCACAGCTAACCCTAGCTACCTCATAGTTAATATCAGATCAGCATGTCGATGATCCCCCGCGAAATCCCACCAATTCGATGTTCCCCTGTCAGAGACGGGCCGCCATCCGGAAATCACAGGCCCTGCTTTGTTACGCGATTTAATTTGGAGGCTTCTCCGGGGAAATCGAGGACGTGCTGGCGGGTCGTTGCTTCCGAGGTTTCTGGGGTAAGAGAGTTGTGTTGTGAGGTTGTGAGGGGGAAGCAATAATTTAGCCAGGGATAGGGAACTGGGATTCTTCTGCTGCGGTATATGAGACTCCGCTCCCTTATAGATCGAATGGGAACCCGGGCATCTTTCTTCGTCGCGAATTTCGGCGCCACATGGGTTACCGAAACAAGCAAAGGTCCCGACTTCGCACTTCGCAAAATACTTGGCACTTACTGCTTACTGTGAGCTTTCTGACATAATTACGATCAAAGCCCTTCGCCGAAAACCCCTTTACGCAGGTTGCGCCGCCAATGAGGAGGGAACGGTCGTCCTTCACCCCATGTCGTTGATTTAAGCTGGTCCAAGTATCGCCAAACTCTTGGCACAAGCTGCTACGGATCCATCAAGACCTCGTTGGGGGTCCACTTATCGTAAGAATAGGAAGATAGGCGAGAAACATCAAAGCTTGTTGTACTGTGCATGAAACATTGACAAAAAGGGCAGGTGGAAAATGTCTACAGCCTCGCAAGTCAAATGCCGACAAGGCATAACAAATGTCTATAGAGCAGACAGGATTTTATGAATATAGCTATCCTTCTCTACAAGACCTCCCGCCAGCAGCACCGAGCTAGCTCACTATGTAGATGTCCTTCACATCATCTACCACCCCTACGGCCACACTTCATACTCTCCACCCCACACGGATCCCTCAAATCCCCTTCCCATCTCCTTCCCATCACAAACACTGCGAATACCAGTCATTCGAATAAGTGCACTTATACGGACTAACACAAGCCGTTGGCCCCGTCCACCCATTCCCCCCACACTGCCCCCAGTGAACCTGAGTGCCACTACCTCCCGGCGCAGTCGTAGCCGAAGTAGTCGGTACCGCCGTCGTCGTCGCCGTCGCTGTCCCTCCCAACGCACTCACAATACCATAGTACGCACCCGCCTTCTTGACCAAATTGCTGTCCCACGGAAGCGCATCGCCCTGTCCCGAGAACGTCGACGGGATCCACGAGTACTTATCCGTGTAATCCCAGATCGTGATGCCGACGCAGCCGACCTGCACGCACGCGGCCACGGTGTTATAGTAATCGGTAGTCTGCTGCGCGAGCCCCGAGGTGGTGGCCGGGAGGGAGGTGAAGCGGATGTCGAGTTCTGTGTAGGCGACCTCGACGCCGGCGGCGATGAAGGTATTGAGGTTGGCGACTTGGGCGGAGAGGCTGGGTGTGCTGCCGACGATGAAGTGGGCTTGGAGACCGACGCCGTCGATCTTGATGCCCCGAGCTTTGAGGGACTTGACGAGGTTGAGCGCTGCGGTGGCTTTGCCGCCGGACGACTCGATGTTGTAGTCGTTGTAGTAGAGCTTCACCGTTGGGTCGGCGGCGGCGGCGGCTTCGAAGGCGATGGGGATGTACTCGGGCCCGATGGTGTTGTAGAAGACGTCGGTTCTGTAGGTGCCGTCGTCGTTGAAGGCCTCATTAACGACGTCCCAGGCGTAGCATTTGCCCTTGTAGTGCGTCACTTCGTTGGTGATGTGATTCTTCAATGCTGCTATCAAGGTAGCGTTCGTCCAGGTTCCAGAAGTGACTGTGAGTGGGTTAGAATTTGTGATCTTCATCGAGTCGATAGTATCCTGAACATACCCCAACTTGGCAACTGACTATGCCAGCAGAGATTGTGGCACCTCAGCAATTGTCCATTGGTCTCAGCCAAGGACACGATAGCATCTCCCTTGGTATAGGAGAATGTGCCCTGGCTCGGCTCGATAGAATCCCACTTCTGTGAATTCCCCGGAGTGATCTGTCCAAACTCGGTCGAATCGCTCAGGATTTTGACGTATGCCGTGTCCGTCAATTCGCCGTTATCTGTGGCAGAGCCAAAATATTTCATGCCCTTCGCCTTGGCAAGAGTGTTGAGCTGGGCATATGCTGTCGGCAAGAGCGCCAGAGGAAGAGCTGCGGAGAAACGCATCTTGAGGGGAAATAGCTTCACTAAAGGAGAAAAATATATACAGTGATGAAGAAAAGCTACCTAGGCAACAAGCCGAAACACAATACAGAGAAATAGCCCACCTATAAGTACCCCATAACCCCTCAAAATCGCAAATAAAACAAACTCATATTGAGTAACATTGAGATAATGCACCATTGCTTAATTGACAAGGGGCCGTGCAGAAAACTGGTAGCGTCGCCGGAGATATATGACTTTTGAAGTCGCTAGATGGGCAAGCATTCCGATCGTGCCGTTAGTGTTAGTAACCATCTCCAAGGCCAAATAGATTGATCAATTGCTAGCTCCGTCAAGCTACGGAGGGCAATTTCCCCGTGTCATGTACTTGCTATTCGTCGCTGTCCATTGTAAGTCCCCCCAAGCACTTACTTTGTCGCTTCTATGCCTCCCGATTGCCATTTTCTCGTCCAGAGCATCATCATTCACATGTTCACGTAGGTAAAAAAATATTAGCAAAAACATACAACAGTGGGTATTCGTTGGTGGTCACCTACCCAACTACAAATCCACCGATCTCAAGCTTATGTATAGCAGAGCGGACGTGTAAGCTGTTTTCGGTGAGTTTGACTCTCGAGCCTCTGTTCCCTAGCTAGAAGTTGGTCCTGCAACGACCTGTCGACCATGGAATCATCGAAGCCATGCTCCTGAGTGTTTTGCAACTGTGTCTGAAATGTAAACGTGATGACTTAGGCTGTTTTAGAAAAAAGCGCTAGCTTGTGCATCTTCCCGTTTTGCGATGGCCGTGTACATTTAGCCGTTTCGTATGCTAGTGTTGTTAGATAAAAGCAACATTAACCTTAGAACCGTTACGTGATACAGCAATTAGTTATCAAGTTTCCATCAATAGAAATCTGAAAGTCGTTGCATTCAGCGACCATCTCCGACAGAGATGCCTAGTTCTCTTGAGTCTATTGTCGTATGTGACTATTCTTCGAGTGTTAGTGGGCATATAGTGGTGTGCTTGGCTGGAGGAGAGTGGGGGGGATGCAAGATATTGCTTCGATTTCTATAGCAAATTAATACTCGAAGAATTATCTTGCATCCCCATCTTCGCTGCTCTCGGTGCCTAGTCAACTAATGGATTGACGGATGGGTTGATGCTAAGGACCTAAATACTACGATTAACGACACCATATTCCTGTACCGTTTACCATACTTGCACTAGAGAGGTGTCTACAGTGCAAGTGTTATGTTTTTCTGTGAACGAGAGGTGTTCTGTGAACGAGATGAAAAATCGGAAACAGATATATCAACAATATCAGAGCCGCCACCGCTTCTGAATCCATTACAACTGTGCCTTTGGCTGTTATATCGAGTTCCTTACCTTAATTAGGGGAGTTGCCTTCTTCTGGGGCTCTGAGCTATATACGTACGAATTGTGAGCAGGATGAAAGTGAGTCTGATCTAAAGTGTGTTAGCCACAATCCTAACACACTTTAGATCAGACTCACTTTCATCTAAGGTTTGTGTAGGGGTTTATTTCAAGATGCAAATTAGTATCCTTTAATGCTATCATCTAAGACGAGAGCATTAGTATAAGTATATATGCTAACGTATTTCACAGGCGAGCGGGTCACACGAGCGAGCGGGTCACTAAAACACTAAAACGCGTCAACCTATCTATAGTTAACAATGCTACAACCAACACAAGACCAATCCTCTAATTAAGAGGGTAGAATACTATTGGCTATTATAGCACTTAAAGAAGGCAATATTAAGAGTATTCGAGCTGCTGCAATGTTGTACAACGTCCTATTTAAGTCGCTCTGTGTACAACTTAACGGTGTTACTTCTTAACGCAACTCTACTCCTAACTTACAAAAATTAACTTTGTACGAAGAGTCAGCTCTTGTTTAATATATCCTTAACCTAGATTCACATAGGTTTCTACCCTAGCTACAAGCTATACAAGAAATAGCAGACCTTCTACTCTCTAAACAAGGCAAAAGCCCTATTAGGATAAACTAGGCTACTAGCTTTATAAAGCGTTATATAGAAATCAAATTAAAGTTTAGTTAGAAGTACAACTATAAACGAGTAAAATGTAAAGATCCTAAGATAATTAAAGGGTAGTTCTCCTTTATACAAAACATAGTTATAAAATATAGAATCTTAGAGCAAGATATCTACAACTTTAATAAAGCAGGTTTTATAATAGGAGTTATTGCTACTATAAAGGTAGTTATAAGCTTAGAAGTAAAGAGTTGTCTAAAGACTATATAGCTAGGGAATAGAGAGTAAGTGTTAATTATCTAAGGTGTTAATTTGTATAGATAGGCCCTTCTGCTATTTATTATTTTTAAAGCATAGAATTACCTCTCTACTTAGTATAAGGACTTAGGATTACTAGAAGACTAGGTAATTACACTAAGTAAGAATAGGTAGACTTTAAATTTAATTAGGTATAAGTAGATTTAACACTTTAATTAACATACAAATGCTTGTATAGTTAGAACCTATTGCCTTCTTATTCTTAATAGGTATAAGAGCTACCTCTCTACTTAATTTTAACACTACTATATAGAACGGAAGATAATTACCCTCTATATACTACTATACTCGTTATATATTCTTTAGCCTCTTAATGTAAGCTACTTTACACTACTAAAGCTCTTATATAGAAAGTAGATTAAAACCTTTATATAAAACTAGCTAAACTACATTATAAAGCTTAAGTTCCTCTCTATATTTAAAGAAGCATTTAAAGCTACATTTATAGAGTAGAACATTAAGAGCAGATTCTAAGCTATAGGGCTAGTTCTATATAAACTATAGAATGTTCTCTCTTACTTAAATCTATACTTAAGAACTCTAACTCCTCTAATAGTTAAGAGCGACAATTAGACCTTAAAAACTCCTTAAACTATAAAGGAGCTTAACTTTCAAACAAAGCATATTAAGAAGCGTGTTATAAGACATTAGAATAACTCTCCTACTTTAATTAATGATGCTATTAGCTGCCTTGTTAAAGGGGCGCAAGTTATGATGCATTCTGCTGTTCTACTTAAAGTAGAAGTTAAGGCTCTATAGGCAGCAAATGAACAGAAAAAGAGAAGGGAAAGAAAGCGTAAGAGACGTATAATGCAAGGGGGTAGTCTCTCTATACGAGATGGAGTGGATATACTTCACAGTGCTGAGGCTGATGCTTAAGTCCGTACAGAGGTGGCAAGAGAGAGTAGTCGGCAGGTAGGCTCTAAGGGCTGACAGAAGCGCTGTGGCTTATGTGGTATTATAGGCTATAATTCCCGTACGTGCGAGAAGCACAAGGATTCAATTACGATCGAATAAGGGTCATTATGTAGGGTGGTGGTGTAGTAGTAGGCAGTAATAGTCAATTTTAGTGTTTTGGTGACCCGCTCGCTCGTGTGACCCGCTCGCCCGTGAAATACGTTACTAGTTTTGCATTATAGTTTTAAAAATTAAATTAAACACTTTAACAACTTATAAAAGGCCAAATATACAATTTCATATTTTATTACAACAGCGTTGCTGAGATATAGCACTCTAAACTTCACAGTTTTTGGTGAGAATTGCCGTTGTTCACTCGCTTGGGTTGTTCATTCGCTTGTGAAATACGTTATACTATGTATTAAGTGTTATAAAGAGATAATGTTAGAACGCAAAGACTAGATTAGCTTAACGTATAACTATAAGAGAATAGATTAAGAGATGATAGTAGTCTTTAGATATAAAGAGGTAGAAGAGATGGTCTCTAGCAAAGTAATTATGATGTAAGGAGCATTCTTTTACGCGAACACAATTCAAACGGTTGGGAAAGAGAGCAAATGGCAGAAGTGGGGGTTGTGGAATCCTAGGCAAAGTTAGAAGCTTTTTTTAGTGAAATGGAAAGATAGAGCCTAGCAAAATGCTTATCTAACCTGCTATTCAAACTTGCTCCTTTCTACTAGCTACTGCCGTCAGCATGTCGTTGTGTTATCTAAAGAGGGGGTTATAGTTCACGAGACGCCATTTTTAAAGAAAGCGGTTAATGCACAAACTCTATTAATATGTGGATTCTAGGAAGCTGCTTTTAATAGTATAGGGGAATATTTCCTCTAGCGCGACTGTTTCGATGTGCTAGTAAGGATTAGGAGCGCAGTAGTTCTTGTCAATCCTGTTTGGCTGTAGAGTGAGCAAGCTCTATCTGTACTGTGAGTTAAATATAAATGCGAGCGATTGAACGAGATGATATTGCCCACACGTTTGCACCTGTACTGTTGCATCCAAAGTAATGACGTTGCTCTTGAATTTCTTTTCTAAACCTTTCGCCCACCGTTTTTATATAATCCGTATCCCTTCTCACGTAATAGCATGTCGCTAGTGGGACGTCAGTAACAGTTTTTATATAATGGAAAGGATACGAACCGACGACGAGCGATGGCAGTTGCCACAAAGGAGATTCTATTCGCGTTATCTCCATCAAAGGAATTTTTGTTTTGGATCGGAACTTCCTCCCAAAAGATGGCAAATATAATCGAAATAGACGCCAAACCCAAGGCAATGAACACAGAAAACAATCTCCCCATCTAAAACCCAGAGTAATTTACCCACACTTTCGACCAATCCGTCTTGCCCGACGCTGGCCGACCGCCGTCCCCCTACACTACTAATCTCAATAATTACCCTTTTCATCTAAGACTTAGCCTTTTTCGTAGCCTTTGTTCTCAGCTTCATCATAAGATACACTAACCCGTATATGCCAATCGCAAATACAACAACAATGCCCGCATTTCTCCACCCGTAGCTTTCTTCCTTGAGATTCAAGGTCCGCAGGAAGTCGCTGCCTTCAGCAAATTGACACACGCGGCAGTCGGTGGTAGCGTCTGGGTTGAGGAGGTTGGTGCCTGACCCCATCCCTTGCATATAATTTGCAAGATAGTCACCGCAGGTCGAATTCGGAGAGGGGTCAAATATGGCGAGTTCGTTGGTAGTGCACTTGACAGGTTTGTCCCAAGTAACGAAGACAAGCAGAGAACTCATAAGATAGTTGAAGGGGTCTATGTAGTACATCCTGTGAAAGAAGGTTGTTAGATTTTGCCTGAAGTCGGGTTCTTGGACGAGTAATGTGAACTGTGCTTACCAGTATTTCCAGAAGGGCTGGATCTGGCTGTACGGTACCATGACGCCGCAAAATGAGACCAGAGTTGTGATAACGAGAGGGTTGACGAGAGATGCAAAAACCGCATTGGGGGCATAAGCGGCAATCATCTGTCCAATGCCTGTATACAAAAATTCATACATGACCTGGTTCCATGTCAGTTTTCGCGATGCCAGCTCGAGGGTGGCTGGGAATGGGAGGAGACTTACCACGACGAAGAAAGTACTACCAGCGTATTCTGGTGCGGTAGGCAAGCCAGCAGTGAAATACCAACAAATGTAATACAGGAAAGCACAAATTAGCAAATAGGGTACTTCCGAGACTATGAGGCCAGTAACGAAGGGAGCCCAATGGTACATCTTGCTCTTCTTCTCACGTGCCTCGTAGATATCGCGGCGGTCGATAAATAGAGGCTGAAGTTGGGAAATGACACCTGGCGCGACGAAGATGAAGTTGAAGACCGTGAACAGATTCCGCTGTAGATCTGTGAGGTGATCCCCTATCATCCAAAAACTAAAGCCGTTCAATAACGCTAAGCTGATATGCATGGCAAACTTGTTGTTGAGGTATTCGGTGTTCCGGAAGAGTGAGATATTCATTCGATGTGTCACATGCTTTACTTGCGTCCACATCGACGCCGCAAACTCGTGTCCGTCGTCAATAGTTCCCGAAGGTCGAGCAGCGGCTTCTGTTACAATGGTGCTGATGTGATTAGAGAGCTGGTCGTGTTCTGGCGATTGCAGCCAGATCTTATTCCAATCTCGGTCATTGAAGGAGCTTCCCGCTGACACCACATCAATCATGAACTCAGCAGGGTTGGCTTCAGGTGGACAAGAGGCTCCATGGCGAGCAAAGTAGTCTTTGACAGTGCTCGCCTCATCACCGATCTCTCCAAAATAGACAGTTCTCCCACCTGTTGTCAGCAACAAGAGTGTATCAAATTGCGCGAACAACTGTGCTGATGGCTGATGTATTGTCACTAAGACAGCTTGTCCGGCTTTTGCAAGTTTTTGAAGGAAGCGAACAGTATTGAAAGCAGCCTGACCATCGAGTCCTGATGTAGGTTCGTCGAGGAAGATGAGAATACTTGGTTTTGCTACCAACTCAACAGCGATAGTAAGACGCTTACGTTGCTCGACCGAAAGGCCAGCACCAGGACGGCCAACAAGTGTGTGCTCGAGGTCATTCAATTCCAAAAGGTCGATGATAGTGTCAACATACTGTAGCTTTTCATTGTCAGGTGTATCGCGAGACTGGCGCAAGAGTGCCGAGAATTCGAGAGCCTCACGTACGGTCGCTAAGGACTCATGAATATCCAACTGTTCGACATACCCCGCGGATCGCTGGAACGAGATGGGAATGGGACGGCCATCAACTAAAACAGATCCAGAAATAGTGCCCTCGGTTTTGCGTTGCGCGAGGACGTCAAGAAGAGTTGTCTTGCCAGCGCCAGAAGAACCCATGAGAGCCCCCATCATGCCGGGCTTGACGTAACCTTGCACATTGTCAAGCAGGACGCGATCACCCTCAGATGTTTTGACGGTATACGTCAAGTTTTTCCAGGTGAAGATGCTGTTGTTGTGATTGAGGTTCTTAATGACGCTTTCTCCTGACATGTCAGAGTCCGATTCGGCTGGAGATTTCTCGGCAGCTTGTATCTCCTCATCCTTTGGTAGCAATAGATGTCTCGACTTATGCTGTTGCTCCCGAGGAAGAAGAAGACTGCGACCACCTTCTCCTGGAAGCTTCCACCTAGAAGTGAAGAAAATAGTGGCCGCAACAAACAACACCCAAAAACCGCAGATGACGCCGACGTTGCGCCAGATATGGCTGTGACTGAAGGACATGGAGTTCAGGTACTCGTCGCCTGTCAGACTCGTGAAACCCGGTGTTGCGCCACCCACACCAGCACAAGATTGTCCACCAATGCCATCCGTATATCCAGGACCGCTGGGAATGAGGTAGGGGCCAACACATGGGATTTCTTGCATATGAAACTCATTACTAAGAAGAGCGTCGAAGCCATATGCCATAGGATTGATCCAAAAAATCCAAACAAACCACGGATGCATCTCAGGCTTCGCGATCATATAACCCATGTAGACAAAGAGCGCCACTACTGTCAGGCCCGAGACCTTGGTTGCGGCGTCGAAAGTAGGAAAGGCGGCGCCAATAAGACGGAAGAGAGATGTCATGGTCATGGCGGTGACGAAGTTGGTAATCCAATAGGTGAAAAATGCTTGGGGCGTACTCTTGAGACCAACCATGAAGTAGAGAACCAATCCAAAGTGCGTTACCTGGAATAACAGGACAGGGAAATCAGCGACGACTTGGGCAATGCAGATCGCCGCTGGATGGTACAAAGCAAAGGAGCGGTGCTTGGCTAGGATGGGTCTTCCAGTGAAGGAATCGGTGACTTCCGACAGAGCTATAAGGGCGTTGTACAGGATAGAGAAGAAAAGGGCACCGCCTTTTAGGAACAAACCAGCTGAATTGCTAGGAGCAGAGTAGAAGAGAGAGCCGCCGAGAAAGGCCTGGATGACTGTGGCAGCTTGCTTCATTATGAGCGTCGACTTGTCACCTAGCATAATCTGATACTGCCTGATGACGGCAGCCTTGACTTGAGTAGAGAAGTTGGTGGTAAAGGGCGAGCTGTCAGACACCATTCTGTGCTTCTCGTATATAACCATTTCCCGAAAATTGGCCGTATTCTCCTTGGCTTCTTCGCTTGTAGGATAGTCTCGACACTCAATCAGCATGCGGGGCTTAATCTCCGACCGGTCGTAGGCAGCGACGACCTCGTCGGCGGAACGTGGAAATTTCTTCTCCGAGCCGGGGGCAATGCGGCGTTCAGTTAGAACGGTTACACCCGTCAGGAAATCGGCGCGGTTGGAACCAGAAACGCGCATGAAACCAAGATTCTCCATAAAGGGCACTGCTTCCGCCTGAGGACCGTAAAACATCTGCTTGCCATTGTCGAGAACCAGCACCTTGTCAAAATGCTCATAGATGTCATTGCCCGCTTGATACAGAGTGACAATGGTAGTGAGGCCCAGTAGATCAGTCATCACCCTGACAGCTTTGATCCACTCGAGCGCTGTGCTCGCATCCAGACCTCTCGTCGAATTGTCCCAGCAGAAGACACTTGCGCGAGTCGTCATGCTTTCAAGGATAGACACACGTTTCCTTTCCCCGCCAGAGACACCGCGGACGTAGGCGTCTCCCACCTTGGTGGAGGCCGTGTGAGAGATGCCGACAGACCGCAGGAGGAAGTCCTTGTTGTGCTGGGCGTACTGCTCCGCCGTCTTAATGCCTGGCGGCAGATGGTAAGGGACCTTCATGCGAGCGGCGAAATCGATGGTGTCGCCAACGCTCAAGGTTGGATAAAAGACTTCCTCCTCCGTATTCATAATGATCTGGCCTTTATATTGTTTGGCTTCTTTGGCGGTCATGTCTCCGAAGGTGACGTCTCCGGTGATTTCTTCGTAGCCCAGCCGATGGTTAGAAAGTACGTTCAGCAAGGTCGTGCAGCCTGAGCCAGGGCGTCCAAGAACCAGTAACATCTCGCCGGGCTTGACGCAGCCGTAGGAGTTGTCAATGATGGTCTTGATCGGCTTGCCTTTGCTACCTTTATAGAAGGGATAGAATTGGGAGATGGCGTTCTCATTGAACGTCGCGTCGCTGCTAATGCCTTTGACGGTGAGGTTTTGCCACGTGACACCAAGCTTCCTGGGCTTCGTTCCACCTTGTTTATCTCGGTCCCTCATCTGTTGCATTTCTGAGGCCATGTTCCAGGTTGATCTCGTAGCAGAAGCACCCTCGTCGACTTTTGCGGGAATAGTTGTGTTGTCTGGCGTAATGGAATCATCTTCAATGTCTGACGCCCCAAGCGTCATTTTGAAGTTGTGAAGCTAGTACTCGATTATTGGAAGAAAGACTACCTCTTCAGGCTGGAAGAACGAGGTCGTACAATGTTGTAGAAGACTTGGTTGCTTGCTGTGTAGCCGAGGGTATATAAGAGGTTGGAAGAGATGAGATGACATAACTTACAGCAAGGGAAATTTACTATGGCCATCCTAAGGGAAGTTACTACTCGGGCTTGCTATTCAAAGCATTGATCCATACCGGGGGGGATTAAAGCCTCGGGAAAGGCAAAGTGGATTTTGTTAATGCATTTAATGCACTGGGACTCTCTAGAGCTCTAGAGAGGTAGGGAAGTTGTGGGTGGGGAGTAAGCCTGTGAGTTACGGACGTATGATTTCCTTAGCGGCGCCCTTATCCTGACACCAAACCTTCTCTCCGATCACTAATCAGCCTCCGTAGGCGGACTTCGGCAGTTTTACTTTTCACGAACCATAACCTTAATCGAGATGAGGTGGGTCTCTGCGTCGTCAAGATTACAAGATCGCCCGACCCCTGCATATGCATTCCAAAACCCTCCACGGAGGGTTTAAAAGCAGCTGCATTATAAAAACCCTCCACGGAAGGTTTTAAAAGGAGCGATACCCAGCTCCTTGGCCCTTTTGCTTCGGCATCGCAACCTGTACTACAGTACAGCACTGCACACTATCCTGGACTCTTGTACATTGGTCTAGATCAAGCTTATCCTCACCGTATAGGTCCAGACGCGCTTATTGGCATCCGCAAAAATCGTTATGGGCGCTGTAGAAGTCCATCAGTCGCAAAGACGAGTCTCGTGTGAAATTTGCAGGAAACACAAGACACGATGTCGACGCCTACATGTCAACGACCTCCGTTGCGCGCGATGCGTGCTGCTAGGTGTTGAATGTACTGCTGGACTTCAAAACAAAGTTGGAAGGCCGCGGCGAGCGCGTGCTTCTGAGGACAAAAGTTCCAAATATTCGCCAAACATATCAGTCTCTACCGTCAATACTGCCTACACTACGCCTGGTGCTGGAGAGCACAACCAGGCGAGGTCTCCCGGTAGGTCGCACGAGGGTTCTCCAATCTTAGATGGAGGCAACCAGCTGGACTGGAGCAATTTTATGTCTCCAGCAGTCACCGGAGAAACAGTCCTCGTTACGCCTGCGAATAACTCCTTGGATATGGCACCTGCATGGCCAACCATGGGAATGAACTTGCTTAGTCAAGCCTCGCTTCCTTGGGATACAGCGAACGACCTTGATCACATGTTACTCCAGCCGGACACCGACCCAAACCCCAGCTTCAAAATCTTACCTTCTTACGCACTCGATACAGCCGTTACAACCTCTCCGTCTGGTCGTACCTACCCCGCTGTCGAAATCCGGGCGCCTTCGAGGCCGGGCCGCTTCGCAGGAGATGTTCCTGTGGCCTCAGATACCCTAGTCAAGCTTTCCAAGCTCAACCTCGATCTACACATCCGTATGGCAGCCGTTGAGATAAACAAATCGATACTGGATCTTGACAGCTTCATCTACCAAAACGGTGTATTGCACATTGACGACACTACGCTGGCCGAGTTCATGCTGAAGGCGTCACAAGAGTTTCTACAAATCTTGACACAGCTTCTTAGCAGTCACTCGACTCCTAGTCATCTGCGTGTGTTGCGAACGACGGACGCAACGTTTCCGAAGCTATTACCACAGTCAATATCGTCCTATCTTGATAACCACTACTTGTCGCCCTCGCCCTCGCTTTCCTCGTTGCCCAGCTCTTCGGATGTCTCGGAGCCACTGCTGTTAGCACCCACAGCGCTAACCATCACGAGTATCTTCATACAACTTATATCTCTTTATGAGTTGATCCTTAAGCATCTGACTAACCGCATCGAGCGAATTGCCATGGACCCCATCCGCCCCATCCCAAGGCTCTCTTCCGGAGGCTTACCCGTGGCAGAACCATGTATACAAGGCGTAGTATTTTCTGAAGTCGTGGTACATCTTCTGGAGAGGATCGAGCGGCTTTTGGGTATTGGTACTATGCTTGCTAGTGGCGACGTGGGGTTGCTATCAGCGAGGCAGAGAGATGTGCTTTGGAGTGAATTAAGCGGGAGCCTGAGCGTGCTTCCTAGTAGTCATGGCGTTATGAGGCCGGCCAATGTAAGAAACACGTTCAAGAAGGTGGCGGTTATCTTAAAGCAGATCTCTCTAGATGAACAGAACTAGTGAATAAATCAAAATATCGAAGTAGTCCTTACTGTATCTGTTTTTCGGCAGCAGGACTAGAGTTCTCGAGTGATACAACCAAACCTTTTCATGATAGCGCATCTTCTTTCTGCTTGAACATAGTTATCTATTTAGGCACAGAGTGATGATGTAGAGATAACGAATTCTCTAAAACCAGTAAGTTAGTCTCTGAATCAAAAAGTGTAGAACGTAGCGTTAGTATGTTAAAAATGCTATTATTATGTAGACTAGATACAGCCAAATCTCAACTATGTCCATTCAATACAACCCTATACACGCTTCTTAACTGCTAAAAGAATCTTTCATTCCTGCTTTATGCTACGCTGACCGTTGTCGTAAATTGCCTTCTTGACCGTACGCTTATTAAGCCCTACCGCACTCTCCACCGAGGTGTCGAAAATCTTTCTGAACCCCACGGCATTGAGGAACCAAACCAATGTAGCCAGCGTACCCTTCCACACATATTCACCCTTCCCAAGTGCAGGATTTGAGAAAATCTGATGGGCAACTTGGCGCGCAAATTCATCCGGCTTTATGCTTTTGGCTGCGTGCGATCGACTCCTCTCTTGAACGCCCGCCTCAGCATCGATGTAGAGACTATTGGCGCCAAAGGAGATGTTGTCAGGTGACATTAGTCTAGTTGAGACTTCGCCCATGAATAACGTAACTACTTTGATTCCAAGAGGAGCTAGTTCGAGCCGGAGAGTGTCAGAGTAGGAGGTGACGGCCGCTTTTGAGGCGTTGTAGTTGGCAGAGAAGAGAAAGGGGACACGGGAAACGATCGAAGATGTGTTGATGATGGTAGGAGGGAGGCGAGACTCTGACGCGGAGGCTAAAAGGAGAGGAAGGAAGGCCTGCGTCATGTTAAACAGCCCAAAGACGTTTGTGTCGAACATTTGACGGACGCGGACGATATCCGCTTCGACAGCTGGAGCCTCATACACTGTCGAGTTTGTTAGTAACCCTACTTCCGTACGCCTAGGTTCTGCTCGGGTGAAAAAGCGGAGGGAAGATGTTAACATACTTGTACCAGCGTTGTTGAAGAGAATATCCAACTTTCCTCCAGTCCGCTTCGTGATTTCGGCCTTTAGTGCAGAAATGCTCTCTACACTCGTGACATCTAGTGGAAGTATCTCGATACCCTTCGCTTCAAGCTGGGAAAGAGAATTGGTTGAGCGAGCGGTTGCAAAAACACGCATCCCTCGATTCGCAAATTCAAGGGCAAGAGCATGACCGGACGAACCGACCGAGCAGCTACAGTGCCAAAATTATCAGTTTCGAATCATCTTAATAAGAAGAAAAAGTATGACCGATGGTTTAATGGACGTAACATACCCTGTAATAAGAACTGATCGCTTTGTGGATGAAGACATGTATGAAGTTGCTGATACAATATTATTTCCAATGTGAAATTTACTTCTCGTGGTGACATGATCCTTTTGTACTTGACCGAAGCTCGCCGTACAAGATCGTTAATGTTAATGCACGTAGTGCTTTCTTTGTCATTATTCTAGGTACGTGCATTGAGCCGCATCCTACGGACGTACAATGCGTACATCACAATAGGTTTGCCGGTTGCGGTAAGGGAGGCGGTGTAATAATTGTCCCGACTTCACCACTGCTAATTGTAATTAGAGTTTCCTGGGAACTTTACGTCGGGTTTTCATGATTACTCATACGTGTAGGCGAATATTCGACGCACCTACGTTTATAAGCTAGTTGCAAATGTCCGCCGGGAATTATATGAGAGACAATAACCCACTATGACCGGAGCTGCGCGTAGGCTGTTAGGCCCGAAGGACGATCTGAGATCGAGTCGTAGCTGCTTTCGAGGTTAACGTAAGTCATGGCGTGATGGTGATAATGACGTAGAGGTGATACCTACTACCACACCAAATTCTCAAAAATAGAGATTAACTAAGTTAATAATAAGTTAACTTATTTTTAAATATTTTTAATTCATTAACGTCTTGCGTACTACTTGGCCCCTCCGTTGCTGCATTAGCATATACGAATAGTTGACAGACCAAATTGTTATTTATATATTTTTGAGATACCTATTCTATAACGTATCTGTGCACCGAATGATATACGACACCGAATGACACACAAAATCGCGCCAACACAACAAACACTAGAACAATTCCACCACAACAAAAGAAAATCAATTAAAATTATTTGATACGGAGGAGGGGTACTACCGTCAACTTAGCTGTGTCCCCCGCACTCCCTCCACCCGCTCGTGCGAGTAAGTAAGAGCACCCCCTTGACCATCTTCATCACATTCCCCGCTTTGATGTCTGGGGATTGTGGAGGCGGAAATGGGCCCCACAACGGCGCGAGCGCAGAGATCTAAGCCGTTGAGTGAGGATTTCTGACATGCTTCGCGCTTGCTACTGAATTGTTCGACAACATGTTGGCCGCAAGTTTACTTAGTGGGGTCTTGCCTAGCGACATCAGGTTTTCACACGCCATTGCACATGCCTGAAACTGAGGTTATCGTTCGTCCTTCACTTGGCAGACTGTGGGGTAGTAACTAGCTCCCTAGAGGGGGGATAATGGCGCGGATCAACAACTCAACAAAATGAAAGCAAAACTATTGGCTGTAACAGCAATCGTTAGATCTTGTGATTAGTGATCTTACTGGGCTAGAGTCATGCCGGGTTGAGACCGATGCATAACTGGGTGGCAGCTAGTGGTCACCGAGCACATTGCCAGAACCGTTCCTAGCGCACGATCAGTAATCCAAATTGGGCATACCTCATCGCTACGACCAAAAGTTGGGACGTTTGTCACCAAAAATGGGTGTAAAAAAGAGTGTTCATGACGGTTAATTGTCCACCGCTTACCAAGAGATCGGGTTACGTAGTAAGCTAGCTCGGAGGCTTTCTACGTCAACATCCTGTCATTTGTCAGACAACTTTCTTCTTTCACAGTTCTACATGTCTATAAGCGTCGCTAAATCAACGACCTTAACTCTAGATGCACCGTGACTATAGATAAAAGAGATTTAATGTTAGGAGTAGATTAACAATAGGATTTACGCCGTCTCATTATCACAAACAGCTAAACAGTCATCTACTACTCACAAACTTTATATTCTTAAAAATTAAAGATATTAACAGTCCTCTAGCTAATTTCAACATAATGGCACTATAGAAAGAAATCCTTATTATTAGCAGTATAGATGCATAAGGTATTCTATTCCTATTGTTAAAGGTAAATAACATAGCCTAAATAGACTAGTTCTATTTATTAACATAAATTTAGCCCTTACTAAGAGTAGGTAATATACTATCTAAGTCTTAACTTAAAACATTAACTCTTCCTATATAAAGGACCTTATTAATCTTAGAAATGTAACCCTTATCTAAGGCTAGTAAGATAACTAAGAAGACCTTTATAAAGCATTCTATAATGTATATAGCACCTAGGTTAACACTAACAGCTTTACCCTAGGGGAGAAGTATAAGCTCTTTATAGTTTTAAGGTATATAAGATTACTAGAACTAAGGGTATATAGTACTATATTTAGGTTAACATTAAGTATAGCCTAAAGATTACTAACTAGAATAAGGATTATTACTATACTTATATAGATAGTAAGGGAAGAATTAGGTAGTTTATCCTTAACCTAGGGATAGGAGGGGATAATAACCTTACTATTTAGGGTTAGGGTTGAGCAGTCTAGATCTGCTCTAATTAGGCTCTAAGCATTTCTTCAACTCTGCTAATCCGCTCGTCGACTAGTTGATGCTTCTCACGAACAAACTCTGTTGTTTCCCTATGCTGCAGGGTCATGCCTTGCAGAAATTCATGCAACGAAGCTGTTTGGTTCTGTGCAGACTTTATGGTGACCATAGATAGGCTTTCAATATCTAATCGAACACGCATCATATCTCGACTTTGTGTAGTTAGCTTGAAAACCAAAACTGATGTAAATAGTTTTCAAAAAGGGGAAGGGCATCATACGAATTTGATGCGCCAAGTACGACATTGAGGCTCGATTTAATGGCCTTAATATCTTCTTGCAGGGCAAGCAGTCTTGGTTGTTCTTTTCGCCAGAGGCCTGCTCGGAAGATAATAACATTGCTTTGATTTGATGAGGCTGCTAGACCGTCTACAATTGATTTCAGCTCTTTTAACTTTGTCTCTGCTTTCACGAGCAGTTGTAGTATGAACTTGCTGTCTGTCTCCGCCATCGAAATGGGCGAGCAGGATCTTTCTTGGAGGACTCTAGCGACCTGAATGAGGACAACTTCAATATCAGAGACCTCGTTGCTCAATGCGTGAACTCTTCCAGGCAATTGTTTGCACAGTGTTCGCAAATCGTTTAACGCTCCTGCGATTTGAGCCGCAAGTTTGACCACTCCAACCACGCTCGCAAGTGGATCCATGTCTTTCTTTGGGGCCTCAAACCAAGAACAGATTGACCGAGTAGATGCAATGAAGAGCATGAGATTGTGAAAAATCGTAATCTAGTCTTAAAATCCATCCTAACAGTAAGTTGGAATCCTGCAGAGACACAAGGCTGCGGAGTATTTGAGGCCGGTTGATATGTGGTTATACAGAGGTTCCTTGGCTGTTTCTGACCAGGGTCAAAGTGATACTCAACTGGCTGAATTCTCACCAGCTGCATGCGACTGCAGACCATTGAAAGACTGTCAACAAGGTGCTGGCTAAGAAGTGGGCACAAGTTAGGGCATGAATCAATTGTATTTAATTAGATTTAGTGAATAAATAATAAGTTTAATATGAAGTTATTAGTTCTTAGCTTCGTATATAATTGTAGCTTTAACATTCATTAATACTCTATAGGTATATTAGAACAGGGTTCTACGTCCAAAAGAGAGGTCAACCTTACATGGTAAAACAAAATCCCAACGTGACCCTCTTCCGACTTACCGGCTTCCGGAGACGAGAGTTGAGACTCTTCTACATCAACGCCAAGCACCTGAACCGAACAACCCTACAAATCTAACGGCCATGCAGAAACTAGAGAACTCCGTTCCCTTTGGGCGCGAGATGAAAGACGCCTATTTCAACTTTGCTAAAAACTACACTCCGCTAAATCATGGCTCATTCGGAACTTTCCCAAAAAGCGTCAGAGATTATCAACGCGACTTGCAGGATCTCGCCGAGGCTCGGCCTGATACGTTCCTTCGATATACCTATCCTGATCTGTTGGAGAAGTCTCGCTGTGCGGTTGCACCTCTCCTCAGTGTGTCTATGGATGAAGTCGTCTTTGTTCCAAATGCAACAACAGGCGTAAATACAGTCCTACGCAACCTCGTATATCAGAAGGGAGATGTGATCATTCACTTCAGCACAATATATGGAGCGTGTGAGAAGACGATCGACTCCTTGTGCGAAACTGAGCATATCGAGAGGGTATGTGTTCATATCGATTATCCGGAAGAGGATGAAGATATCATTTCTAAGTTTATTAATACGGTAGAGGATTTGAAAAACGACGGAAAGACAGTCAAGCTCGCCATGTTTGATACGGTACTCACTTTCCCTGGAGCACGATTTCCGTGGGAAGCAATGGTGGAAACTTGCAAAACTCAGCAAATTTTAAGTCTCATAGATGGTGCTCATGGCGTTGGACATGTCGATTTGACGCATCTTGGACGAGTTAGCCCGGATTTCTTCACGAGCAACTGCTATAAGTATGTATTTCCATGGCTTTGGTACATTTTGTCACTGACTCTCTTTTTAGATGGCTTTTTTGTCAAGGAGTTGACAAAAACTAAATCTACCGTGCATTGATTTCCTAGCTTCTGTTCCGTAGTAATGATGACGCTTGCGAGTCCCATTCTAAAATATAAAGTCGTCAGATGCTCCTACATTTTTCTCAATTGTCCAAACTCCAAACAATGACATAAGGATCGATTCTTGGGATTTGTTTCATAATCTTCTCAGTCCGCATTTACGCTTTACGTGTTTCTTCGTTATCTGCTAGGGCATTGTGGAATGAACAGGCAGACGACAGATAAATCAACCACAAAGGTCGCTAACTCAGCGAACAAGCCACTAAACCTTCACCACACCATCGAATCTCGCCTCACCGCCTATCACATCGTTCACAAACACGTCGTTAGGAATGCAAACATGCCCATCCACGACAATTCCCTTCATATATCCCCCGGGCGGGCCTTAAACCTACAGAAATACCTCCTCCTGCACCCCCAGCATGATGTCCTACATACCCAACTCGCCTCTTCCGAGATGCGTATGCTGGAGTGTTGCGTCCGGCACGAAGTACTTCTTCTTTCGGATGTCGCGATGCCTTGCTTTTTACCAGCACAGCAGCGACCATTAGGTCCGCGCCTTAGCCCTCGTTCGTGAATCCACCTCCGATTCAAACTTAGTGTCGGCTATAGAGACGCATTGCGCTTCTATTGTCAGCCGACATTAGAAATTGCAGTATCGTAGAGCATATCAAAACTGTATAAATCTAGCCTTGGACAAACAACTGCTCGGGCCATGAAGCCAGCAAACGGATTTGCAGCCTATGTTGGCGCTAGTCTTCGATAAAAATTTCGGGTGCAAAGTAGGGTGGATCTCAGCCTCTACATCTGGATGCAGGATCATACATTGACACGAACATTCAATTGAAGTAGCCACAATCTGGCATGGTCGTGACGGCACGTGCGTATTGCAACGTTCAGACCCTTGTTCAAAGTAGTCCTCCGCGTGCGGTGCAAGACCAACAGAGCGGGTTTCATTCAAAGGTCGCTGGCTAAACGTTTATAATCCCCATCGAGCTCAATAAACTGCCTAAAGCTTTCAATTTGACTGGCTTCGTAAGGAGAAGATCCATTCCACTGCCAATCGCTTCCCGATGGGCGTCTTCCGAGGCCAGACCGGAGAGCGCAATGATAGGGACACGATGCTGATCCTCCCGAACCTCGTGGGCCCGTATATACCTCGTAGCCTCGAATCCATCCATGACCGGCATGGAAATGTCCATCAAAACGCAGGTGTACGTACGGTAGGATAGACAAAACAGATCAACCGCTTCTTTTCCGTTCATTGCAAGGTCATATTCTACACCGAGTTTCTTCAAATAAGTGGACAGCACCTTCAAATTGATATGATTGTCGTCGACAAGCAAGAACTTGGTGAATGGATCGGGAGGTTCAGAAGTCGAAGGTTCGTCAGGTGTCGTCGAGTTCACCGACGTTTCGTCCTTCACATCGGAGAATACCGACGTGTCATCGTAGTCTGTGGGGCTCGAACTGGCGCTGTGTGAGTACGATGACACTCTACCTCCAGCTGGCCTGCTCGTATTCGTTATAGTAAAGGAACTTTGCGTCCTGTGAAGACTGTCCGGTCGTTTGACTGATGATGGGGTTGCATAACTTCTCGTCGGGGAGTCGGAGAAATTCATCCATCGTGTATACGCAAGAAATAGCGCCCGAGCAAGTTTGCGAGGACCGATTCTGTGATAGCATGAGTATATTAGTACTACAGTGGAGCAATAATGCATAGATGAACCTACGGTTGAGAAATGAACTCAAAAACCGCAGCATAATCAGCTGCTTCAAAAATCTGCGACTGGCGATAAGCCACCAAAGCATTGGGGCAGATAACCACATTAGGGGTCTTGGCAAGCGCCTGTATGTCCGTAGACAAGCTTGGCAGCTCATCTTGCGACCACAGCAAAATATCTGCTGTAGTTGTACCAGGCATGTTGGAGACAATCTCCATCATAAGCCATTCGCGGCAAATGTCTGGTACTGATTTCTGCCAGTCGGAGATGCTACCGTCCCCATTATGGTTCGACAACGAAAGCCCGATACGCAGCCCTTTAAGGTCTCGGACCTGCTCCTCAAACATTTGATCGTCTTCTGAGCCCAGAAGGGCCTTTTCTGGAGATTGCGAAACCTGCTCTAATGGGAGAATGACGGATGCCGTAGTCCCAATACCAACTTGACTCTGTATCGAGACTTCTCCTCGCAACTGCGACACAATCTGCTTCACAAGACTTAGGCCGAGGCCAGTACCTGGTGTTAAAGTGTCTTCCTGGCTAAACGGACGAAAGAGCTCGTGTTGGAGAAAGTCGGGGCTAATACCCTTCCCTGTATCTTGAACGGTAAATTTGACAACCTGCTCTTTCCCCCTGCGTTGGATAGAGCGTCTCTCTTGCGTTAAGGAGACTTTGATTGTGCCTCGAAGCGTGTATTTTAATGCGTTGCCGAATATATTCATGACAATACGGCGAATAGCTCCAACTTGAACAAAGTAAGACCAATTTTGGCGAGCATCGATAGATAATATAACTGACACTTCTCCGAATTCTTGGCTCAACCCTACACCAGCAGCTGGTACCGGGTCAAATTGGACTATAGTTTGCATGGGATTTGACTGGTGACTGGCCATGCCGTCGCGATCTATCGATTTGGCTTGCCTTACAGAAGGCTGCGTAATGGACAAGTACTGAAACGTATAGCCAGCAAAAACGCTTTCAGTCACTTCCTCAATAAGACGGTCAAGCTGAGTGTTGCACGTTAGGCTCTTCTCGCAAAATTGTCCCGAGTCGTCCACAACTGCAACAGGTTGAGGTCCGCGACTAACTTTCGATTTGGAACCCCTCCTCGCGAAGCTGTTAATCTTGGAATAGTCGAGGAGATGATCTATAGTGTCGAGAAGTGTGCGAGAGCATACTTCTATGGTGTGAGCGGCGTTACCTTGGAAGACGCTGAGTCTTGTGTCGCCTAGTAATTCGGCGCTCAATATAATCCCGTGAAGGGGGGAGCGTAGTTCGTGTGAGAGCGACCCGAGAATATCAGACTTTGCTTTATCAACTTGCCAGTCGTTGACACGCAAGATCTCAGCCATAGTGAGCATTCCGAATGCTCTCAAATAGCTTAGTTCACCCTCGACGGTAAAGCTTCGGGTTAGAATGTTGGTATAGATGAAACAACCGGCATACCATCGATCTTTCCTCGGGTCCCAAACCGGGGTAAATGCGACGCTTCGAACACCGGGGAAAGCTTTCATGAGAACGCTCCCCTCTCGGTGTCGAGCCCATGGCTTCTTTAGAGATTTATCACGCATGGATACGTTAGGCATATTGTCCCGGCTGTCAGATAGTAAAGGAAGTATTTCAGTAAGCTCTGACGTCGAGAAGTTCCCATCTTCTTCGGATGAGTCAGAGGATTGAAGCACTCCATCTGCGCCAAAATTGAAAACCTTGCCTTTAGGATATCTCTGCAGCAGCTTGGCTAGAAATTTTTCCGGCAACGCTGTGGCATGTTGCTTTGATGAATCTCCGTCGATGCTTGACTTCTCGGAAGTCGAATACCCAAGTACCCTGCAATGCCGCCAAGATTGCTCGCCAGGTGCATGATCTGAACTGTCATCGCTACTGCTTGCCGCAGAAAATAGTCCCATCGAGTTGACGTTGGTACTAGTCCGTGATGGAGATCGATAAGCCTCCATCGTGGCATCGACAAACAAGCATCCTTCAACCTCTGTTGACTCCCTGATAATATTGGCAGCTTTCGAAAAGACACCAGTTGGGCTTTCACAGTCCAACATGCCATCCCTATTTTCTAACGGACGTTCAATATGTCGGAAAGAACCCCCAAATGACCGTGCTTCCGCGTTCTGCCTAGGAGGAACGGTTGGATCGACTGATGCCGCAATGGGTAATATTCCAGACTTGGCAGCATTATTCGCCAGGTCATTTTGTTCGAGCTGCAGGGACTGTTGTTTATGATTAAGGTCACCCTCAAATGCGGGTTTATCGACAAAAGCTGCCGCATGAGGGCCAGGTTGCCAGCCGGATAGCGTCGATTTGCCTTCGATGAAGGACCCTAAGCCTCGATTCATGCGTTCATTCCTTCTATGTAAATCTCCCAATCGTTTTGACTCGAGATGATCCATTATAGTATGGGATATGTCGCGTAATGTTTGAGTATACTCCTCGGTCCAGACTTTGCCTGGAGTTTCATTAATGACACAGTACACGCCGATATTGATGCCCCGTCGCGTTCGGATGGGTACGGCGGCATAAAACCGGCACAGGGTTCCGGGTTGACAGTAGGGTTTGGAGCAAAATCGAGGATCTATGACCAAGTCGTCCGCCAGGGTGAGTGGTAGTTCCGTCGACGTCTCGCTCCTTGCCTCATCTGTCCGGGTGGTGTTCTCGCCGAGGAGGCTAAGCTCGCAGACGCCATGGCTGCGAGGAATAGAGGTGCCGCACAGCCATAGGGGCTGGCGGCAGTCCCCGCTCCTCACTGATGGCAACAACCGCGAAGATTGTGTTGCTTCGGCGACAATATATTGGTTATCGGAATCAAACAGGGAAATGAGCGATCGATCAGTCCCCGTCTGGAAGGCTCCGGCCTGGGCGAGGGCCGTAAGGACAGCGTCGTCGCAACTCGACAGCTCGGAACTCGAAGTCGGTTCACCGCTATGGTTCGACGTACCTCCAGTGGTCAGGGTTGAGTAGTATCTGCAATGTGACGTGGGCCGTTAGCGAGAGGGCGGCGATGGCGGCGCAGATTTGGACTGAAACAGACTTACTTAAACGTCTCTCGTTCGCGCACTGGCTCTGTAACGATCTTGAGCCGCCTTGCCCGGGCTCCATTCAACTGTGGCGCCATCCCGTATCGCGGGGAGCGATACGAGACGATTCCGCGCTCGCACGGTCAAGATGGTGCAATACTAAGATGAGTTGAGAGCGGAGCGTATAAAGCTATAACGATATAACGGAGCGCTGGTTCTCTGGTGAAACATGTGCGGTGTTGCTAGTCCGCATGTGCAAGAAGACGCAGTCCTGATATGCGTTGTCACGTCCAAAGATCTTTGGCGAGGGCGTTCCCTTCACATCCCAAATGCCCCGCCATTTGCTTCGTGATGGGCAATTTTAGCCCCACCAAGCAGCACCGTTTACGGCATCAGCCTTCGGAGCGTTCGGTGATAACTACATAATTATTCAAATAAACACACACTAACTAAACAAAGCTTATTTTACGACGCCTTTTCAAGTGACGCATGAGCGCGGTTACTATCATGGCACAGCGACATTATTTCGTGGCTATCTGGCAGCAGTTGATAGTCTCAATGACCCCTCACTAGAGATCAATTGGGTAGAGTCTTATCTCCTCTGGATTTATTCTTGAAATTCATCAACGTAGTGAGGAACAATTTCGATACCATACTGCCTGAATTTCTTCTTGCTTGAGCGTGCCACATAAGGGTTGGCTCAAAAACCAAAAGAAACTCTTGTACTCCGGCCACAAATTCAGATGGCCACTGACAAGGGTCTATTTGTTGAATGTTATGTCCGGGGGGCCTGGGGTCGCCAAGAGCCACACAGATCTGGACTTAATTTCAAGGCAACGAAGACGAGAGCTCTAGCAATCAACGTAAGCCGAGTCCGACTCACTGATCACTCTCCTCCCCCGCCTTGAACTTTCATCATCAAAGACACTCCCACCATTAACCGTCATGGTAACCAGACGGCGTTCGCGTAGGGCCAAATTTGTAGGTATCTTTACATAGCAAATTATATATAAAGGTATAAATTATCTAAGCGCGTTCCAAACTGACTGGGGCATTGACCTTCGATGCCAGGACATCCAGGACAACTAGTAAAAGCAGGTCATCACTGAAGTCAACCGCGAGGCTCGGCAGTGTCAGATCATTTGGCCTTAGGAAATCGTTTGATCTGACCGGTCTCCTTTCGTTTCGGGAGCTCTTCGGCTTCATGGAACAAGCGAAGGATATTAACGGCGTGATCGAATCGTCTTGGTCTTTCATGAGTTACGGGACACTCGTTGGGCAATACCTAGTCTAGTTCTTGGACAGCATCTTAAACGCGCGCCATGAAGGAAACTGTCCTTTATTTGTTCGAAATATGGGGATTTTGTGTCTAGTACTTAGCATACAAATAGGAGGGATATCGTGAGCTGCCCAGACGCCATTGCAGTATCCCGATTCAATTTTATGCTATTCTAGGAATCGAGCATGACATATACATTCCCTGAGTTTCCCAGCCAGACCTCGACAGGACGGGCCGCTGGCGTTCAACAGGAGCCAGTGGTGATGAATCTCCCCGTTGCGCTGTAATGGAAACGGTGAGAGGGTAAATATCCGTGCCGGACGGAGGACAAAGGCCATAACGAGATCAAGATTGATGAGTAAAAGGAGTTGGCATGTCCGTGAGTGGTTCGAACGATGTATTCGTTCCGCGCCCCACCAATAACTGTAAAGACAACCAGAGCCCATCTTGAGCACTACCGGACCATCCTACATCAACCCAATAGTAACATCACCCTTCACCCTCGCATACAAATCCACTTCAACCTCTAGATCAAGCTCGATCTTAATCTTAAGCGCGCTATCCGACGCTTTCTTATTCACAGGCCGGTCTTTGATCCTCGACTCCCTGATCGCCGCTGCCCTATACCCCATCTTTTCTCTAGCTTCGTCGCGCGATGGCTGTGCCGCGTTGCCGTTACGAGCTGCCTCCTGACGTTGGGCTCGGGCTTGATAGAGTGATTTTGATTTTTGGCCCTGGTTATTGGCTTTGCCTTTCGTGACAGCATTGCCATCGTTGATGTTGTCAGACTCGCTTTCAGATTTGTATGCAGCGTCATTGTTGTTATACCCCTGTGGGGCGTCCGCTTTGTCTTCTTGTCTGTGAGGGGGATGATCCCGAAGTAAATACTTGGAATTTACAAGATGGGACGGGGGGTTGACAGGGTAAGAAGTTTTTTTGATTTTACCCGTCTGACATTGTAGGGGAACGCTTTCGTCTTTCAGAGGAAAGGGATGCGAGTGGAGAGTGGACTGAGGAGCGTAGAGGTGGACGAGTTAGAGCGAAATATACTGTAGAGGGATTCCAATCAATTAACTATGAGTTTATTGAGAAAAGATTCACCTCAATTGATGAGTCGGTTTACTTATAGGGTTGATATGTTTAAAATTCCAGATGATGACGACGATAGTGGAGGTTGTAGCCACGTAGGACAAGGGTAGATAATCTTGTTTGTAGTAACGTGGTTGTACACCGAGTCGCGCACTTAGTATCACCACACCAACATTTATATGTAATGGTACTTCTGACAAAACGTGACAAGGTACCTTTACATATAAATTTTGGTGTGATGATACCAAGTGCGCGACTTGGTGTCGTCTTATAAAGATAAATTATTAAATATAAATAGTTCACTGTTAATCCTGTGGTTGATCTAATACTAGATCCTTGTTGCTAGTTGTGAATCTTGTTTACTTGCCTCGTTAAAACTTGCCTCGTCCAAACTATGACAGCTTTCAGCGCACGGAGACATTTGTGCCAACCGCCAAGGATAATGGGCGGCGAATGGCTCTGTTCTTATGCCGCTGATGCCAGTCGGTGTGCCTGACCCTGGCTAGCAGGGATAGGTGCAATCATGACGTGCAAACTTATGAGGCCTTTGTTGTTTCTTGGATAGTCTTTCCTCTCGCCAGTCGGCCGTATGCAAGTAGTATCTCCACACGAGTAAATTGATTAGTAGCGGCAGTCGTACAATTACTAGCCTGCGTGGGCTCCGCGGGACCAAGCTCGAACGCGGCATGAATTATATCTATACCGTAAAATTCAACAATAGAGTATGCCTTTCACCTCTCTACCTGATTTATTGAAACCTGAGCCATTGTCTTACATGTTGTCTCAGTCCTTCACACTTTGATTGCTCGTGGCTATAGAAATTATTTTTAGGTGGCAGCCTTCATTGCTTCGTTAGCATCTGCGGTACTCTCATACGAAATCAGGATGATACGGGCAAGTGGGGCTAGTGTAGATTCGTTCCGTGGCTAAATGTGGCTTGATTGTGGCCGATAAACGCCTCAACGCTGCTCGCAAACCCAAACCCATCGCGGTTACGGCTGGCCTTTCCACTCTGCCTTCTTGACTTTAATGCAATATCCTCTGTGGATGACCCTAGGATATGGAGTTTGCTGAAGGTCCGTGGCCTTGCTCACCTCACCATTCTTAGCCCGCATCGCTGCATCGTACATGAAATCCGAAAGTGGCTCAAGGGGTTTCACTCAGCGTGAAGAATCCTAGGCCAAACAATTGGATAAGTCGCCTGAAGTATCAAGACGTCTTGCCACACTAGCAGCAACAGTACGAATAGCTTGACGCTAGGTACAAATACTTGCACGACCGAGAGACAGTCGCCGCGAGATGTGCAAGGCAACGACTGGCCTCCGTTACTGACTCTATATTAGGTGGCTTTTTGTACCGCGTGGTTGTGCTGTGCTACACGTACCAGCCCGTAACCATCATTTGATACGCACATCCCTACCGACTTCGTGGGGATATCAACCACTACTAGAAGGAGGATCCGTTCTAGGAGGAGATAAGGCATTTGGCGAGCTTTTCAAGAAAGTTTCCACCGTCGACCCCACACCATATGTCTGCGTTGAGGAAGCTCTGAAATTTCGCGAGCTAACGTGCGGCGGTGAGGCAGCAGTAAGGGAGTACTGCGAGCATATCGCCCAGGCTGGAGGCAAGAGAATAGCAGAGATTATGGGTACCGAAATAATGGAAAACGAGACCCCGACACTCCATCGATGCTGCTTCGTGAACGCCCGTTTACCGTTAGTAGTTACGAATGGGGCTGCTTCTTACGATACTCGCGCCGAGCCCGCACAGGATCAGGAAGCAGTGAACGTGCAGGAAAATAAGAAGATTTCGTACATCAGAGATACGGATGCCACGGAAATTTCAAAGTGGATGACAGAGAGATCTATTAAGGACTACGAAACCATGATTCCAGTTAAGTTCTATAGAGGAGAGGTCTGGTGCAGGATAAGTGGTCAGGTATATCTCGAACTGCAAAATTTTGAGTGGGCCGCATACAGGCTTGAAGAGATGTGCGAAAGGGTCTTGAGGGGGGAATTCAAGGATGCGCCAGTTTAACGCGGTGGAATGTATTGTGTGTGTGGCAATAGGCACACTTCCCTGCTGTTTCGTTTATTTTTTAATTATCTTTACTAAAGATATCACTACTTGAGCCATTAGTTCAACGTGACGCTGCTGTGAAGATGAGTGTATTTGAATACTTTTAAATATCATTAATTGACTGACTTTGAGTTATATCCCAACAAACTATACCAACCTCTTCCTCCTTAACCCCAACTACCGATCCCCCCTACGTAAACTTCTTCTAATTAACAGAATTAATTAAGCTCATTAAGCCAGATAAAACAGCCCTTTGCTGCTAGAATTAGTGAAGATAGGCACGCAAATGTAGGTAAGATATGGCAAGAGTACGTGTACATTGTCATATTCTACATAAAATGACGTTTGTCTTAGCCAATAATTTTAGTATTCAACGCTATAGCGAACATATACAGCACATAGAGTCAATGAGCTTCTTTGAATCATATGAATGCGTTGGTGTCTATCAATGGAGAGAATAATATTGCACATTTGGTTGGTCCAGTCACGTCAATAATCCGAAACGGTGAAGCGATCTGGTGGCAATCAGTATGATTAATGGAATTGGCTTTGAAGCTGTGGCTAACACGTTTTCTATGACGCGATTCGGGATTGTATTCTACTGGGAATTTGCGTTGAGAATAGTGTGGCTCTTGAAGAGTGAGTGGTGTCGCGACGAAATTTCAATTTCTTGGCTTCCAGGGTCCCAAGATCACCAACCTAACTTAATAGCAGGATCCTACTCTACTATTTTACTCATAAGACTAAGACTCGTAGACTCATTCAATTATAATGACCTTGGGTTCTGCTAATGGTCGTGTGGTGTTTCATAAAGATGAGACACAACCCATCGAAAATGTATGATGACGTTTGCCACTTACTCTCCTATTAAGGAACTATTTGCTGAACATCTGTTCATCAAGCAACCCCTTCTGATATATATGACCGCTATCCCTTCAAAATCTCAATACGAGCAATGACCGCAATAATTACAACTCTCCATCGAACATGCCGTATAATCCTCCTTCTTGTCCCAATCATACTCGTCATCATCATCGTCCAAAGCATTAACAATCTTTTCGTCAAGAGGCACCCCTTTCTCAATAGAATCATCCTCAAGACCTATGGCTCCATCAACGGAGCTATTACCGACAGCTACAGCAATAGATTCTGCCCGATCACCTTGATCAGCCCACCGTGCAGCAAGATCATTAGGCAAGACGGAGGCCACTCCTTCGACTTGCTCCCTCAGTTCCAATCCAAGCCCATATCGATACCGGACTTCCAGCTTTCGTCTCGGGGTATCCTTAACAACGTCCGCAATCTTTTTGATAAGGCCGATCAATTTACGCACGTCTCCCTTGTTATCGCTCTCCCACCTGGCGACATCTGGTTCGATGTTGTGGACCGTGACGTCTTCTGATCGAAAGAGGCCACGGTCGTGGTACGCGAGAACGAAGAATGAAATCTGGCGGATCCAAAGCCGGGGAATTTGGTCGGATATCGTGGTGTCATTGTGCTTCTTTTTGATTGAGCGCGTCTTCAGATCGAAAACTGCAGACTGGGGTACAGATCCTTGACCTCGAGTAACCTTTAGGCTGTCTGAGTTCTTGGGCGTGTGGGCACTAATGGTGTTTGCTGCGAGGGCTGACACGAGAAAGTCTTCATTTACCTCCCGATTTTCCGCGCTGGCATACGTCTTCTTCTCTGGAACTTTCTCTGTAAGATAGCCGTCCGCTTCAAATCGAATGATTGTGTTGAGATGACCAAGCTGGTAGCGGATGATGCGTTGATGAGAATTGGAACTCTGGAGGTCGGCATCCCAGGTAGTGTTCGCTTCAGGGAAACTATGCCCATAACCACGAATGTCTGTAATCACTTCCTTTGGCGAGTTCTCTCTTCGGATAAAAAAGACTGTCTCCCCCACCGCCTCAACTAGAAATCGAAATGGCTTCTCAGTTTCGACATTGCGGGCGAACCTGAGCAAGTTTCCAAACGTACTTCCGCAACCGAAGACATCAACTTCCTGGGCATTGAAATCAGGGCGCTCCTCGAAGATAGAACGAACCACCGGCTCCATAGGATACGATGGAAAGTATGCAGCGTTTTGGTCTCGATAGTAAATGCCGTTAGGATTGTCTTCCGCGAGCTTAGTCGGCCTAGCTGTGGGCGTCCACTTTGGAGGCTTGCCTGTTCTTATGTTAGGGCTTTTTTGATGTTATAAGAACTCAAGTTGTGAGAATACTAACCAGGAGTCATGATCGTTGGCTCGTTTGCTTTGAGCCAGTTGTACGATGCGACATCTTCTAGGCCTGTGATTTTGGCATCGCTAGATGAGGCTTGATCGGCCTCCAACTCGCTGTAACGGATGGTAGTCAAGACTAGACCGATTGGCGGGGATGGACTTCTTGGAGTCGCAGGAGCTACTGAACGCCGGCCTTGTCCACTGCCTCGACGTGTTGCAGTGTAACCACCACGAGAACGCCCGCCAAATCGATCATAACTGCTTGACGAGAACATCTCGTAAATTTTCTCTCTCACCAACTTTTGAATCAAATATTGTTCGCGCTGAAGCAAGATTAAGTTTGATCATCGGGGAAGAAAGGCTTCAACCAGCTGCTACAGCGGCTTGGTCCGGAAACAAGAAATGAGCGTTTATGTAGGGTTTGTTGGCACCACATGAGGTAGGTCTATCCCTTTGCTTCTCGGCTGCAGAGCACGTCGATTTTGGTCTCTTGCATTGTCTTTGATAGCTAAAGATCCCTATTGGTGGAGAAGTGCGGCTGTGTAACGTGAAGAAGGCAACCATCGCGCCTTGTTCGATGGTCCCAGGATTCCTTCTTTTTTATCCTCTTTGTTTTCGTTTTTGAAGAGAAGTAGAACTATAGTTGGTGTTCACAGAACTTCCTTTTAGGCTACAATTCTTGGTCATTGACAGGTGAGGAGCTTAGACAGACTGCCTGGAAGTAGAATGTACAGAGCTCTTCTTGGTGTCGAAATCCCATTTACCTGCCCTTTACACTAGTCGATCCTGTCTACAAGGCTCATATCGGAAAACAATTCTCTACCAGGAATATACAAGTCGATCGAGATTTGTTTGAAATTTTTGGAGGCTGCATCACGAAGACTTGTCCCTACTGCTAGCTAGAGGTACGTTAAGCACTTTCTCAGCTACGATTCACCTACAACATGTTCTGATTTATCACTAACTAACTACTGTTTTTAGACTCCACTGCTCCCTCAAAGTCACTATTGGCAAACGGCGTCTTCTCCTTGCCATATACTAATGGCATCCAACGGAGATCGAGCGATCCAATTGAACAAGTTCCTTCGATCCATTGCATTTGGGAAGTCCTCCATCACTAATGCTGATCGTGCAAAGTTATTTTTGGAAGCTCTATGCGCACAAGAAGACCGTGTAACCTGTGTAGAGAGACTTTTTGCAAAGCAACTGTCTATTGACGCACTTCGTCGAGCTCTGAGGCTCGACACGTCTGTAAACTACATCAACCAATCCATTGCAGTATTTCTTGGATATATCTCTGACCCTGCCATCAAGCAAATTTCTAGCGGCCAGTTTCTTCAGGATATCCTTGTCATCATTGCTGATCCTCCCACTCTTTGGAACGCCTTAGTTGTTTCACATGAAAATGGCTCTCTCAGTGAGAATGCAACACATGGTTTTGCTTGGCTCCTTTGGGAGCTTCTCTCGATGCCTTCTAATGACAACATCGAAGTAATGGAAACCGCGAAATCTGTAACGAATTCAAGATCTCTTCTAGAATCATCATCCCATGAAACTCGCGTTCTCGGTTACAAAATTCAGCACTTCTTAAAAGCTAAAGAAAGTAGCGCACATTCCAACCCGGACAATACTGGACCAGGAGGTCGACATGACAACGACTTCGTTGACTACCGCGAGATAGCAATATTTCCCACTGCAGACGAATTCATGTCGGACACGCAACCATTCTACAGACCGGCCAAAGAAATACCTCTAGCTGAGCCTGAAAATCGCGTCGGAATTCACCTGGATAACCAGTTTCGCCTCCTTCGGGAAGACATGCTTGCTGAGCTGAGGGACGATGTTCGCATCGCGACTGGAAAGAAGAAAGGGAGACGATCTCCCGTCATCCTTGAGAGCCTCAGTCTTGCTGGAAGTGAATGTGGTGAGCCGAAGAAATGGAAGCAATGTGCTTTGAAGCTACACTGCGGGGTTGGCATGGAAAAGTTTGAAAAGATGTCTGCTTTGGAAAGAAAGACTTACCTCAAAAACAACCCACGATCCCTCAAACATCAATCGTTCGGCTGTTTATTACAAGGAGACCAGATCGTTGCTTTCGCCATCCTGGATAGAGATGAAGCTGGATTGCTTGAAGATCCTCCGGCTATCACCTTGAAGATATGCGGAGACGATGCTTTCAAAACCCTTTTATTGGCTTTAAAGGGAGCAACGCCAGTTGACTATATCCAAGTTGACACTCCGTTCTTTGCCTATGAGCCTGTGCTGCGATGTCTGCAGGATATGAAAGATATTCCACTCGCGCAATTTCTCCTAGGGACAGTTCCAGACGAGGCATCTCAGACTACCTTAGCCGTTGACAGCGCATTTGTTAACGAGCTGCGAGTTAAGGGCAGTTCGGTCATCCAACGCCTGCTTAAAACAGACCAACCTATCGATCTCGATCAATCTCAGATGGATTCTCTCATCGCTGGACTGGGACAGTCTGTGAGTCTGATACAAGGACCGCCAGGTAAGTTCATCAACTGTGTGCTCTTTTAATCACAACTATTGACATCACTAGGAACGGGCAAGTCTTTTATTGGTGCTTTGATCGCAAAAGCGTTGTACGAGCACACAAGTGAGACTATTCTTGTTCTAAGTTATACCAATCATGCACTAGATCAGTTTCTTGAGGACCTTCTTGACAATGGGATTCCACCGCAGAGTGTCGTTCGACTTGGATCGAAATCTACACCACGAACCGCGCCCTTGAACTTGTTCGAGAGACAAAAAACTGGTGGCTATAATAAATCTCGCGCCGGGTGGGAGATAGTCAACAACTTAGAAAAACTCGTCGAGGACTACCGGACTGAGCTGTCAGTTGAGCTCAAGTCTTATTCCCAGACTGGAGTATCGTGGAAGGACATACTTGCTTATCTTGAATTCAGCGATGATGATGATCATTTTTACCCAGCACTACTTGTACCTGACGAGGAAGATGGAATGACGCGCGTTGGCAAGGGTGGAAAGGAAATCAAACCAGATTACCTCTATGACAGATGGTCGCGAGGTGAGGATGCTGGTATTTTCAAAAAGCAAATTGCAGAACATAATGAAGTTTGGGCCATGGACGCGACTTCTAGACTGGAACGTTTGAAACGTTGGAGTACCGCTCTGCTAGACGAACAAGCGTCCAAAGTCGCCACTCTACTTTCACGATATAACAGATATCAGCAGCGTTTAGCACAGGCCCTAGGCGAGAGGACAGCACAGACTCTTAATAGCATGAGAGTCATTGGTTGCACCACAACAGCTGCCGCTAAGTATGCTTCTGATCTTCGCAATGCCGCACCAGGAGTTGTCCTGGTTGAGGAAGCTGGCGAAATTCTGGAAAGCCACGTTCTGACTGCACTGTCGCCTAATACTAAGCAGCTCATTCTCATCGGAGATCACAAACAGTTGCGTCCAAAGTATAGCAATTACGCAATCAGTGTCGAAAAAGGCGATGGATATGACCTCAATCGTTCCATGTTTGAACGGCTTGTGCTCGCAAATTATACCCATACCACGTTGTCTAAGCAACACCGCATGTGTCCGGAAATCTCATCTTTAGTCAGGCACTTAACATACCCTAGCCTTCAAGATGCTGATAAGACACTGAATCGGGCACCGGTGCGTGGGATCCGAGACCGAGTAGTCTTCTTCAACCACGTGTATCCAGAGGTTGATGCTCAAGAGATTGCAGACCGTCGAGACCCTGAATCGAAGACTAGCAAGAGTAATTCATTCGAGGTTGACCTTGTGTTGAAATGCGTCCGCTATCTTGGGCAACAAGGATACGGGACTGACAAGCTTGTCATACTTACTCCATATCTCGGGCAGCTACGCCTCCTTCGTGATCAACTTATGGTAGAGAACGATCCGGTTCTCAACGATCTCGATTCTTTCGATCTTGTTCAAGCAGGTTTACTTTCGGAGGTCAGCGCAAATATCAACAAACGCCCTATCAAAATCTCCACGATCGGTATGTTAATGGCTGTTATGTTCCAAGGCCTTTTCTAATTTTTTTTACATCAGATAACTACCAGGGTGAAGAGAGTGAAATTGTCATTGTATCTCTCACGCGTAGCAACAAAAAAGGCGACATTGGGTTCATGTTTTCGCCTGAGCGACTTAATGTCCTGCTTTCTCGAGCCCGTGACGGACTCATCATGATTGGCAATGCACAAACCTTCCTCAAGAGTCGCAATGCAGATCAAGCATGGTCGCCGTTCCTGCACTTCATGAAGGAGAACGGCCATCTATATGACGGTCTTCCAGTCCAGTGCCAGCAGCATCCGCACAAGAAAGTCCTTTTGAAGACAGCTCGAGATTTTGACATTGAATGTCCTGATGGCGGATGTTCGGAGCCATGGTAAGTTCGTCTTGCTCGACACCAAGATTTATTTAGCTAATATGAAAAAGCGGAACACAATTAAGCTGTGGCACTCATTACTGCCCTTCTAAATGCCATCAACTGTATGATCACTCCAAGATGGAATGCCAGGCATTGGTTCAGTTTGTCTGTTCACAGAAGCATAGATCCCAGCGCCCTTGCTCAAAGTCTCAGGCGGCTTGCGCGATTTGTGCAGAGGAAGATCGACAGAGAGAACGAATTCGAAATCGAAATGCACAACTCGATGCCGAACGTGACAGCAATATGGCTGCTTATGCACGACAGCTTGCGGAAAGTCAAGCTGAGATTGATCACCAGAAACGCATTCTAAAAGATCACCGTGAGGCTGAAGACTCGGCCAGGGTACTTGAGCAAATGAAGCAGGACCTAGCCAATCTTAAAGTAACAGCAAATAATCTTGAAAAGCAGCGACAGTCCTGCACTAAACCACAAGCGTCTCCTGCGTCTAAGTCGTCGGGCAAGAAAGTGGCTGTGGAGAACGAAGAAGACTGGTCAACAGCAAAAAAGCAGTGGGAGCATTTCAAACGCTACGAAGGTGCAGACAATAAAGCTCTTGATGATTTGATGAGCATGATTGGCTTGGAAGACGTTAAGGACAAGTTCCTTGCTATCAAGTTAGAGGTGGATACTGCTGTGCGTCAAGGTCTCGATATGTCGAGCAAACGCTTCGGGGCCTCTTTGTTAGGCAATCCTGGAACTGGTAAGCAATTGTTATTCCCTTCTGTAATAATAATCGAGCTCAATTGTTGACACTCGTAGGCAAAACCACTGTCGCTCGGCTCTATGCCAAGTTCCTCACTTCTGTCGGAGCTTTGCCTGGGAGTCAATTTATCGAGACAACAGGTGCAGCTCTCGCAAATGAAGGAGTGCCGGGCTGCATAAAGAAGCTAGAGGATATTCAGAATAATGGTGGTGGTGCTTTATTCATTGATGAAGCATACCAGCTAGCATCTGGTGGTAACTTTGGAGGAACTGCTGTTCTTGACTTCATTCTCGCAGAAGTGGAAAACTTGACGGGAAAGGTCGTCTTCATTCTCGCTGGATACAACAAACAGATGGAAAAATTCTTTGCACATAACCCTGGCTTTCCAAGTCGCTTTCCGCACGAATTTCAATTCAAGGACTACGAAGACGACGAGTTACTGCAGATACTGGCCCATAAAATGAACAAGAGATATGAAAACAGAATGGACGTCGAAGATGGGCCAGGTGGTCTCTTTTCCCGCATTGTTGCCCGGCGCGTTGGTCGAGGACGAGGACGAGAGGGGTTCGGCAATGCGCGCGAGATGGAAAATACTCTCTCCAAAATTGCAAGCAGACAAGCAGTCCGAATCTCGAAAGAGAGGCGTGCCGGGAAAAAACCAGACGACTTCTTGTTCACGAGTGCTGATCTCCTCGGCCCTGAGCCTACTGAAGCGCTGAACAACTCCGAGGCTTGGAAACAGCTTCAGAATCTCATTGGCCTGTCAGCTGTCAAGAAAACAATACAGGCCTTGTTCGGCACCGTTCAGTTCAACTATCAGCGCGAGCTGGACGAGGCGCCTCTAATCGAGTATTCCCTCAACAAAGTGTTCCTTGGATCCCCTGGCACGGGTAAAACGACTGTTGCGAAGATGTACGGACAGGTTCTGGCGGATCTTGGGTTCCTATCAAATGGCGAAGGTAAAATCATGTCTACCACTAGTCAAGGGTGACTTTCGTTAACATCATACAGTTGTTGTAAAGAACCCTTCCGACTTCGTTGGCAACGTCCTTGGCGCATCCGAGTCTACAACTAAAGGGATCCTTGCCTCCACGGTAGGCAAAGTTCTCCTAATAGACGAAGCATACGGCTTGTGTGGTTCCTTGGGTGAATCTTCTACTAGCGATCCTTACAAGACTGCAGTGATTGACACCATAGTGGCCGAGGTACAGAGTGTGCCAGGTGATGATCGATGTGTTTTACTCGCAGGTTACAAGGAGCAGATGGAAGAGATGTTCCAGAAGGTCAATCCTGGTCTTAGTAGGAGATTCCCCCTTGCCTCCGCATTTGTGTTTGAAGATTTCGACGACGGAGAAATGGCAAAGATCTTTGACCTCAAGCTTGGGAAATTAGCATTCAAGACGACAGACCTAGGCAAACGTGTTGCGATGGATGTGCTACGACGGGCTCGCAATCGACCTAACTTTGGTAACGCAGGTGAAGTTGATATTCTCCTTGATCATGCCAAAGCTAGACAGCAGCAAAGGCTGAATGAGGGGAACGGTGGTGATGACCGCTCGCGCTTCGAGCCCATTGACTTTGACGAAGACTTCGATCGAGGCGAACGTGCAGATACAAATGTCCATCTGCTCTTCAAAGGCGTAATTGGTTGTGAGACCATCATATCTCAGCTCGAAGGCTACCAAAATGCGGCGCGAGAGCTAAAATCAATGGATATGGATCCTAGGGAAGAGATTCCATTCAACTTTCTTTTCCGTGGCCCACCTGGTAAGTCGGATGGACTACAAGCAAGATATTTACTCGTCTAACAAATTACAGGTACTGGAAAAACTTCAACTGCGCGCAAAATGGGCAAAGTCTTTTACGATATGGGATTTCTTGCTAAAGCAGATGTTGTCGAGTGCTCCGCCACCGAACTGGTAGGATCCTATGTCGGCCAAACTGGACCCAAGGTACAAAAGGTCCTTGAGAATGCATTAGGCAGAGTCCTTTTCATCGACGAAGCTTATCGCCTTGCAGGGGATGGATTCGCCAAGGAAGCAATGGATGAAATCGTGGATTGCCTGACGAAGTTGAAATATGCTCAAAAGCTTATTGTCATTCTAGCTGGTTATGACGATGATATAAACCGTTTGATGGCGCAAAATCCTGGTCTCACAAGTCGCTTTCCAGAAGCCATAATCTTTCGTGGACTAGAGCCTACTGACTGCCTCGACCTACTAATTCAGCTGCTAAGAGGCCGTCAACTCGACATGCGAAAGAAAAAGAAAGACCTAGACTTGTCAGCCTTGGAGGTTCCCGCTCCAGCCTTCAAGCAGGAAACACTAAACCAATTCGAAACCCTCAGCAGGATCGCAAATTGGGCCAATGCCCGTGACGTGCAAACAATCGCCAAGGGCATATTTGGCCTGCTTTTGAAAGCTGGTGCTATGAAGGAAACCATTGCCGTCGTCACGGAGGATCATGTTCGCACCGTCCTCGACTCCATGATCTCTGAGCGTAACCAGAGGCAAGACGCAACGAACATTCGACCTAACTCTCTCCACAGTGATATGATGGCTCATATCCAAGCTATCCAGGCACCCCCACCTCCTCGGACATCTGCTTCTAGTAGCTCCGCTATGAACACTTCGGAGGCTGAGACTCCTCAACAATTAGCAAAGGATGTGCCACTAGCAGCCCCGGCAAACGAAACCAAGCGTGACTCTGGCGTTAGCGACGTTGTCTGGGAACAACTCCAGCGTGACAAACAAGCAGCCGAGAAGAAGGAAGAGCAATACGAGAAACTCATCAAAGCAAGCGCTGATGCAGCAAATACTACCAAAATTCTCCAGCAGAGAGAGCACGCGTCTGAACAAGCCTTTCAGCAAGCCATTAAGCACAATAAAGACCAGTCTATCTTACAAGAAGCCAAGCGGCTTCGTGAGGAGGCTCGTCTTCAGCATGAGAAGGAACGTCGTGCTCAAGATGAGCTTTTTGCCGAGTTAGAGAGACAGCGCAAGGCGGTGGAAGAAGAGCGAAGGAAGGAGGCGAAGGCACAGCAGAAATTGAGGACTATAGGAATTTGTCCTGCCGGCTTCAGATGGATTAAACAGAATGGCGGCTACAGGTGTTCGGCTGGCGGTCACTTCGTTACGGACTCGCAGTTAGGGCTATAAGGTAGGAAGATGGATCAAAGGCACAGGCGGTTGTCCTTCGAGATTTGGGAAACGCGGTCTAGATGCTAGCAGATTCCTGACAAAGAGTTCGATCACACATAGTTTAAACTTTTGGACGGCACAAGTTCTTGCAATGCAAGCTTGAATTCCGTCCGCTTATGTATGTACATATGCTATGTACAATCTCCCATACCCCCTATATACCAAATCCATCACTACCCTCTCCCTCCCTGCATCACCACCCTCTACAAGCACTGATAGTACCACGGCGGCGAAATGCTCATACACTTCGTCCCAACAACACACAACGTCGGCCCCGTGTACCCATTCCCACCACACTGTCCATACTTCACCTGGACGCCCTTCCAGTTCCCTAGATCCTTAAGCTTCAACACCGTTGGGTCCGCATACACCTTCTTCTTAAACGCAAGGTTGTTATAGGTGTCCGCATTGATGTACTCGTCGTTCCAGGTCACGAAGTAGGACCAATCGGCGTGGTAGGCCTTGAGGATGTCTGGGTCGGGGATGGATCCTACTTCTGGGAGGGTGACCATCTTCTTGTTCCCGCCGAGGGCGAGGAGGGCTTGGTATTGCACGCCAACGGGACCGTGGTCGCCGGCTGCGGGGTAGGAGTCGTAGCTGAGGATATCGACGATGTCATTACCAGGGTACCAAGACGGGGTAACGGAGTTCCACAGCCAAATCAAGTTGCGGAGCTTGTGGTGCTGCGTGAAGCGCGTGTACATGAGCTTGTACAATGCCTTGCTGCTCTCTGGGCCGAAATTACCCCACCAGAACCAGGTGCCGTCGGCTTCGTGGAGGGGGCGCCAGAGGACGGGGACTTGGGCGGCTTGGAGGCGGAGGAGTTGGAGCGCGATGGCGTCGAGGTCGCGGAGGATGAGGGCGTAGTCGCTGCCTTTGGGGTTGGCGAGGGCGGCGGTTAGGTTGAAGGTTGTGCCGTAGCTGTAGAAGCCCTTCCACCATGGGACAGTGTCACTGTTGATCAGGCCACTATAAGTGTTAGAGGTTATGTATGGTAGGGAAGATAAAGGGGCCGTACCTAGGGGCGTTCCAATGCCATTGGAAGGCGACGATGCCACCGCGCTTGTCAAATGCAATGGCATCTTCGACAGCTGTGCTGACAGATCCATATTGCTGTATCTGTTAGCGGGGGTTGCGAGTGAGTTGCTGGGAGCGGAACTTACGACACGGGTGGGACTGTATTCGATCATGTCCAGGCCAATGATTGCGGGGGTGGCTCCAACATTCTGCTCGAGCCAGGTAACGCCGGATGTGTCGGCTTGGCCGGAGAAGATAGTTCCGGAGCCGTATTTAGCAAGAAGCGTGTTGTAGAGATTTTGTGTCTCTGGGAGGGGGTTGGGGGCAACGAGCACCTTGGTGACCTGGTGTGGTGCTGGTGGTGGCGATTGGGAGACGTAGAGTGCGTCAAGAAGGTACCATCCCCAGTCATTGGAGAAGGAGATGGTGTTGTTCCCAGCGTTGAGAAGGACCTGGCCGGCAGTGGCATTGGCCCATGGCGAAGCAGCCGCAGACGTATCGAGGAGGACGACTTCGCCTCCTCCGGCACCGTTCACCGACATGGTTGTCTGCTTGCCTCCGTATATGCCAGCATAGCCTAGGATCACATCGTACAGAGCCTGTTTGTCACTATGGAGCGAAAAGGTGAGTTTGTCGGTATCCGCGTCAAAACCTTCTACGTATCCAGTGCCAGAGAAGCCAGCGACAGAGCTGCCAACAGTCACGCCGTTGAGGATTCCATCTTCTGCTTGAGCTACGGCCCCCTTTGTAACGTCGACGACAACGACAGGCTTTACGGGCGGGGGGTTGACAGTGATGGCATCGATGAGGTAGTAACCCCAATCGCGGGCAAAGGCTACAGTATTCGTGCCAGCCGTGAAGGTGAACACTCCTGCTGTTGCTGTCTGCCACGTCGTCGTCGTGACATTTGGGAGAGCTACTTCGGTTGAAGAGCCCCCATTGACAGTGAGGGTTGTGAACTTATCTCCATACTGAGCATTATAGAGAACTTTGACCTCGTAGTCTCCAGCATCGAGTCCCCCCACGTTGATGGTGAGCTTGGCAGTATCATCGATAAAGTCTGTCACGTATCCAGTACCCGAAAAGCCGGGAAGGTCAGATGCGATGACTGCGCCGCCAGCAAGAGTCCCAGATTCTGCCTCAAAAACTGCCGCGGAGGTAGTCGATGCAGCGGCCAGCAGGGCCACCGCAGATAAGGAACGCATGATAGGAAAACCTAGTGGTGAAGAAGGAGATGCGGATGGCGCCAGGGTGAGGCGCATCCCTTACCTTTATAGCAGCTAAGTGATGCCGTCATTTTAGCACTTACATTGAGACAGGTCTCGCGGCAGCGTGGTTCCGAAGAAAAGAAAGAGATATTGCGGGGGACGTAGAAGGAGACATGGTCCGGATTCCGAGGCAGGGCCCATGGCAATCTATAATATATTAACCCATGAATCGAAATGCAGGCCCTGGCAGGACGGGAGAACTAAATGGCGGAGAGATGGAGTTAAAGTTGCATGGCGTGCCAATATTTATTTCTAAATTATGAATGATTAACCGTAATTCCGGAAGGAACTGTATTATTGACTCGTGCCATGAGAGTGTGAGGGGACGTCAACATTAACGTTGTTGTCGCAGATCCGGCCAGGCCCAGCCGGTAGATATGCACGTGGCTTTAAACAACCGACCCACGTCGTTTTGATGAAGCAGCTTCTCAGACACACGGCTGGAGAGTAAGAATTTATTAATGTAGTTGAATTATTTCATGCAATTAAATATGATTGCCTCCAATGATACTGGTGCCATCCAAGGGTGTTAATTGACACTGTGATATCCGAGGATTTATTATTCTATTAAATTCGTAGATTTTCTTATTTTTACCATACTCTGGAGCAATTATATGTGATAATTATATGCTTGCGTAAGTAAAAGCAATTATTTTACTTATAATTACTGTAAATAGCGTCATTCCTCACTGTCTATCTCGGACTTTGGGCGATAGAGGTATAGTATGAATTTTAAGAGGAAAGATGCTTTTATTTTCAAATTATCTGCTCCTCGGCAAGGTTACGAAAATGGCTTATATAAAGGTCTAAGGGGGGGTCTTGGCGAATAGGGGTAGTAGGGGTCACATAAGTTAGAAATTAGATCCGTAGAACTCTCAGTTATGATTATGAAGGCCAAACGCAGTTCAATAAGAAGGGTACGGTCTAAATACTCTCCGTCTTAGCACCGCTATAATGCTGTTTACCTCATGGCTTTGCACGTGATCTGTATCTAAAAATATGATGCTATCTTACAACAATGACAAGTGTAAAACTCGATATGCAATAGATAAATGTGCGCCAATGTTACTCGTGGTATATACAGATATTAATTGACACTGAGCACAAGCTGAATTTTCTGAATTTACTTCTTACTTGTCGAATACGGAATTCTGTGTTTAGCGTCCGTTGGGGGATGTCAGCGTTATGGATCCGTCCATCCGTGGGGTTTTGTGGAGAACCTAGGCTAACAAGCTCCCCCTCATATTTCTCCAACAGTCTACCAGCTGTATCATAGTTACTCTAACATATACTATCAAATTAAGAGTTTGAATTGCGCCGCTGTTTATTTTGTACTCAGCGAACTTGCTTTTGGGAATTACTTCCGACCGCGCTTATCGACGAACCAGCTGTCCTTCCAAGCCATAGCCGACGTTACACAGGAAACAGCCAACAATGGCTACATTCGCGTGCGCAACACCCATCCCTTCCTCCCCTCCAAGCCAAGTCCACAATCCTGACCCCCCCTCCAAGTAAATCCTCCTTCTCGGCCTCCTCCTATGCCTCCTTCCGCCCAACCTACTCCCAGACCTTCTACAACACCCTCCTCCGCTACCACCATGGCCCAACCGCCTCCCTCCTCGAGCTCGGCACCGGCCACGGCCTGATCGCGCGCCGCCTCTCCCCAACATTCAAGCACATCGTCGCCACCGACCCCTCCCCATCCATGATCGCGCAGGCGCGCTCCTCCATCGTCGACCGCCCAGAGTTCAGCAACATCGATTTCCGGCAGGCGTCTGCGGAGAGCCTCGACGATATACCGAGTGGGAGTGTCGATGCTGTGATAGCAGGACAGGCGGCGCATTGGTTTGACTTTGCGAAGGTGTGGCCGGAGCTGAGTCGCGTGGTGCGGAAGGAGGGGACGGTGGCGTTCTGGGGGTACAAGGATAATATCTTTGTGGAGCATCCGAGGGCGACGGCGATTCTGGATAGGTACTGCTATGCGATGGAGGAGGGGATGATGGGGCCGCATTGGGAGCAGCCGGGGAGGAATAAGTTGAGGGATTTGTATAGGGAGATTGTGCCGCCGGCTGAGGGGTGGGAGGCGGTGGAGAGGAGGGAGTATGAGCCTGCTACTACGGGGAAACAGAAGGGGAAGGGGGAGGTGGTGATGGCGAAGAGGATGACGCTGAGGGATGTGGAAGGGTATACGAGGACGTTTAGTGCGTTTATCAATTGGGCGGATGCAAATCCGGATAGGAAGGCGAGGAAGGATGGTGGGAAGGGAGATGTGGTCGATGACCTGTTTGATGCCATGGTCGCGGCGGAGCCGAAGTGGAAGGAAGCCGGCGAGAACTGGAGGGATGTCGAGGTTGAGATGGAGTGGGGGAGTATAATGCTGATGGCGAGGAAGAAGTGAGACTGGGGATGAGACCGAGGGGTAGGTCGAGTGGGGAGGAAGAGGAGGATGTATAAATAGAGATATCGACGACAACTCTCCAATCTTGCCGGTATATATTAGATATAGAAGAATATAGTAGACCTATAGTATTCAATTACAATACAAATAGTTAAGGTCAATAATAGTTACTGTAGACAATATATATCGTGAACTTTTATGCAAGCACTTTGAAGTTGCATATATATATATCCATCACCCATTCCGCGTATCATCGGTACGTTGCCGTGCCAGCAACCCTGTCCCCTACCGGTTGAACACAACGGCATAAACACAACTCTCTCACCGCACAAAAGGCACGGACCCGGCGATCATAAACCTCCAATCTCCAAATAACCTCCTGTCTAAAACCATCATCTCTGCAATTCTACACTCGCGATACCCTCAAATCCTCAAAAGCACACATACAAAACCTCATAATGGTGAGTCTCCCCGCAACCCGCACACCCTGGTCCCCTTCCCTTGCCCGAAAGGAGAACCGCTATTTTGGCTCCCGCAACCAAAACAAACCAGCTGTGGGACGACAGCCCACCGACCACGACGTCAACAACAACACGCTTCCCACCTCTGTGACACCCACCACATCATCTCTACTCGTCCTATAAGCAGAATAAACTACGCACCGACCGCATCAGAAAGATACGAGTGTTCAAGATGGCAGCTAACAATTCTTACGACGCCCAGGCCTCAACGAACTACAAGGAGGCATTTGCCCTCTTCGACAAGCGCGGTAACCAGCGCGTACAGCTCGAGTCGCTCGGCGATCTGCTGCGCGCGTGCGGACAGAACCCGACATTGTCGGAGATCAGGGATTTGGAGAAGAATGTTGGGTCGGATTGTACGTCTTCCCCGCCATGACCCTGTACCTCAGGGGGTGCAGGAAATAGACATCTGGAGAGAAAGGCAGAAATGCGTTGAACCGGGAGGTGCGAAGAGACGAAGCTAACGAGGGACAATCAAATAGTCGATTTCGAGACCTTCTCCAAGATCCTCAACCGCCCCGGCGGATTCCGCGACCCAGGCGAGCCGGAGGAGTACTGCCGCGGCTTCCAGGTCTTCGATAAGGACATGACGGGATTTATCGGCGTTGGACAGCTTCGCTACATCTTGACCAACTTGGGAGAGAAGATGAGCGACGAGGAGGTCGATGAGCTGCTCAAGGCTGTGGATACGAGCAGTGGGGAGATCAACTACACTGGTATGTTGACACCACTCATTGGGGGAGGGGAGGAAGCGGGGTATTCAAATGCAAAAGCTAACGGGTTATGCGTAGATCTCGTGAGGACAGTATTGGCGAACTAGATGGGCGTATGATGGGGATTAGGAGAGTTGCATGAGGTTACGAGATGCATGACACGATTAGCTGGGCTTTGCTGTCGTTCACTTTGTACAATGGACCGGCCGGACGGACGGAGGAGGGAAGTCGTTTCGATAGTTTTTGCCTTATTGCGGCTCGCATCATAGAGCAATCGATTGACTAGAACAAAACTGTGCTTCTGTATTCCCCTTGATATGTGAATCCCAAACCCATGGTTTTTAACGCCCGCAATGCTCATAGTACAGTCATACCGACTTCCAGAATCCCACCTGCTTATTCCCACGCCGCAACACCTAGCTGTGCACCTTCTAGCACGGCGCCCTGTTCGCCGATTTTCTTCCCAGATGCCATGTGCTCGGTGCTCTGAACCCAGCCAGGAAGGATATACAACACCTTCGCTACCCCACTCTCTGGTGCAGCACTGCTTCCCTCCTCCGCCTCCCCACCTACAGCTGTTGTCGGAGCCTCAAAATGCGACGGGTCAAGCTCATACCCCACCACAACACGGCAGCGCCCACACCTCCAAAGGATGCGCTTCTCGAAGCCGTCTTCGCGGCGGATGGTCGTGATGCGGCGGTCGGGCGTCATGGAGAGGAGTGTTGTGTGAGGGATTGTGGCGGAGGGAGGGTGGGCGTCAGAGTGCAGTGGGAGGATGGTCGCACGGTCGAGGGAGGTGGCGCGGCGGGGGAGGGAGGGGAGGGGGGTTGTTGTCGCGAGGAGGAGGGAGGTGCAGGCGCAGTGGTAGGTGTGGATTTGGGGGGTCGCCATGGTGGGGGTTGTGTGTAGGGCGTGAGGTCGGTGTGGAGGAGGTCGTCGTAAAGTAAGGCGGTTGTAAGGAGGTAAGGTGGCTATGAGTTGTACGTGAAGAGGAAGTTGGTTGGTATATGAACAGAAGGCAAGGCTGAGATGTCAAGAACTGAGCTCCAATGTAAGCGCAAGGCTGGCTGGGCCGTGGGCGGATTAACTCCCCGCCATGCAACCCCCAAGCCTCGCGTGTCATCAAGGCCATCTAGCCGGCTGCATTGGAGCTGACGGTTTCGTAACCACTCCACAACATCTCTCTATCCACCACTGATCACTGATCCCTAAACCATCTCAGCAGCCTCGTCCCACAACTCGGCTAGCCACCTAACAGCACACATCCCCACACACCGTCCGTTCCCAATCCCCAATCCTCCAAAGTGGCGCCATCATCGCCATTCCGCCTGTTCGTTCTTGCCCTTGTCATCTTCGCAGGCTCACTCTTCATTCTGGCTCCTTCTTTCCGTCTCGGGCCCCGCCTGTCGTCCATATATAGTCACCTCCGACCAGCCGCAACAGCAGCTACTTCGAGGCCCCCTTGGACTGCAACCGCTCCGATAACTACTTCCACCATGGCGCCGGCTCAGTACCGTACGCCGCCGCAGGCACCCCCGCTCTTCACGGCTACGACGGCCTCGCTGGTCGCTGATGCGAAGAAGCTATGCGCCAACTCCAAGAGCGTGATGGACAACATCGTCAGCTCCGTTAAGCCGGAGGATGCCGCATTCCAGAGCGTCGTTCTGCCTATGGCGGTCGATGAGAACGAGGGCTCTCTCGAGGCCCGCATCATCGGCTTCTACCAGGCTGTATCAACCGACAAGGCGCTGCGTGATGCTAGTACCGAGGCTGAGAAGATAATGGATGAGTTTGCGATCGAGGCGAGTATGCGCGAGGACGTGTATAAGCTGGTCGAAGCGGCGTTCCAAAAGGGCGCAAAGCTCGACCCGGAGAGCCAGCGGTTGTTGGAGAAGGAGCGAAAGAGTTATATCCGCAATGGTCTGGGGTTGCCGGCTGGGCCGAAGAGGGACAGGTTCAAGGAGATCAAGTTGAGATTGAGTCAGATTAGCACTGATTTCCAGAAGAACCTGAATGAGGAGGATGGAGGCATTTGGGTTACGAGGGACGAGATGAAGGGCGTCCCTGAGGATGTGTTGGGTGGGTTGGAGAAGGGGACTGGGGAAAATGAGGGGAAGTTGAGGCTGAGCTTCAAGTACCCTGATCTGTTCCCGACGCTCAAGTTTGCACTCAGTGCCGAGTTGAGGCAGAAGCTGTTCATTGAGAACGAGAACAAGGTTTGTCTTCTTGCCCAAAAGTTTAGTTCCATGCTAATGTATGAAATAGTGCAACGTCAACGTCCCTCTCTTTAAGGAGGCTATTGTCCTTCGTGACGAGGCTGCCAGACTTCTGGGCTACCCCGATCACGCTACCTTCAGGATTGAAGACAAGATGGCCAAGACCCCCAAGACTGTCCTTGATTTCTTGGGCGACTTGAGGACCCAATTGGCCCCGGGAGGCGTCAAGGAGACTGAGCACCTCAAGGAATTGAAGGTGGCCGACCTGAAGAGCCGCGGCCTGGAAGGCACCTATGACGGCAACTACTACCTCTGGGATCACCGCTTCTACGACCGCCTGATGGTCGAGCAGGAGTACACCATCGACGAGCAGAAGATCGCCGAGTACTTCCCCCTCGAATCTACGGTCAACAGCATGCTCAACATCTTTGAGTCCCTCTTCGGTCTCGTCTTCGTCGAGATTGAAGGTGAGGCCCGCGACGCCCTCTCCCCCACCGGTAAGCGCGATGACATCGTCTGGCACGAAGACGTTAAGCTCTTCAGCGTCTGGGATGATGCTGGTGAGGGCGGTGCCTTCTCTGGTTACCTTTACCTTGATCTCCACCCCCGCCCTGGAAAGTACGGCCACGCCGCCAACTTCAACCTCCAGAGCGGCTTCGTGGCCGCGAACGGCACGCGCCGCTACCCCGCCACAGCGCTCGTATGCAACTTCTCCAAGCCGACGGCCGACAAGCCATCGCTCCTCAAGCACGACGAGGTCGTCACGCTCTTCCACGAGCTGGGTCACGGAATCCACGATCTCGTTGGCCGCACGCAGTACTCTCGCTTCCACGGGACTAGCGTCGTGCGAGATTTCGTCGAGGCGCCTAGTCAGATGCTGGAGAACTGGTGCTGGGCTCCCGCGCAGCTTAAGGGACTTAGCAAGCACTACGTCTCTGGGGAAGCTATCCCCGATGACCTTATTGAGAAGCTGATTGGGACAAAACACGTCAACGATGCGCTGTTCAACCTTCGCCAGCTTCATTTCGGTACCTTCGACATGGCGGTCCACACGCCCAAGACACACGAGGAGGCCATCGGACTGGAGATCTCAGAGCTGTACAACAAGCTTCGCATGCAGATCTCGGGGATGAAGGGACCAGAGGAGCTTGGCCAGGGTAATGCTTGGGGTAACGGCCCTGCGACATTTGGACATCTGATCGGAGGGTACGATGCCGGATACTACGGGTACCTGTCGTCGCAGGTCTACTCGGCGGACATGTTCCACAGCGTGTTCGCGAAGGACCCGATGAGCGCGGTGGAGGGGAGACGCTATAGGCATATGGTGCTTGAGAAGGGTGGGAGCCAGGATGAGATGGTGACTCTGGAGGCGTTCTTGGGACGGAAGCCGAGCACCGAGGCGTTTTACCGCGAGTTGGGGATTGTGGGTAAATGATAGACAGAGATTGGATGGTATTGGAATAAGAATATCTCTAGACCCTACTAAGAGTATACAACCTTGCAGCGAACATGCTCTTTTTCTCTAGTAAACGGCAGTGATCCTTAAACGAATGCGATCTATCGCATCACGTGACCCATTCTGTAACCGACGACAATCCAATGAATCTGCCAGCTTTATAGTCAGTATTTCTTTCCTGTCCATTCCCACCATCGTATCACTCGTGAGAATCTGAACGTGTATGGACGCCGTCAACAAACGTGATATACCGGAACTCGGTATAATAATTATCCGACAGCCGCAATAAGCGGGGTGGCGGCTGTCAGCCTTCCGGAAGGCACACGCAGGAGTGCCACACTCCACTTCCATGTTCGGATCGTTCGCGACCAACGCTTAAACCGACCTCAAAGGTCCCAACGCCACATTATTGACCAAACCACCAACATCTCCCTCTCGACCTCCACGATCTCCAATCCATTCACCCTTAACCTACCGGAATCAGCACATCCTGCCCGGTTACGCGGCCTCGCCGCCTTGCCACCGGATTTGGCGCATCAAGCGCGTCGGCGCATGACCGGAGCCATAAGTCGCGATGGGAGTCATCCGAAAGAAGACTGCCGCGCGCGGGGGTGAGGGAGGCGTGAAATACGTCTGCGATGTCTGTTCGGCGGATATTACATCTACGGTATGTGAAATTTGGCGCCTTGAATGGCTCTGAATTGGGTTACTGACACTTTCTAGGTGCGCATCCGCTGCGCGCACGCCGTTTGCAACGAGTACGATGTTTGTGTGCAATGTTTCTCCAATGGGGAGTCGAATCGCGACCATAATCCTGCCACCCACCCGTACCGCGTTATTGAGCAGAATTCGGTCCCGATTTACGATAGCAGCTGGGGAGCAGATGAGGAGTTGCTTTTGCTTGAGGGCGCGGAGATCTACGGTCTGGGGTCTTGGGCTGATATAGCGGATCACATTGGCGGATATCGAGATAAGGATGAGGTGCGAGATCATTACGTAAAGACGTATGTCGAGAGCCCTTCGTTTCCCCTACCGAAGCGACAAGCGCCGGAGGAAATCGACTTGTCAGACGAAGGAACACGGGCACGGTTCCAGCAGCAGAAGAAACAGCGAATTGAGAAGCGGAAGGAAGATGCAAAGAATGCTGTGCCTGCGCTGCCAAAGAAGAAGCCTACAGCTAGTGTGCCGTCATGTCACGAAATTCAGGGATACATGCCTGGTCGGTTGGAGTTTGAGACGGAGTGGGCGAACGAGGCGGAAGAGGCAGTACAGCACATGCAATTCGAACCAGGCGATGGAATCAACCCCCGCACTGGCGAGATGGAGCCCGAGATGGAGCTCAAGATGACAGTGATGGACATCTACAATAACCGACTCACGGGGCGTGCGGACCGGAAGAAGGTAATCTTCGAACACAACATTCTGGAATACCGCAAGAACGCAGCCGCAGACAAGAAGCGCACCAAGGAGGAGCGTGACCTTCTCACAAAAGCCAAACCCTTCGCGCGCATGATGAACCACGATGACTTCGATGACCTCAACAAAGGCCTTATTGAGGAATTAAACCTACGCCAAGCTGTGCACCAACTCCAGGACTGGAGACATAATCGCGTTGGCGACCTGCGCAGTGGTGAGAAGTACGAGGGCGATAAGACGTTGCGCGCGCAGAAGACGCAGCCTATGGGATCTCTGGACCGTGAGCGCTTTGCGTCGCAGCGCGCGAAGGCTCAGCCAGCAATGGAGGTTCCTTCCGGTGCTGCGGCGCTTGTGGCTCCCGAGCTACCGCTCAGGCTTCTCCAGAATGGGCCCAGTGGTATGGCGAATGGCGTGAGTAGCGCAGTGGATACACCAACCGACTCTCCGCGCCCGAACGGCGTCAACGGCCACACCAACGGCATCTCCACTCCCCTCTCGGTTCGGCAGAAAACAGTCATCCAGCCGGTACCCGGAATACAGCCACTTAATATCAACCATGAGAACGCGCCGGATATCCACCTCCTGACGAAAGAGGAGATTGAGCTCTGCCGCACACTGCGACTGCAACCGAAGCCGTATCTTGCTGTCAAGGAGGCTATTCTCAAGGAGGCAGTGAAGACGAATGGGCAGATGAAGAAGAAGCAGGCGAGGGAGATTTGTAGGCTTGAGAGTCAGCGCGGTGGAAGGATCTTTGAATTCTTCGTGACGAGTGGGTGGATTGCCAAGGCGTAGTTTTTGTGGGTTACCGGGGTGTATTGTTATTGGCGTTTTTATGGGGAGTGGAGGGAGGCAAGGTGAAAGCGGTTTACTTTGGGAATACCAGCTGTGACGTTTGGCGTGGCGTTTTTAAGGGATATGGGAAATGATGTCCGTGGAGGACGGGGTGGCATAGGGTGGCTTGGGGGGTTGTGCCTCTGTTTGGTAGTGAAATACTCCTAGGATATCAAATCAGGAAAGCAGAATTGTACTACTTGGTGGGCTAAAGTACGTGAAAGGGCTGTGGGAAGGGATAACGAGAAATATAGCTGTGGATCCCCCTCCTCTATTCCGTTTTCAATGTGGTGAGCCCACATACAGGTTCATCATTTTACAATCGCAATCTCGGTGAGCAATCGTTCTCAATTATAAGCAAAGTATCTATGGACGATAACAACTTGTGGAAGCCCTCATCTCGCGACTATACGCACTACAGCTCAATCCAATCTGGGTTAGGCTCCCCGATCAGATCGAGATCATCCTCAGTCAGGGCAGGTTCCTCGTTGCGTATATCCGTACCCCCCTTCTGTTCCTCCGTGGATTCCTCAGTTGACTGAGGCTTGTTGCTGTTTCTGAATTCGTTCCAAGCTGGGTTAGGATCCCCAATCAGATCGAGATCATCATCAGTCAGGGCGGCTTTCTTGCTAGGTACCCTCCAACCCCTCTTTAGTTTCTCCGCGGATTTCTTGCTCGATCCGAACTTGTTGCTGTTTTTGAATTCCTCCATGAGTTCGATCTTGAGTTCAGCCTTGAGTTCAGACTTCAGATCGTCCATGGGCTCTATTTTCTGTTCGGTCTTGCTGCTGAGTTGGTATGCGACTGTCATTCTGAATTCATTCTTGATCTCCTCTTTAACGACCTTCTTGAAGTCTGACTTGATCTCTGAGATGAGATCAGACATCATCTCAGACTTGAGTTTCTTCAGATCGCCTCCGAATTCCGCCTTGATGTCATCCTCGAGGTCTCTCTTGATTGCTGCCTTGAGCTCACTCGTGATTTCGAATTGGAGAAGTTCGCTGAGCTTCGCTCTCAGTCTATTGTGAAGACTCTGGACTTCCTCCACCTTGGCGTTAGCTTTCTCGAGCTTCTCCGTTGGTGTTTCTTCGATGGTGGTTTCAATGATCTCAGGCTCCTTGCCTTTATCTTTTGCAGTACAGTGAATCGAAGGTGTAGTTGCTGCTTCAGAAACTGATGGGGTAGAGCTGGCCTAAGTTTGTCGGTCAGCAACAGTCGTGAAGTTGTTCGTTGTTGGGTGTGTACTTACCACAGCGGTGATCGGCATGTTATTCACTTGGGTGGAGCTTTCTGGATTGGTTTCCATGGCCGCAAGCTCTGCTTTCAAATTCCAAGGCTTCGGCAATCTGTTTCTCATGAAATGATTGGTATTGTGTTTTGGTGAATCGCGAATGTGGTCAGACCAAGCCTTGCCGGTCTTCAACTTCTCACCACAAGAGCAACGTTTAATAACTTTTGGGGACATTTTGGAGTGAGTACAACGGTATTCTCTTGTTGGTTCTGGTGGATTGTTTGTTTGAAAGTTGAAAGAGAAGATGGGTTTATAGGTGAACTGAAGGGGGAGCTGGGCTTAGACGGGTGAATGCATTATGCGCAGCAAGGCTACAACCAACACAACCAACACAGCCAACCAACAAAGAAGGGCCTGTTTTCAGGCCAACCCACAAATAATACGATAACATCCATGGCAATAGAATTACATAGAATAACAAAAATAATTACTTCCCACAGCTCCAAGGCATCACGATGACCGGCCCCTCTGGACCATTCGTGTTTACCATACTTTCTCAGCCTCGCGACTCAGCCTCGTATCCCAGCCTCGCAGGGACCATATCGTGTTTCGTGGCCTCATTCGGCATAGTTTACCCCAGATTTCAGAGCTTGGATAAATACTGGGGCATGCCAGAAAGCACCTCACGACGCAACAAGAGGCTGAGGATCTAATATCCCGGTGGCATGAGTCTATAAACCAACTTTCTCTCTCTCTCCACAATTCTCCTCCCAGGTCGCAGACATCTAACTCACCATGTTTGCGCAACGGCGATGGCCATGCAGCTCCTTCCTGCTGGCGGTCGTGCTCGCCCTCTCCTCGATCGTCGGATTCGCCGCTGCTGCGATTGAGGATTCCGATATAAGGCCCCAGTATCACTACGGCGCCAGGATCCCAATTACATGTCTAGATCGCTCAATGTACGTCCCATTCTTCCATCTCCCGCTGCCTTCGCAATGGCACAAACCGCCACCTACCCCTTTCACGTGTCCCACCTCCCCTACCATCCAGAACCATCACTAACCCCCTTCCCCAGCGAGACAGGAGAACACATCCAAGAAGGCGACAAGCTGAAATACGTCCCCTTCGCGACGTGCGAAGAGACCGGTCTCCCCCTCGACCTCCAATACGGCGTCGAGGCCGACATAAACTGCACCATCGCCTCCGTCTCCGACCCTCTCTTCCACCTCCTCGAATTCTACATCCACAACGACGCACCGCTCTCGTGCCGTCTCCCCGCCCGGCCCCCAGCCACCGTCTCCCTCGCCGGCACCCAGCCGCCAGAGCAGGAATACGTGCCCCTCGTGTTCGCGCTCGCGGGGACTCTACAAAGGTCCCACCTCCACGTCAGCACACACCTTAACATCCTCCTCCACTCGGTGCCGAAGCACCACCTCCACAAGCACGATTCGGGCGTCGTCGATTCAGGCGCCGCGTACTCGACGAGTCCGCTAGCTTCGAGCTCCAAGGACCCACACCTCGCGTTCCCGTACTTCGCGAACAGCAACCACAAGCTCATTATTGGGGATCCGCTGCCTCTCAGCTTCTCGGTGCGGTGGTTCCCGACGCCGGCGCTGCCGACGACGAATGGGAGGTTTGAGTGGAATGGGATGGGGGGGCATGTGTATGCGAGCACGGTGTTTTATGTGCTTGTTGCGTTTGGGGCGGGGGTGTTGGTGTGCACGGTTTACTTCTGGGGGATTGTGTTGCCGAAGAGGCTTCAGGCGAGGGCGAGAGGGATGGGGGGGGCGACGCCGTTGGGGGGGGGGTATGGGATTAATAGTGCGGGGTTGGGGAATGGATGGGGGATGGGGGGCGGGAAGAGGATTGATTAGGGGGGGTTTTTGGGGGGGAGGAGGAGGGAGGATACGATTTATGATATGATATGTAGTCCTTGGAATGCTGATACGCGCCCTTTGGCGCCGGGGAGGCTTTTCGGTATTAAACTTGTATCCTATAGTAATGCATACCTTGAAATGAACTCTGATATTATCCCCTATCATCCCATTACATCTTTCTCGTGCCATTGTCAAACTCCCATCTCGCTGGGCCAGCAGGCACGGCATCTCTCATCCCATCCCATCCAATCCCAACCCCCTCAGCTACCCCAAAAGCAGCAGCCTCAGTTCCCCTTCTTCCCCGCCCTCAAACGCCTCAACTCCTTCAAATCCCCACTCAACCTCCCCCACATATCCACCGCCATATACGTAGCTACCCCAGTCAGTTAGTCTCAATCCCACACGCCCCTTCCCACCCACCATCCCACACCTCCCCTCCCCCGCCACCCACCGCAAAAAAACGAAAGGAAAAGAAAAGCATCCACTAACCAATCAACAAATACGGCCCATACAAGCTCGCCAAATGCCACTTCGCCTCCACCGCCACGCCCTCCCACTGGCTGAAGTCGTACATGCACGTAGCAGTCGTGATGACGGTCTGGAGGGCGTAGGCAAAGAGGACGAGAGGCACCTTGTGGTCTGCATTTACCAGGGCCCTGATGGCCCAGAAACTGACTGGAAGGTGGATCACGGCTTCCATGTACCGGAAGAACTCAAAAAACGGGATCTCGATCGCGAAGAAGCGGTCCTGGTATACCTCCGCCTGGTAAGCTAGGAGCTTCGTGCTTAGTGCGGGGCGGAGGGAGGAGGGGTAGAGGGGGGAGAGGTCGACCACTGGGTGGGTTAGCTTGCTTCCCGTCACGGGATGGGGGTGGAGAAAAAGGGGGTGGGGGGGACGAACGGAAAAGCACGACGATGTGGATTAGGAAGTAGACAAGATACGCAGTATCGCGCTTCCGTTGGAGGATGGGAGTCGCCATTTTCAGGGCTTGGGGTGCGATTATGCCTTGAGTTGGGCTTTTTGGTGGTCGTCGTGGATGCGGCTGGCTGGATGGGTGAGGGAAGATCTCACTCAGCCTTGTTGGTGTTTATAAATTGTCTTGATGGGGCTGAGGGGGCTAAGCCTGTTTTGGATGCATGGGGGGTGGGAGGGGGGTATTGGGATTGCAGCGATGGGTTTTGAGGGATGATATTTATTATGAGGGTTAAAATGCTTGATTTATGTGTATGTGCTGGTAGTGGTGGGTAATTGTAATATATATCGAAGGGTGGTTGGTATACTGCGGGACGGGATTTTTCTGAGGCCCAAAGACCCTTACTTCACGAATTACAACAACACCTCAAGGAAGGACCACCCATTTCCAAAGATAAATACAAGCTCTGCTTTTCATTTATGTCCTAAAGCCACGCAAGTCAATCTAGCTAATAGCAACAACAAAAAAAACATAGCTCACAAAAAACCAGTTAAGTAACATTTCTTGAAAATCTCTCATCCACCATAAATCATCACTCAGCAACACAACAACATATCATCTACTCCAGTCAGTATTCGACACCCCCCCCCCACTTAGATCTTCGACCCCTTCGCCGCCTTCGCCTTAAACGCGGCAATAAGGCCCGCAGTAGAACTATCATGCTTCCCCTCCTTATCCTCTTCCAACTCGCTCAGGATCGCCTTCGCCAGCGACTTCCCAAGCTCAACACCCCACTGATCAAACGAGTTGATGTTCCACACCGCGCCCTCCGTGAACGTGACATGCTCGTAGTATACGATCAGCGCACCAAGCGTGGCAGGGGTGATCTTCTGCGCCACAATCGACGTCGTGGGTCTGTTCCCCAGGAAGGTCTTGTGCGGGATCAACGCGTCGTCCGTACCCTCGGCCTTGAGTTGCTCGGCGGTCTTGCCGACCATGAGAGCCTCGGCCTGGGCGAAGAAGTTGGAAGCGAGCATGAGCTGGTGCTTGTTGTTCTCGACGGGGTTGTGGGACTCGGCGGCGATGATGAAGTCGGTGGGGATGAGCTTGGTGCCCTGGTGGAGGAGCTGGTAGAAGGAGTGCTGGGCGTTGGTGGCGGGCTCGCCGAAGAGGACGGGGCCAGTGGTGTAGGACACCATCTTGCCGTCGCGGTCGACGGATTTGCCGTTGGATTCCATGGAGAGCTGTTGCAGGTAGGCGGGGAAGCGGTGCAGGTATTGGTCAAAGGGTGAGACTAGGTGGGTTTGCGCGCCGTAGAAGTCGCTGTAGTAGACGCTGAGGAGGCCGCCGATCATGGGGATGTTCTTCTCGATCGGCGCTTCGCGGAAGTGCTTGTCCATGGCTTGGGCGCCGGCGAGGAAGGCGTGGAAGTTGTCAAAGCCGATGTAGAGGGCCACGCTGAGGCCGATGGCGCTCCAGACGCTGTAGCGTCCGCCGACCCAGCTCTCGAAGCCGAACATGTTCTTGGCGTCGATGCCGAACTTGGTGACCTCCGCCTCGTTGGTGGATAGAGCGACGAAGTGCTTTGCGATGGCTTCCTGGTTTCCGCCCTTGGTCAGGAACCAGTTCTTCGCGGTGTTGGCGTTCGTGGTAGTCTCGGCGGTGGTGAAGGTCTTGGAAGCAACGAGGAAAAGGGTCGTCTCTGGGTCCGAATCCCTCAGGGCCTCAGCGATGTGCGTTCCATCAATGTTGGAAACAAAGTGGAGTTTCATATCGCGATCACCATAGAACTTCAGCGCCTCAGTAACCATGACAGGGCCACTACACCCAGTCAGCATGCATCCCACACCCAATTCACGCACGGAGACAACTTACAGATCAGAACCACCAATGCCGATGTTGACAATGGTAGTCAGCTTCTTGCCGGTGAAACCCTTCCACTCTCCGCTGCGAACCTGCTCGCTGAACTCCTTCATGTGGTCCAAGACCTTGCTCACCTCAGGCGCGACATTCACGCCATCAACCTCCATGACATCATTAGCGACATTGCGGAGCGCAGCGTGGTAGACAGCACGATCCTCAGTGAAGTTGATCTTCTCCCCGTTGAACATCTCATCACGAAGCTTCTCGACGCCGGCAGCCTTGGCGACCTCGACGAGCAGCTTGAGGGTCTCGTCGGTGAGGAAGTTCTTGGAGAAGTCGAAGAGGATCTGCGACTTGTCGGCGGCGTTGTCGAAGGCGAAGGAGAACTTGTCGAAGCGCTTGGGGTCGCTCTCGAACTCCTTCTTCAGCACGAAGGACTTGCCGACGCTGGAGTGGTGCTCCTCGAGCGCCTTCCAGGCGGGGGAGTCGGCTGCTTTGACCATTTTGGCGGTGGTGGGTGTGGATTGGGTTGGCGGGAAAATTCGTGGGGATAGGTTAGAGAGCGATGGACACGCGGGAGACGGTGTATATGTGTAATTGAGGTGTGTTGATGCTGATTTCTCCGATGAGGTTCGCAGTAATCTGAGACGGAACCGGCGGTTAGTAGCTTCACAAAGCCCAACGGATACAGACTCAACTCACGAAGATAGTCCAATTCACACTCAGCTTACTCGATGGTATCTCAGCTGTATATATCTCTCGTCGTCTCACGGATTACAATATCAAATCGTGATCCGAAGAAGTTTTTGCACGGGGAAGTATGAGTATTAAAAAGATTCTTGAGAGAGGAGGGCGAGGTTCGGAGGAGCTATGGACGATTGAGTACCCCCTCCCCCTCGCCTAACACAACATTGGTGACGTTGGGGCCGTCTCACCCCACCATTAGCGCCGTTTTTACGGAAATGGGGTAGTAAGGGTAAGACTAATATTATGAGTAGATATGGTAATCAACAGTCCGCAACAGTCCGCAGCGCTTGGTCGCGAAGAGTCCATTTGACTCAGCATGCATTACATGACATTTGCATATATTTTTCCGCTCTAATGCCGTGAATAAGCAAAGAATATACCATGACAGATCGTAGGTATAATGCAGAATGGCCTATATGAGATATATTCAGGGCGTGGAGGGAGAGGGGTTGGTCGGGAGACTGTCGCCCTTTTTTTTCTTTTGTGGCGTCATCGGAGTTGTGCTGCCATGGTGGGGCTGGAGAGAGACGGACGCACATTCAGGCAAAACACAAACGCACGTACACATACGGATGGATATCCACATCCTACATCCCACAAAACCCATCAAACCAGCCGCCGTAGAGTGAGTATAACTCAGTTATCACGGCACAAAATCCCATCTCTATTCATGTATCTGTGTGTGCTAGAGTACCCAACCCGCCCCCCACTGTCTGTCTCTTCTCCCCCGCCCGCCACATCATCATAGATTCAAAACAAAGCACGCACGCAGGCAAGTAAAGTATTCTCCAGCACATGCCATAAAAACGCCTCATGATAAATCAATGCCCTCTCTCCATCGGCAATCAATTTGCCTGATATCTCATAAGAAGAGCTCGGGCCAGACCAGACTTTCGCTCTCAGACAGATAAAGACCTCCCCCAGTAATGTAATCATCAGTCTCATTCATGTGCGGCCATAGATGGACGTGCACATGTGTGCCATTCAAGGATGGAAGAGACACTGCTGGCGCAAGAAACCCCATTTCACCATGTTACCTGTTGTCCTGCACGCTTCCCACGAACGACGGGTCCCTCAGACTGCCTCCCGCATCGCCAAGACCGGCCACGGGACGGTTGTAGGACCATCCGTGGAAGAGATCTTGTGTGGTGGATGACAGGAGCGGGCCTTCGACGAATGAATCCGCTGGTGCCTCGCGTGTGAACTCCTTGTCGAAGTTCTCGGTATCGAGCGCGTCGACCTGTGACTTGTGTTAGAGTAGGTATAAATAGAAGGAAAATAGTTACTTACCACATTGGGCTTGAAGGTTGGCTCGTACTTCCTCTGGAGAAGCTTGCGCCAATCGATGCTGTGGAAGAAAACGTGCGCCTTGATCTCCGACGCGCCGTTCGCTCCCAGACGCTCTTCTGGCTTGCGGTTGAGCAGCTTCGTGAGGAGATCCTTCGCCGCTGGGGGTACGATGTCCGATCCAGGGAAGTGGAGGGGCTCGGACAGAATCTTGCGGTACATCTCGTTTGTGTTCTCGTCGTAGAAGGGAGGAAGTCCAGTCAACATCTCGTAGAGGAGGACACCAAGGGTCCACCAATCGACACTCTTGGTGTAGCCCTGGCCCAGTAGAAGCTCAGGTGCCAAATACTCTGGAGTGCCGCAGAATGTGTTGGTCCTGTCCTCATCCTTCATGTCGAGCTTACATAGACCAAAGTCGCAAAGAGCGATGTGTCCGGAATAATCGAGGAGAATGTTCTCGGGCTTCAAGTCACGATAAATGACGTTGAAGCCGTGGAGGCACTCTAACGCACACAGCAGTTCCGCCGTGTAGAATCTAGAACGGTTGATATCGAAGCGTTGCTCCTTCTGGAGATGGTGGAACAGCTCTCCACCGTTGACAAAGGCCAGGACAAGGTATAACTTCTCTGGCGACTGGAACGAAAACTTTAACGGCACAATGAATGGATTGTTGATTTGCGACAGAACAGAACGCTCAGCCAGGGTATGGGCGACTTCAGAACGCGAGATGATGTGAGCTTTGCGGATCGTCTTGAGGGCGTAAATGCGATGGGTGTCCTTCTTCTTAACCATCATGACCTTGCCGAAACTTCCCTTGCCCACCACCTTGAGGAGATCGAAATCGTCAATCTTCAGCGCCCTCTGTCTGTTCTCCACGTACTCAACCCCGAGCTTAATCCTTCCCGTACCGTATTGAACCTCCAGCCACTCAGTTCCACTCTGTCCCATCGACTTCTCCCGGGTCGCAAACTCCGCAGCCGCCTTCTCGCGGTCCTTCTTGCTGGCCTTCGGGTCCTCCACGAACTTCTGCCTCTCCTCAAATCTCGGGTTGATGCGCGTGACACCAAGGAAGATATCCTGGCTTCGTCCAGATCCAGGGGTCGCATTGGGATTCCGCAAGTAGAGATGCACGGCCAGCTCGGTCACACGGGAGACATCGAACTTGTACTGGGTGTTGTCGCCGGCCCATAAGGGGTTCTCTGGCGATCCGGACACGGAGTTAACGAAGACCTGTACTTTGTCGAAGTCGAGAAGCGCGTAGGGGAGGTATTTGGAGGAGTATCGACCGTGGTTTGTCGGGACTGAGGAGAAGCCTCCACCACCGGAGGTTGAGGGACGTACGCTGCCGCTGGCGAACGAGCCGGCAACGTTTTGTTGTGAAGAGGTCGGGCGCATGGAGCCTGCAATGCCGAATCCATTGCCAGCTGACATGGAGTTTTGAGTGTGTTGACTTTGGAAAATATGTCTGTATTGCTCTGGTAAGGAGAACCCAGTTCCTTCGTGGAGGGTCACGATAAGGAGTCCTGGTCGCGGCTCAGTTGGGGGCTGCTGCACCATGGCTTCGGAGACAGCTGTATCAAAGTCAGTGAGAGCACCCCTCTATCCAGGCCTCGTATTGGTCGACATACCGATGCCATTATCGGCGGAAAGACTGGTCGAGGGTGAGATCGGTACCCCCGGCTTCTCCTCCTTGGACGCATCGGTGCTAATTGAGGGAGTAGAGGGTGTGCGGGAGAAGGTATTTGCGAGGGGCCCCAAATGGGTCTCTTTCAGTTCTATAAACACAAGATATTAGCAGTGTATAAACAGATCGCTGCACAGCACACAGCGACAAAACCACTCCCCAAGCGCCGTCGGTGCATCACTGTTGGTGCATCACCGTTCTCTTGTGGCTTTAGCCCCGCACACAAGCAGATGCCACCAGCCAGATCGGCAAACAGGAGGTGACGAAAGAGAGGAAGATCGGGATGGACACGCACTCTTTGTGATTTTCCACGACATTGTGTAGGAAGAGGAGGAGGAGGAGGGGTATTTAGATGTGCGGAAAGATCAAGGGAGGCGTGAGGGGGCTGTCCTGTCGCCGTTCTGGGCACGCGTTGATGTCGTAGGTTGTGCTGGAACGGTGAGATAGCAGTCCGTCGTCACTAGTGAGTGAGTTGGTGGGTTGGTTGGTACTTGATTATGCCCCGCCAAGGTACTCTCCTCGGCAACTGCGGCGCGGATGTGCGATGGGAGAAGCTCAGCGATGGAAGATATTATCTTGAGCCTCAAATTGAATCGCGACTCGAGGATTGATTTGGATATAAGTTTGGAGGTTTGAAGAAGAAGAATGAATATAGGGGGTGAAATTGTGTCGCAGGGTGGAAAGTAGGAAGTGAACCACAAGTACGAGGCCCTTCGTGGCTTAGACGTCCACACACAAATACAAACAAACCCCCCGCGTTATCATGCTTATGTAATGCACGGACCGTACAGTACCGTACCAAACAATATATTGGCGAATTTAAGTGAATTCAAGTCCCTATTTACGGAATTTATACAAGACCCTTAAAATGATTACTCCCTTTCACTCCAATAGTCAAGTACCCCTGATATAATATAAAACTATAACCCGTAATTCCTGATTTATTCTCTCCCCATCCGAACTAACTATGGCCGAAGTAATACACACAACATCCTAGTCTCCTCATTGGAATTCTTGCAACTATGTGCTGAGATTATATGCTCGCCCAGTAATGCGCTCTCCCCGGGGGTGCTTGATCAATTCATCATCCGTCTGTCTCCCCTCCAAACAAAAACGCCCATACAACACCCAAACAACGGTGCCACAGTACCACATTCCCCGTTCCCAAAGATCCAAATACAAACCGCGCAACGTCTACCTCCTCAGCACCCGCTCGATCTTCACCCGCAGCTCCTGCGCCTCGTAGACCTTATCGCCCTCGAGCCCATTCTGCGTCAGCATGTTGAGGAAGGTGCTGATCCCCGCAGCGTAGTCGACGCCGCCAAACACCTCCCTGTTGTGGCGGATGCAGTCCTGGTACCACTTCTCGATGACGTACAGCGCGTCGTTGGCGATGAAGCGTCTGTTGCGGCCGTGGAAGGGCGCTTCGTCGTTGTGGATCATGCCCTCGAGGATGGGGATGATGCGCTCGAAGGCGGTGCCGATCTCGATGAAGAGGTCCATTACCCAGGTTGGGGGGCCGACGCCGCGCTGTTGCTCGTAGGCGTAGCGTTCTAGCTTGGGGATCAGGAGTTCGGGGGGGAAGGTAGATTCGCTGCGGTTCAGGCGGTAGGCGAGGTCGCGCACGGCGTTGATGATTGCTTCGTAGGGTTTTGCTGGTAGGGGCTCGTTCGGGCCTGCGGCTGCCGCCTTCTCGAGGATCTGGCCGTGGGTGGAGTCTAGGAAGTTGGTCCAGGTCACGTCGACATCCGATGGGTTGGAGTGGCCAGCAGCTTGGAAAATCTCGAGGCAGATGTCATAGAAGTTGGCCTTATCCGCATATTCGTTGAACAGCTATGGGTAATTAGTAACACAAATTCTGTCGGAATTCTCACTTGACATACCTCTGAAAGCGAATGAACTGGGCCATCAAGCTCACGGACGATCTCTTCACGCCTCGATTGGTCCAGTCTAGGGTGATTCCTCAAGCGCTGGAGGATTTCATCCTGGATATTCGCAATCTCCAAGAGCTCAGTAACCTCACGCAGAAGTACCTGCTGCGCCGACCGAGCAATACCAATAGTCGTGGTGGAGCCATTCGCCTTGGCGCGGCTGAGATACTCGATCCGCGTCTTGAGGTCCAGCGGGAACTCGCTCTTGGCGAGGCCCACTTGCACACTTGCGGCGTCGTGGTATCGCTTCCCGCTGGCGTAGAAGCGCCACAGAAGGTCGGCGCGGTCGATGCTGGTCAGGGACTGCTTTTGCAGATAGGAGATTACAAATGGAGAATCGATGGCGAGCAGGCGATCGGTCCAGCCTTGGGTAAGGTACCAGTCGTACAGGTCGTAATGGAACACCTCGTCCGTCGACTCGTTGACAATGGCATATGCCTCCTGCCTCTTCATGGCGACAACTGTGTACATGCCATCTGCATTAAACTCTGGCTGCTGCCCAGAAACCCTGTCCAAGTCCTCTAGAACAAGGTGGATGAGATCGTAAGAGCGCTTCCGGCTTTCGAAAAACTTCTCGCGGCTATCACCAGCAGGCCTGTTGTCGTTGACCCAAGACAACGCCATGTTCCCTCTATCCCCTTGATACGCAACCGTGAGACACAGCTGGACTGCTCCAGCGTAGAACTGTAGATTCACGTATTGCTCCACAATCGACTGGAGATTTTCGAATGTCAGACTTTCAGCCACTCTCTCGAACAATCGTAGACTCCCATTAAGCATGCTTCGCCCAACCTCGGTACCACTGCCCAGCTCCGACGCCTTCTTGAGCTGCTCTTGAGCCTTGAAAATAAGAACATCATCCGCGCTACAGAAGCTCTTGCACTTCCTCCTCAACGCGTCGGCAACAGTCTCCACATTCGAGCCATTCGCAATACTTCTGTTCACGATCGCCTTAACGAGCACCTTCCCCAGGTTCTTCCCATCATCAGAGGTGAACAGCGACTCGTATGTGAGATCGCGCAGTTGCTGGCGAGTGGTGTCATCCAACGACGCCCAGAGCTCATCCATGCGCTCTTCAAACAACATCATCACGAACGAGATGCCTTCGATTATATTGCTGGCAAGCGCCCAGAGCGAACGAAGAGCCTGGTGCTCTCCTTGAAGCGTGATCTCCTCCATCTGTGTAGCAGCTCGCTGCGGGCCTTCGGGGCCAGCCAACCCCTGGATAAACGTGCTGTTCTTCTCAAGGAAGGTGTTTAGGCGCGCCATGTCGTCTTGGATGCTCGTCAACTTGGCGCCAGAGACGGTTGATTGCAGCGACATGGTTCCATTGGCACCGGCGCCAACGTTGAGTGTCGCTTCTCTTACGACAGGAACCTTCCATATCGATCTCACCAGACGAGAAATATACATCGCCAGGCCGTCATGGCGTGCCGAGGGGCGCACGAAGTTGATGGCCGGCTCATTGGCATCAGAAACAGCATCCGCATTCAAGGATGCAGAGCCACCATAGTCGATGAAGGCCTTGCGAGCCGCCTCAAGCGTCGACGGGTCCGACACCTTCGCCGTTCTTTCTCCCGAGGATCCCTCGGAGCCTTGTCCGCAAGCAACTGCCAGTGCCGCGGCTGTGACTTCGCTTCTCCCGTAATGCCTAATGAACTGCGCCATCTGCTTTTCCAGACCCTGCTCGGCATCGCCTTGCCTGATTGCGGCTGCGAAAACGTCCACAAGCCGCCTTCGCTTGATGATGTAAATACCTGTGTTGGTCAGGACGGCCATCTCTGTCGAGGGCTCATCAAACTGAACAGCAAGTTCGTTCCCGTATCCAATTGGGGTGGATGCAGCTGCGAAGGTGTTGCTAACAAGTCCAATAGCTTCCGCACGGCTATCGAGCTTCAGCCAGAGGCCTTGCTCGTAGAACTTTGAGCTCTGGCCCGAGATGTCGCGGGATTCCGCGGCGATGCGCCCAGTGTCAGGTGCAGAGAGGAAGAGGACGTCTGTGTTGGGATTGGTATCCTTTGCAACGAAACACAGGAAGAAGCCTGGTGGGTATCGTAGTCCCCTACGGGCGTACTGAAGAGCGCGTGATTGGGTGTTTATAGGCTGCTCAACAGGTTGGTAGCCAGATGGCTGTGCTGGCGATCGTGGCTGGGGATCTTGTTGATCCGGCGGCGGGAATTTAATGTGCTGGACCTGCATGCTCGTAGGTGCCTCGACCTTGCCAGCCAGGTATCCGTATCCTCGGGTAGCAGAGAGATACAGACGGCAGCCTGTGGAAGTAACCGCCAGAAGATGGAGTTTTGCGGCTTCAGTGGCCGAGATGGGGCTTATTGAGACGATTTTGAGATTGTTGTCCAACAAGGGGGATTGCGAGATCATGTGGCTGATATCGCGGAGACATTCGTGGCGCTTTTTCTCGACGACTTGCTTGAGCGAGGCTGGCGTATCCATGTGGAAGATTCGTATCGATGACTCTGACGAGAGTGTGTAAAGAAGGTTCCTGCTGTCGTCTACTGTCATATCCACCACATACTCCTTGGAGCTCGTCCCCCAGATGATCTTTGTCGGGACCAAAGACGTATATCCCGGGCTGGTGTGGTTAACCTTGCCGCATCGGCTCGCGAACCACTTCTCCTCCTGCTGGTATGTGAGTTCGTACACCTCGTTATCTCCTCCGCCGCTGAAGAATATCCGCCCACTCGCGGCCGAGCCCTCAATCACCCTGACATCAATGCCCTTGATCGAAAGTGACATGCCAGTATTGAAGAGGGTCACAACCTTTGCGCCAGTCGCCGGATTCGTAGTCGCTCCAACTCCCAGAAGTATAATCTCAGCCGTCGTAGCCACCACCAAAAGGTGGGTGATGGTATCGAGAAACACGCCGCGTCGCGGAACCACCAGCTTGACCGCCGTAATGCTATTCGACTGCTCCTCAAAGCCATTGAGCTCGGGGTTCGTCTGTGTGTAGTCCCAAATATACAAAGCGTTGTCAATCGTAATCCACGCGTGGTTCAGCTCCGAAAACAACCCCATCATCGTCGACACCTGCGCATGATTGTACTGCTCAAAAATGCGATCCGGGATATCATACATCTTCGTCTTCTGGTACGGCGCCCATGCCGAGTCGTGCCCTAATACGGACGGAATCTCATAGTCGGACGAGATGCCCTCTGTGTGCCAGATTAGCCTGTCGTCCCCCGTGTTTATTAGCAGAAACAACCCGCATCACTTACGCTTGACATAGCTATCGAGTTCAGGAAAGTTTGCATCCTTGCGTAACACCTCATTGATCGTCCTCCCCGCGCGCTGCACCGGCTTCAACGCCTGCGACTGGCTTTGAGCCTGGGGGAGCAGAGCGACTGCTGACTGCGACCCTTGGGCGGTCGGCGCGCCCACGGCAGCGGGATTGGAGCTCGGGGCTCGGAAGAGCTGTCGAACGGGGTTGGGCCCGGGGTATCGCGAGGCCGCTGGGGTCTGCACGAAGGCGCCAGGAAGGGGGCGCTGAGGCGTCTGGAGGGAGGGAAAAGACATGGTGGGCTCGGTGCCGCCAGCCTCCCGAGAAAGTCGCGGCGCGCTCAGGTGGATGGGTTTAGTGGTTATGGTGATTGCATCGAGGGGCGGGGTGAGCTTGTTCTGGGGGGGTTCGGCCCAGTGAGGTTGTGGATTATGTCGTCGGTGTCGAGTTGGGTCGAGGTCGCGGCAACATTTATTTCTTTGAGAGCTTGGGGGCCAGTCGCGTAGAAGCTCGCCGTCGTAACGAGATTGCGCTAGTGCGATTGGATTCTCCGTGCTCCGTACAGTAGGCGCGACGACATCATTGAGAATGAGCGCGTCGATTCTTTATATTCAATAGCAATATACAAATAATATAGTTTATTGTTGTATATTCATGGTGTTTACGTCTGGTGAGGACTAAGTTTGCGCTATATGCTACTCTGTGCTCTATAAACGGTAATTTGCTTGCTAAAAGCCAGTCTCCCCCCTATTCACCAGTCACACGAGTGCACAATAACATGAAGATAGGTTTTATAAAACATCGCATGGCTCTCTTGTGAATTCAGCCCTATAAGTACAGTCGATCCGTTTTCATCGCATGGCTCTCTTGTGAAATCAGCCCTATAAGTACAGTCCATCCGTTTTTCTCTTCGCTGAGTGTCAAGAACCAGACATTCTCAGCCTCTAATCCCACACAATCTGCACGCATTCTCACATCATCCCAAACCCACCCCTCTTCCCTCTTCCTCCTCCCCTCCCCCCTCCCCTCTTCTCTTTCTCCTCCCAGGGCCTCTCCTCCTTCCCCCCATTCTCCCTCCCCTTTCCTCTTCCCTTCCCCTTCTCCTTCTTATCCGGATCCTCAGGACACAGCCCCGCAACCCTCATGGCTTCCTCAAACTCATTCAACCTCTTCCCTCTCTTGGGCTTCGGCAGCACCTCCGTATCCAACTCCTCATCCATCATCCTCTCTTCCACCTCCCGCTTCTTCTCCTCCCTCTTCCGCTTCTTCAATTGCTCTTGGCTCACGAAGGGAGAAGCCGCCCCAAAACCCAGTGGGGTGCGGGTTTCGGCAGGTTTGTAGAAGATATATCGTCCTTCGGGTGGGGGGATGGGGAGGTTGGACGTCCAGGGAACTGGGGGGGGTGTCAGTATGGGGTACATTGACCTTGGAGCTGCACAGGTGAGAGAGAGGTGAACTTACTCATTTTGGTCGCCGGTTTAGGCGGAGAGATCTTGCTCTGGATTTCTGCATATTGCTTGCGGGTTGCGGCGGTGTCCGAGTTCACTTTGGTTTCGGTATCCATGAAGGATGCGGCGGTGACTTGTTTCACTGATGTTTCGGTGTCCATGAAGAGGGTGCCTTCCATTTCTTCCTTGTTCGTGCATACAGTTTTCAGCCACTCTTTCACCTTCGCTTTGGGTTCATAGGTCATGAGGAGTGTATTTTGCGGCTTTTCTGTTTTTGCCCGAAAATCTCTCAGCCACTTTAGTGTCGAGGGTATCCAAGGTTTATCCACGAGAGCACAAGGATAATAGGATTCGGAGTATAGATTTTTCTCGATCATATCGAGGGCAGCCTCATCCGCCTCTTCCTTATTCATTTGTCGGATCTTTGCGTAATATCGGTCTATTTTTTTCACGGAGGTCGAACGTTGCAGCCTATCGATCATTGTTGTCTTCTTGGCCTGACGCTCTAAAGCCTGACACTCTAAAGCATTGCGGATCATCTGACGTTCTATCCACTTCTTGGGTTGATATATCTCTACCTGTTTTGCCATGTTCTCAGAAGCCTTTCGAAGTTCTCTAGCGTGTTCCTGAAGCGCAAGCCAGTCTTCCCACTTTGCTGGGTTCCGTTGCTGTTTTTGAAGTCCTGTCGCTCCACGGGGCTGGTTTTGGTGATCTTCGATGGGCGTCAGAAGTGAACTTGACTACCTCTCATTTATGTTCTATTGAAGTTCAAAAGACTTACTGTGGTGAATCTGTGTTTCTCCGTTCATCTTGGGCGAGACTGTGTGTGTCTGCTCCATGCTCTCCGTCTGTTTCTCTACAGAGTTGCTGGTGCGGCCTTGAGTTCCCTGCTGCTCCATTGGTAGAACTGTCTCCTCCTCTTTCGCATTGTCTTCGCGTTCAAAAGTCTTGGAGTGCATTTCTTGTGTCTCTCCGTGCATCCCGAGCGAGAGTCTGCGGTTCTCTTTCATTGCCGTCACCTCAGATTCGGAAGATTCAACGAACAAAAACTGGTCGTCCGCTTGAGTAACGAGCGCAGCTTTCTCCATACTCCCCGCCTGTTTCTGCGGCTTTGGGGTGAGGGAGGGAGGGAGGGATGGGGGAGGCAACGTGGGTGTGCTCTAATTGGGGGTGGGGGGGGGGGGGAGATGGAGATATTTGGTCAGACTATTGGGGGTTCTAAGCGGAGGGTATAAAAACGTAGAGATAGTTCCGTTCATAAAAGATCTAGAAACAAAACTACCCTGCCCTGCAAGACTTCTAGCTACAAAAATAAGCACAGTAGGAAAACAAACGGACTTGGTCGTGACAGAACCAGACATATAAAAATATCACCAGTTGGGTTTTCAGACAGAGAGACAGACAGTTTCGTTCCAAAAGCAGTGATAGTGTTGTAGGAAAACGCATTTTCTCACTATCAAAGTTCCTTGTCACTTCTATATTCTCACTCTATGGTCTATTCTCACCACCACTCGCTTTTGATTCTCTAGAGGGATAAGATGGGTGTCTGTAGATCGGAAGATTTGCGGGTTTGGAGGGGGAGAGTGGGAAATATTTGGTTAGACTATTGAGTTGTAAGCGGAGAGTATAAAAACGTAGAGATACTTCCGTTCATAAAAGATCTAGAAAAATAAAAAGCCACCCTACCCTACAAGACTTATGGCAGAAAACCCCCCAAACCCAGTATTTCTCGCGTGTCTACAGCACTCACTCCGAGGAAATAAGACCGAAGAAAGAAAGGCTGAAGAAGGAGCAGACAGCTGCGCTTGTGTTGAAACATAGAAAGATCAAAACCACACACGCAAATCTTCCGAGCTACAGACAGCTGCGCCCATCATACCAGCAAAAGATCTGTCTTCGCCACCTGACGCTGCTGCTTCTCTCCAGGAGGATCTCTAGAAAGCGGGATGAGGCCGCTCAGTTGAAAGCAGGGATAGTGTTGTAGGCATCTCACTGTTGAGGTTTCTTGTTGCTTGTATATCCTCACTAACTGCTATTATCACTACTTCTATTCTCACTACCTGCTATTCTCACCACCATTCCATCCCCACCGTCACAACCACCCACCATCCCCTCCCACAGCACAAGAACCACCACCGCCCAGCGCCACGACACCAGGTTTCTCCACCCCATAACTCTTGGATGTGTCCATTAAAGATTGTCTTGCTGTAATCTTTCCTATTCCCTGAGGAACCGGGGGGGGGGGGTATAAGTAAGGGCTAGGGGGTGTGTTGACGTAGATACTGTAGCTTGTTATCATATACACCCCTTAATCTTCGGTGTGGGAGTGTGTACGCCCTTTATCCCCTTCCCCTTTATTGTCACATATGAAAAAAGCCAATCTTCACGTTTACTCTACACTTTCCTTCTTATACCTCGCACTCGAATCACCTCTACAACAATCAACAATCAACCACTGTCAGTCACAGTCAACACAATCACAAGTCACCACCCCTAAAAACCCCTTTCTCTGATATACCCCTTTCCATTTATTCATCCCCATTTACCACCCCCATATCTACACCCCCCACAAAATGGCCAGGGCAACATAACATACATACAACCAGCACCCCAGGTCTCCCATAAAATTCAGCTCTTCCCGGCCCCTATCCTCTCTCTCTCGACCTGGAGGCAAGACAGAATTCCAACAACAGTGAACTCACCCCCAACTAGGCCTGGAAGTGGTGATATCATCCAACAACGAACATCCACGGGCTTTCTCCTCCTTCATATCTGTTGCCAGTGCCGACTCGCTCTTCCCCTTCCTTCATGCTCGCCGTATACTGCGATACCGCACGCACGGTAAACGAAGATATCGCCGCGGTAACGTAGACGTAGACGGAAGTGTAAACGTTTACCCCCCTAGCTCATCGGCGCGGTAACCGTACGTACGTACGTATGAGCAACAACGACAACATAAACGTGAACGTAAACGCCTAACGAAATCGCCGCGGCAACACACGTCTACACCCACCCCCCGTTGCCGAGACGAGACGTCCGCTAGGTTCTGAAAGCCTCCGTTTCGCTGGATTCACTTAGCCACCTCCTCGGCCACCCTCCTTCTTCCTTTCTTCATCTTCTTATCAACAACATCAACAACCATGACGGTAACCACCATAAAAACAAGAAACAGCAAAACGATGATGGAAGAGGAGAAGAACTATAACTAATCCGGGGATATCAAAAAAGAAAAAAGCAAGCTAACACGAGATCAGGTCTTCCGTTCTTAAAGAAACAAATCTTCTCAAGAAACGATCTTCGTAAGAGAAAGAGCCACCACCAAAGGAAAATGGGACTCGGACAACCAGACAATGAAAGCAAAAAGACGCAAAATAGGGCATCGAATCGATCCAGGAATAAAGACGTGCCAACCAAACAAAACAAACAAAGAAGCGCGCGCATGAAGAACCATTTTATCAACTCCCACAAACAAAATATACACGAAATCCATCGACAAAACTCTCAACAGCCTCGGGCGGGACCCTCCTACTCCCCCCCAAAAATCTCCTCACTATTCTCCACCACAAACTGCACGACCTCATTCCTGCGTGCCACATCGCTCATCTCCCTCTCCACTGATCGATCCCTCATGATCGTCGGCGCGAAAACAACAGCCACGTTCTTGGGCGTCATGAGGTTGACCGACGCCTTGGACACGACGCGGGCGAGGTGGAAGACGAGGAATTCGAGGACGTCGCGGTGGATGGGGGGGAGGAGGGAGAAGGTGTGGCGGAGGTGGGCGCAGCGGGCGGTGGGGTCGGATTCGGGGATTGCTGGTGGATGGTTAGTACGAGGTCCAAAAAGAGAGGAAGAAGACGAAGAAGAAGAGGGAAGAAAAACAGCACGCTCGACTCGGGGACAAAGGGAATTTGCGAGATCGGGGTCGAGATCGAGGTCCCAGATCGCCAACTCCGGAGAAGTCGACAACCCGCAACAAAGAACCCCAACCCCGGCAAAAGAAACAAAAGCAAAGCAAAGAAGGGGGACAGGGAAAACTCACTCAAAGCCTCCAACACCCTCTCATAAACATCAAACGTCAAAAGCGGCACCGGCAACTTCCTAAAATACTGCTTCAACACACTCGTCACCGCCGTAATATCCACATCCGGATCACTGATATCAATCTCCATCCCGGGCGTCTCCTTCTCAAACCCCTCCTGAATCGCCTTCACCAGCCCACTCCCGCCAGTCTTGCGATAGATACCCTCTACATCCATGCCGCGGAGCTCGACCTCCTCGATACAGCGGATCACGACGGAGGGGATGTGGCGGCGCTCGAAGGCTGCGCGCTCCACGAGGTCGGAGCCGAAGAGGGTGGCGGGGGATTCAGCCGCGGGGTTCAAGGCTGTCGCTCCACCAGCGGACTTCGAGTTCGCGTGGGACTTCTTGAACAGCCCAAAGCCTCTTGGATCACTCGATTGGGATTTCGGCAACGACCCACCGCCACCACCAAGTTGCGAGTTCTGCGGCGGCGCCATCAAGCTCGGCGAATCAACGGGTGTGACGGTCGTGTTATACGGCATACCGATCTCCCCCATGCCCCCAGCAGCAGCAGCAGCGTTACGCTCGCGCTCGCTTCCAAACGCGCCCTTGAAACCCTTGCTTACGCCCTTGGCGACTGTGGCGCCGCCTTTCTTCCAGTTAAACTTCTTGGCTTGCGCTTTACGGATATTGACCACGTGGGGCGCGGAGAGGACGGTGGCGGGCTCGAGAGCAGCGTCCGCGTCGAGGACGTGGGGGTAGGAGTGCGCGGTTGCCAGGGAGGGGGCGTAGGATGTGGCTGCCGCGGTGGTGGATGATGCGTCATCGAGGGTGGGGAGGGAGAGTTTATCCTTGCTGTGTCCATAAATCCCCAGTCCATTCGCTGAGGCGCCTCCACTCGACATCGGGGGCTTGGGGGACTCGACACCAGCAGCCGCCCCGCTCTGGGCGCGGAAACGCTCCTGGATCTGGGTGGTGAGATCGTTATTCAGATCCGCCAACTGGGCGTTCTTGATGGACAGCTGTTCGAACTCCGCCAGTGCGCGGTCGCGCGACTTGATAGCAGCGGCTTTCTCATCGAAGAGGGTCTCGCGCTCTTCGAACAGGGTTTCCACTTCGCGGGACATGGATTGCTTGAGGCGCTCGATTCTCAGGACGAAATCTTTAATGGCACTCTCCTCCATCTCCTCCATATCAAGCTCATGCTTACCCTCCGCGCGCTTAGCGCGCTCTACATACCCAGCCAGCACTTCGATCTGACGAATCATTATCTCCGCCTGCGAACCAAGCTCATGTACAGTCTTGCGCTTCTCAACCAGCTGCTTAGTGACGGACTTTAGCTCGCCGCTCGCCACGAAAACGCGCTCGAGCTCCGCGACGCGCTGCTCGGAGTTGCGCAGTTGGCGACGGAGAATGGCGGAGTCGTCGCCCCCTGCGCGGGGTGAACCCATGGAGATGGACTGCGGGCTCGCGACGATGCCGTCTTCGGCGATGGGGGTTTTAGGCCAGTGACCGGATGTCGCGGTGCGGCTCGTCGTCTCGCTGATGCTGCGGCCGTGGCCGCCGTGGCGGTGTGCGCTGTGGTCGCTCGGTGTGCGACCGTGGCGGACGGCGTTGGATACGCGTCTGAGGAGGGACTCAGCACGCTCGTCTGTGCCGAGTATACGCGCCATGTCCTCGTCCATGGTGAAATCGCCGCCGGCGCTCCATCTAGGGAGCTTGGGGGAGATAGGCTCGCCGGTTATTGGGTTGATGGCTTGTTTGCCTGATTTGGGCTGGGAGGGTGGGGGAGGGATGGGAGGGGCGCGAGGGGCCATGTAGGTGTCGCTCGGCTTCTGCTGGGGCGGGGCAGGGCGGATGGGGAGACGTGGTCCGGAGTCCTCGGAGGGCTTGATGACGGGGCTGGAGATGGATTTTCCGTTTACGGTTGGGGTGGAGAGGGCGGTGCTGTCGGTGGAGGAGACGGAGGAGGACATTGCGTCGGAGGCGGCGTAGGATGGTGGCTGCGTCTTGCCCAACTTACTACCTCCGACCTCCTTTCTGGGGATGGGCTTCGAGGCAGTTGGCAGCTCAGTCCTAGCCTGGTCGCGTGGAGGAGGAGACATGGCCGAATCGGTCGAAGGTCTCGACTCCGACTCCGCACCAAGATACTGGTTTACGCCTCCCCTCGGTCTCTCCTGAGACACTCTCGTGGACTCCGCGCTCTCAGTCCTCGACAGATTCTCTCTCTTCACCAGCGGTCTAGCCTGTGGATTCTCCACCGCCTCCGTCTTACCACTATTCCTCGACTCATTCGAGCGCTTACGCTTCGGCACATCCTGCAGCTTAAACTTCTCCTGCGCCGACTGCGCCTTCTCATTCGCATTCCCATTACTCATAGAGTTAGCGAGGTGCTGTCTCTTGGGCTCCTCGCCCCCGAGCGCCGGCGACGCAGTGGCAGACGTGGTGCGGCTGCCCGCCGACGGACGAGGTGGTGGTCTCCTCGTGGTCGCGCCGCCATCCTTGCTGGACTCGGAGTACTCGCTCGATGTCGTGCGGCCCTTCTCCTGGAACGCGATGTGCGGGGTCGACTGGCTCATTGGGACTTGTCCCCTCGTGCTTCTCGCCGACGGGCTCAGCATGTCCTTCGCCGCGGCATTCTCCTTCTTGTTATTCTGCGCTGGGCGCGGAGTTGGCGCGGGGCTCGGGTCGAGCGCGAGCGGGATGAAGAAGCCGTCGCCGTCGGCGGTCATGTCCGAGGCCTGCGAGTGGCGGTTGTTGCGGTATGTGGTTGTTGGGAGGGTTAGGCCGTCTCTATGTCCCATATCGCTGGGTGATTCGGCGCGGCGCGAGCTGCTTCTCGACGCTTCGTCCGGGTACTGTGGGCGCGGACGAGGTGAGAGCTCGGTGTGCAGGTTCATGGGCGGCTCTCTCGATTGGGCAGCCTCCGCAGCGGCCTTCTCACTCGGTGGAAGGGCCGGCAGGGATTTATCTACGAGCATGCTATCTTTTTCTTTAGCTTTCGCCGCGGCGGCGGCGAGTTTGCTTTTTTTACGACGACGCGCCATCAGCGACTCATGGCAGCTCATGCAGAATATGCCCTGTGAGGTGCGGGCATAGCGCAGGTTCTCGATCTTGCGCTTGCAGTTGCGGCAGCGGAAGCAGGTGGCGCAGAAGGCCTGGTCGCCGGTCAGGATGGCGAGGTCTTCGATCTTGTTGCCGCAGGCGCTGCAGCTGTAGGTGCAGTTGTTGCAGATGAGGGAGCCGTCGCCGAGGAGGAGCAGGTTGGCGTCGGAGTCGAGGAGGGTGTGGCATTGGTTGCAGCGGAAGCAGTCGAGATGCCATCTGTTGTTTGCTGTAGGATGGGAGGTTAGCTGTGTGCTCAATGGGATGGTTGGTAGGCTATGAGGGAGAGCAGCGGCGCAACGGTGTTCACCAGATGCAGCTCGCCCTCACAGTCCAGGAGTATGAGGGAGAGCAGTGGCGCAACGGTGTTCACCAAACACAGCTCACCCTCACCCACTGAAGAGCATGAGGGCAAGCAGCAGCGCAACGACATCCACCAAACTCAGCTCCCCCTCACAATCCAGATCGTCAATGGAACAAAAAAACAAAAACTCACCAAGTTCAAAAGCCTTCCCCTCTTCCAGAATCTACCACACATCCAAGTCAGCACAATCCCATCCCAAGCCTCTCAATCCCCCCTTCAACAAAACTCACCTCTCCACATCCCTTACACGGATACGCCTCCTCCTCCCCCGCAGAATCAGGGTATTCTCCCGCCGCAACAGCAGCTTCAGGCGCCTCCATGGCGCAAGCTGCCTCTTTATCTCCAGCTCAGAGCTGGTGGTAAGGTATGGGTATGGGGATGCTGGTGTCGGGGCATGCGTGGGGTGTGTCTGTCTGTCTGTCGCGTGGTGTGTAGGAGCTGTGTGTGTGGTGCGCTGGGGGATTGGCGCGTGGGTTGGTTTGAGGTTATGTGAGGTTTGTCGAGGAGGTGTTTGTTAGGTGAGGTTGTGAGGTGAGGTGAGGTGAGGTGAGGTGAGGGTGAGCAGATCGGGATCTGTGAGATCGTCGTCTGCGGCGTGGCAGCAGCGGCGGTGGAGAGGTGTGTGGTACGCGGTTCACTGCTGTTCGTTTCTTGTGGAGTGGATGCCAGTGCAGCAGCAGCCAAAGAGAGAGTTTGCAATGCTAGGAGCAGGGACGGTAGAGGTTAGTTGCGGTGGGCGCAAGGGTTTCAGAAAGTGAGGTGAGCGGTGTTGGGTGGTGAGTTGTGGAGTTGTGGTTGTGGTGGTGGTAAGTGGTGGTTGTGGTGGAAATAGTTCACTTACCTTACTCGTTGCAGTGTACCTGTGTACCCGTACCGGAACCCGTACCCTCGTACGTACTTACTGTCCTCTTGGGTCTTGGTGGGTGGATTAGAGTCAGCCACAGTTGAGATTGTTGATCTTTGACTGAAAGGGGGGGATTATTACTTTGTGCAGTAGCAGTATAAAAAGTAGTAGAGTAGAGTTTAGTGTAGTATAGTACAGTGCAGTTCAGTGGTGGCTGGTTGGCAGGGGATGGATATTATTTTGTCCCTGATGCTAGAGAAATTGTAAAATGTAAAATATGAAAGTGTTGTTGTTGTCCCTTGCTGGGGTTTGCTGTCCCTTGCTTGGTGTGGGATATGGTGGTGGTGGTGGGATGTAGTGGTAGAGTGGTAGAGTGTGGTATACAGTGGCAGATTGTAGTACTGTGGTAGAGTGATAGAGTGGTAGAGTGTAGTACTGTGGGTGATGAGATGGATGAGATGGATGAGATGGGATGATTGTATGAGGGGATTGAGTGTCTTTAGGAGTGTGTAATGGTGACAATGGTATCAACCAGAGCCGTGAGTGAGCTGTATTCTGAGAGTGTAGGTACAAACAGGACAGACAGGACAGATAGGACAGCTATGGTGGTTGGTGGTAGTATAATGTGCTGTAACTTTACTTTCTCTGTATGTATGTATTATTATAGTGCACAACACATCTCAGGAGAGCGACGACGACGACAGACGGCAACCAGAGACAAGAGAGACACGGCGACGACACACAGACAGACACACAGACGAGACAAGACGATAATAGTAACACGATCCACCTGTTACTGCAGTATTATCCACTTGCTGCCGTATACTACCGTACTATACCCATACTACCGTACTATTACTGCCAGTGCACACAGAGAGAGATCAAGGTACACCACTACTAAGATTAATCACTAACCACTACTACAGCCATCTATCTCCTCTAACAAATAACAGCAGTCCGTCCAGTACTACGGATAGCTCTAGAACGAGAGCTAACACGAGAGTCGTCTAGCCTAGGGATTGCCGTAGGATAAGTTAGGGGTGTAGTACACAGGACAGCAGTATTCTCTCTAACTCCCTCTATGCATCTTCTCAGCTATAAGACTATAATCGCAACTCCCAACTCATGTACCCCTCTTGTCAGTGCGTTACATCGTTTAGGAGGATAAGTTTAGTGGAGAGAGGACAAGACAGAGAGGACAGGCCAGACAGCTAGTCCGTGGTCTAGTCTAGTCGAGTCTAGTCAGTACTCTGGCCCACTAGCCACTAGTTACTAGCCATACTAAAAGGTGGATCTTAGAGTCAAGCCACGGGAAATCACTACGGGAGGGACGTATTTACGTATTTTATTGCTATAGCCAGTACTGTACAGTAAGGTAAAGTACGTGACTAAGGTCGAGGTGAGGTTATTCCCCAATTACTATCAATATTAATAAGTAATTCTTTTGGTTACTGTTATTAAATCTTGCAATCCCCTACTAATCCCACCAATCCCCCCAATCCACGACTAACTATAACCACCCTATACCCTATACAAACAGCACACACATACATACGTAAACTCAGTCTATATCCCACACTCATCAAACACACCTCCTCCCCCCTCTCCGCCCCCAACGCGTTTCACACCCTCACACTTCACCCGTCACCCCCTGTCTACCAGATACGCCACATTCTATTCTACCGCTACCAACCACTAACATTACTAACATTACCACTACAACGGTCCTCCTCCCACTACTACCACACTGCGTCGGCCCCCCCGTCTCTCTCTCTTTCCGCACATACGCAGCCACCTCCACGCCGAGTAAAAGGGCGCGTTTCATCTCCTGTACGAGTGTACAACACTACTGTTGGGGATCTGCTATAGCAGTTCAGAGTGTATCAGGGATGGATGGCAGTTAACATGCATGGTAGAGGTGGGATTTGGTACGGAGAATAGATGGTAGGTAGGTAGTAGTACAGATCATCCTCACCATTCGATTAGTCGTTGTATGCAAGTGATAGGAGTGATAGGAGTAATCGAAGTGACGGATTCCCGACCCTCGTGGCTGCCACGCGGGGAGATCAATCACTGTGAAGCCTCATCTCATCTCATTACACATATTACACATATCACACATACCACGCTCATCACAACCATCCCCTACCCATCACATCAACCGCAACGGCAACTTCCACTCCCACGCCCCAGACCAGACACGGCAACAGCGGCACTCAAAAAGCTCCTCCTCCTGTACCTGTCAAAACGAGCGGGTAATGGCTGGCCGTCGTCTGTGGGTGATCTACGAACGCGTCTGTGTGGTCGGTCGGTCTCCATCTCCAGTACTACTCTGGAGTAGTAGAGACTGGGGATATGTGCCGTCTGGTCCCCTTTCCTTTTCTCCGCTGGTGAGTGACGGAGATGGGCATGGAGGATGGATGGTAGGGTAAGGGTAGAGTGTGGCGGTAATCTTATAGGGTATGATTGAACTGGGGATGGAGATGGGGACACTCTATTAAAGCTCTCACCACCCTGAACCATCACTCACCACTTCCCATTAGGGGGACCAAAACGGCGGTAAGTGCCAGAGAGACAGCGGGAGCTATATCCGGGGATAATTTATCCTCCTCCTCCTTCTTCCCTCCCCAATCCATCCCTCGTCCACCGCATCCCATGCCCCTAGAAAAGTAGAAACCCATGGCAAGAGAGAGCACTATAAACGCAACACCCGCCAAACACACTCGAGTACGCCACAACTGTCGCACCTTCCCGCACCACACACAGCTGTTATACCGCAGTGCAGCAACCCGCCGTTTCACCCCTCCCTCCCTCGTCTCTCTCGACGCATCCCGTGCCGATCAAAGGCGCTCTAGACTCCATACCGTGCAGAGGCGATCATTACCTTTTGAGGCGCGGATAGCGAGGGAGCAGTTTTGGCGTGGTAGGGGGGAGGGATTTCGCGCACAGAGGACGGTGGATACGGATGAAGTCTGCTGCCGTGCCGAGTATGTACAGTAAGTATGGCAGCTGGGGTGAGGGAGGGGAGTGAGGGTGGAGGTGAGGGTGGGATATAGGCTGTTATAGATAGGGGTAGAGTACCGGAGTATACGTAGGTTTTAACCCTCCCTCCCTCTCTCCCTCCTTCGCCTTACCTCTTACCTACTCTACTCTGCTCTACTCCACGTAAACAAAAAAAAATCCCCCTAGCCACCACAGCGAGACACACACACACAGTCCCTCCTTCCTGTTCCTATCTCACTAACCCCCGTACTTATGCTGCTGCACAGACAGCACAGACACGCACGCCTCTTCGTACTTATCCTCTAGACAACGAACGCCGTCGCAACGAACGCCGTCGTCTCCACTTACTCCACCCACGCTCCCGACTTCATCCCCCTCACGTTCGTGGCTTGGGAGGGGGATTGGTGGGTAAGTGTTGGTTGGTGGGTGAGTGGGTGATGGGTTGATCCACTTGGGGAGATGGGAGATTGAGCGGTGGTGGAGAGATGAGGGTGGGTGAGGGCTGGTGGTTTGTGTGGCTGAGAGGTGAATGGCTGGGTGTGGCGCTGATGATGAGGGGATGGAGAGGGGTGTGGCGCAGGACCTTGGGGGCATGGGGGAGGGTGTGAGGGAGAGGGATGTGAGGGTGTGAGAAATAGATGTCAAGTATACAATTTCCAAATCTTCTACGGCGTCTAACTGCTAGGTTAAATATCGATATACCGCCCAAAATATATATATATATATCACTCATATAACCTCCCATATCCCACCATCCTTCCATCCACCTCTCACACCACCCTCCTTCTCACCCCCCTCACTCCCCCATCTACTTCCCCCCTCCCGCAACAAACTTCCCATACTCCTTCCACAACCCCCCCACCTCCCCCCCCACGCACTCCCTCCAAAACTTCCCCTCCTGATACTTATTCTTCCTCAACCACTCATTCATCTTCCTCACCACCCCCCCCTTCCCATCCCCCTTATTCTGATCAAGCCACTCCAAAAAGAACCCCGTCTTCTCATATCCCGCCGCCCACCCCCCATCCGTGCTCCTCTTCCAGTGAGGCGGGGCGAGCTTGGCGCGCAAGCGGACCCAGTCAGCGATACCTTCGATGAGACCGGAGGGACAGGTGTTGAGCCCGTTGTATTGGAAGCAGTGCACCAGCTCATGCACTAGGACTCCCGCAATCTCATCCTTGACTCTCGCGGCGGCGATGCGGGAGATATAGTCGACGGAGAAATGAATCTCCTTCGCCCCATCAACAGCCTGCGTGCCGATCGTGTAGGCAACCCCGTCCATAGGCCGCAGAAACAGGGCAACGGATTTGGTGGGGGGGAGGTGCGTGGTGGGCTCCTTGGGGGAGACGTAGAGGTGCGTGAGGACGGTGGTGATGTGCTTGGGGAGGGCGGTGGAGATGATGGTGTTGCTGAGGAGGGCAGTGGCGCCGGGGTGGGTGAGGGTGGGGATTTGGAGGGAGAGGGGGGGGATGGTGAAGGAGGGGGGGGCGGCGGCGGTGGTGGTGGGGGTGTCGGCGGGGCAGGCGGCGGCGGGTTTGGTGATGGGGAGGGGGGTTGTTGTTGGGGAGGTGGGGGGCTGGGGGACGGTCATTTTGGTGGTTGTCGTGGTGGTGATGGTGGTGAGTTGAGGTGAGGTGATGTGAGATGAGGTGGTGATGCTTGATCCTCGAGCTCGGAAGGCGGGGAACTTGATAAAGAGTGTGATAGCTAGAAAGAGCTTGCTTGCTTCCTTCCTTCTGGCGCGTGAAGTGATATTAGGCTGAATGTAAAAACCCAAAAGCTAAATAGGAAGTAGGATAGCAGCTTTATATACACTCTCAATACAACCTCAATATACACACCGTCCTTCGAAATGACCCCCTTCCAAAAATGACACCCCCCATCAGACGAGGCTGACACCTGACAGGAACACCCAGGCACCGCCAGATCACAGCCTGACCTTATCTTGTGCCTGACTACCACACCTCTAGTTCCTTATCGCGGGGCACCACCACTACCACTAGCGCACAGACCACCACGCGTCCCAGCGTGAGTGAAAGGGTGGTGACTTGACCTCAGGTTCCACAGTTAAATCCGCCCAGTACCGAAACTAAACCAACTCTGCGCGTCTGTGTGTAAACAACGACAACGACACAGCGACGGGGATATATCGGATAGAAACAATCGACAACGACGACGACGATAGTACAGCGACGACAAGGTGATACTGTTGATATATACTACCTACCAAAGGAAGAGGCACACATGCCCTTGAAAACGCAACACACGCAATAACACCTACTCTGGCTACGGCCCCTTATCACCACCCACCCACCACTACAAGCAGCTGCCACACCACACCACACCACCACAAGGAGCAGCACACACGCACACGACCACCACGATGGGCGAGAAACTCACCGATGTAGCGGCGCAAGCCCTACTCACCCTCCTCCGCAGCGACTCCTCCGTCGACTCCAAAGTCGCCTCCCTCACCACCGCAAAATCATCCATAAAACAACACAACCTCCCCGACGCCTGCGTCCCCCCCCTCTTCGAATCCGCGCGTCTCGCCATGGTCTCGCAGCACACCGCCCTCGTCAACGCCGGCTTCACGACGCTGAACCACCTGCTCACGCGCATGACGAGGCAGGAACCGAGAGCGATTGTGAGGGAGACGAAAGCGACGTTGCCGCTTGTGCTGGAGAGGGTTGGGGATGCGAGGGAGAAGTATAGGGGGTTGGCGGGGTTGTGTTTGACTGCGTTTTGGAGGGTGGCGGGGCCGGAGGTGGAGAGGGGGGTTAGGGAGGGGGTGTTGGGGGGGAGGAGTGGGAGAGCGAAGGAGGGAGGGATGGGGTGGATTGTGCAGGTGGGTTTATTTTTTATTTTTGTCTTTTTGGGCTTTTTGTTTTTGGTGTTATTTTTCTTCGCTGTTTTGGGGGGTGATGGGGTGAGAGGGAGGGTTGGGGAAGGTTGGCTTTTCTTTGGGGGTGTTAAGGAGGTCACAGGATTTCGTGCTCGCTGAATAGGTCACAGCGGAGATTTTGGGACAGCGGATTTTGAAGACACAGCTGACACATACAGATGCACGAGGAGTACGGACTACAGTTCAGATCGTTTGTGCCCAGTCTCATGGAGCTCCTCGAAGATGCAGATGGCATGGTTAGAGATTGTGCCAGGAACACAGTCATTGAGCTGTTCCAGTACGTATTGCCCACCCGACTCACTCACAGCCCAACCACTAACAAGCCAAAGAAACGCACCCAACGCAGCAAAATCCGACCTCAAGAAACAACTCAAAGCATTCAACGTCCGCACCACCATTGTCTCCGCCATCACCAGCCAACTCAGCCCCACCGGCGCAGACCCCGACCCAATCGACCAACACACCGCAAGCCCCAACCTCCGCTCCCACCACTCCGAGAGCACCACTTCCGCCTCCTCCACCACCGCCCGCCCCGTGACCCCCGTCATCGAGCAGCGCGTGCTCGAGCACGTGGAACCCGCCTACGTCAACACAGTGCGCGAGCTGGAAGACACCCTGCGCGACATGCACCCCTTCTTCGAGGGCAAGGAGTCGGAGCACAACTGGCTAAAGCGCGAGCAGAGCTGCTCGAAGCTTCGGAAGCTGAATGCCGGGAACGCACCTGCGGATTTCCACGACGCGTGGCTGGTGGGTGTTAAGGGGCTGCTGGATGGGATTTTGAAGTCGGTGAATTCGCTGCGCACGAGCTTGTCGAAGGAGGGGTGTGCGGTGGTGCAGGAGATTGCGAGGACGGCGGGGCCGGGGCTGGATCCGATGGTGGAGATTTTGTTGCAGAATCTGATTAAGCTCTGTGGTGGGACGAAGAAGATCGCGTCGCAGGCGGGTGATGCGACGGTGGATATCATCATCCTTCACGTATCATACAACCAGCGCATCCTCCAGCACGTCTGGCTCGCATGCCAGGACAAGAATGTGCAGCCGCGCACCTACGCAGCGGGATGGCTGAAGACACTGCTCAAGAAACTCGCGAACCACAAGAGCACAATCGAGCACGCCGGCGGCCTCGACATCGTCGAGAAGTGCGTCAAGAAGGGCCTCGCGGACCCCAATCCCGGCGTCCGCGAGAAGATGCGCGGAACCTTCTGGCCGTTTGCGCAGATGTGGCCCGCTAAGGCAGAGGCAGTAATGTCAGCCCTCGAGCCCGCACAACTCAAGCTCCTCCAAAACGACCCGGGTAACCCCAACTCCCCCAAGAAAACCAACCCCGTCGCCCGCCCCGGCCTCGCCATGTCAAAGAGCACCGGCCCGCCGAAACCATCATTGAGAGAGGCACTCCTCGCGCAGAAGAAGGCTGCAATGGCAGCTAAGACTCTCCCAACCCGCCCAGGCTCAGCAATGTCCTCCTTCTCCCCAATGCGCACCGCGAGCGCACAGTCGAATTCCTCGACCGCCACTGCGCAGCCGGGACGCTCGCGGCCGGAGAGCACAACGACGAGCCATGGTGGACTATCAGTTGCGCCGATGCGACCGACTAAGTTCCGACCCAAGGAGCCGCCGCGACCTGCTACTGCGGGGCCGTATTCGGTGAGGCAGGGCCCTGCTGGCGCTACTGCGACGCCGTCGACGACGAGGCCGGCGGTGAGGACGCCGAGCGCGGCGACGGTGTCACCGAAGCGGAGTGCGGTGCCGAGACCGAATACGAGTCATTCTAGTCATGCGAGCCAGTCGTCTAATGCGAGTCCTATACGGGAGAAGGTGAGTGTAGCTCGCGAGGCCAACGTTGCTAGGGAGGAAATGGTGGTGAGGGAGAGCCCTCGTGTTGCTAGGGAGGAAATGGTAGCAGCGCGTGAGAGCCCTCGTGTTTCCAGGGAGGAAGCGCTGATGGCACGGGAGAGCCCTCGTCCGAGGCCGCAACAGCAGACGCAGACGCAGACGCGTGATTACATGTCCAGCCCCTCAAAAGCAGACGAGGATTTCACAATGGTAATCCCAACCCTCACCAGTCTCCCCTTCTCCTCCTCCGCACCGCCTCCAGCCAGCCCACCACCTCCAACACAGCAAAAGGAACCCGCTCCCCGCCTCGCCACGCCCGCCAAATCGGTAAAGGTCTACGAAGACCCCTTCTCCTCCGCCGGCGACGACGAGACCACACCCCGTCCCCCGCTCCCCGCTACGGTACTGGAAGAAGTCTCCGTGAACGAGGAGACTTTCTCGCTTCCACCTCCGCCATCGCCGCCTAAGGCGTCGACGAATGGACTTCTTGCGTCGCCGGAGAGGGCGAAGAAGGATGTGCGGTTGTTGGATAGCGGGATCGCGAAGGTTAAGGCGCAGTCTCTTGACGTCCACGGGTTCAGGAAACTGCAATCCCTCATCCGCGACTCCAGCCGCGACATCTGGGGCCCTGCTACCCCCGGTGGTGAGGGGAGATTCGACGCCTTGCTGAGCGGGCTATTCACATACCTCGCCGGCCCCGCCACCGCCCTGGCACCAGAGAAGGTTCAGGATGTCAAGGCGCAGATCCTAGCTACTATCCGCGCGATGCTGAGGAAGGATCGTGATGCGTTCGCGGCGAGGGGGGAGGAGGGGATCGCGGCGCTTCTGGCTGCTAGGGCGAGGTATGAAGGGCGCGCGCATATCGTTGCGGGGCTTGAGGTGCTTGCTCAGGAGCTGGTGGGGTTGGGTGACGCGGATTCGGTTGCTGGGACTGTGGTGCGGAGACTTGAAGGGGAGGAGATGGGGGTGGAGGGGTGCCGAACTCTCAGTATGGGATTACGGATGTTAACTGGTCTTCTCGAGGGACCAGGGGGTTACGTGCCTGGTGAGGATAGGGCGGCGGAGATGGGACGTCTGGCAGGGAGGTGTCTGGAGAGCGGGAATAGTGGGGTTAGAATGGATGGGGTGGGGATGTGTGTGGCGCTGCATAGGGGGGTGGGGGAGGGGAGGTTCTGGGAGGTTATGGGGGGGGTGGGGGGGGATGGGAAGAGTTTGATTACTTATTATATTGTTAAGAGGCAGAGGGAGGCGGGGGGGGTGTAGGTTAGGGGGAAAAAGTTTGGGGGAAAAGGCGGGGGGGGAGGAAAAGTAGAAGGGGGTGGTGGGTGTTTTTGTTTTGTTTTTTTGTGGGTTGGTTGGTGATGTTTTCTTGTTCGATTGGGAGAGAGGGAGAGTAAGATATGTTATGTGATAGTGTTTTTTGTAATGTATGATAATATACCTTTCTAACTCAAACCATCGAGACCGACGTCAGCAAACACAATGCGCTAGGATATTGTGATGTAAACATCCACGGCGCAGAAGGCAGAAGGTAGAAGCCCTTGCTCTTGCTCTTGTGGAAATATATGTGTGTTGAGGGTGGTGGTAGCAGAGTTAGTCGGTAGTGAGAATGCAATCGACAGCGAATTAATTTAGGCGGCGGCAGTGAGAACGCAGTCGACAACAAAATGAAATACACCCCTCTCCCCAGCGAGAAAAACGGGTCATGGCAATCGGCAAACACCCTCATTGCCGCGCTCGATGAAACGTGGTATAGTCTTTCTGGCGCTGCTTCGGGATCGCAGTGGAGATTTAGCTTCGTGGGGAAAGAAGACGGGTTTGGAACACTTGGGGCGTATTGGGGAAATTGGGCTTTCGCGGATGAGGCGGGAAGGGGTGGGGTGCTGGTTGGGGCTGTGGAGGCTGGTTCTTACTGGTTGGTTGGTTGAAGGGGGTACTGGGTGTAGGCGGTGGGATGGTGCGTGGGAGGGGGTTAATTGAGTGTGTTGGGGTGTGGTATGGTGGGTTTGGGTGATGTGAGAAAGGGGGATGGGTTCTACTGATAATGGAAGTTGAAAAATTAAAACTGTCTCGTATCGATTTTGTGCTTAGGAAAGAGCATAGTGGAGGGGGAGAGGGTCGGTTGTGGTGGATGAAGGGGTTTGAGATGGGCGTGTGGAGTGATGGGTGGTGGTGAGGGTATTTATCATCATCATCTGCATCATCATCTGCATCGGAGGGTTTAATTTATTTCCTTCAAACAATTTCTATTCACCCCCCTCCCCGTGAGTGAGAGGGGTCTGGCTATCTGTTTATATATCAAACTAAGTAAATGGTATCTAATCTTGCAATTCAATCCCTCCCATCCCCCAAATTCAATTCAATCCACTCCAACTCCAAATACTCCAACAGCTATTCCCTCCCTTGTGCGGATAGGTAGGTAGATAAGTACGTCCAGCGCCACTCCATCACTATCATCTCCCCTCATCCACCCCCCCATCTCCCCTCCCAACACCCAACCCCCTCAACTTCAAAGCCAACAAACCCTCCGCAACCTGTCGTCCCTGTAGGAGAGGGGTGGCAAATGCGTTTCCGCCGTAGCCAATATCACCCTTACACAGCTTATCATACGTCTCCCCACCACCGCCGTTGGTGGTGCTACTCGCACCCCACTCGCCGGACCCATTCCCATCCTGCGTGGGCGGTCTAGAGGGGACGCCAGATCGGCTGGTTCCGGTATCAGATGACGCAGCTGCATCGCTGCGTTTGTAGAGCGAGAAGGGAATAGGTTCGATAGGCGTCGTACTCCTCCCCTCGCCATCATATGGATACGCCCCCCCTGTCTGGGCAATCCCATCCATCGCTTCGAAATCCCCCCCTCTCAGTCCCGTAAGAGGAAACCCCGAGCTCCTCCGTCGAAACGCCTTCTCGCTCGCCGGGCTAATCGCGCTGGGGTTGGGATTGGTGTCGCGAACGGGTTTATAGCTCGTGAATCGCGGTTCAGGGAACTGCAACTCATTCCGTAACTTCTCTTTACCGTCCGGGACGCGGTTGGCGAAGACGACGCGGATGGATTTATACAGGTAAAACCGTCCGCGCGCGGGACTGCAGATGTGGAGGTGGATTAGGTAGCGGAGGGTTGCGCGATCATTCTGCTCCGGCTGCTGCTGCGTCGTCGACGAGGCGGACGTGGTAGTAGGGGGGATATCCATAATCGGCCCCGCAGAGTAACTTCTCTGCCTTATAAAAGTCTTAGTCCCCGGTTCCATCCCCTCGAGGTCGTAGGGGACGAGAAATAGCTTCACGGCTGTCTTGTTGGGGTTCTTGATTATGATCTGGAGTTGTCCCTTTTCGGGAATGCGGTAGCATCCACCTGGTGGGGCCCGGGGGGAGGTGGAGCGGCGTTTTTGTTTTTGGAGACGCCTCTTCTCTAGCTCCGGGGTTTGGTCTTGGGGTGAGGGGGGCTCTGGGCCGTCGGAAACTCGGGGTCGGAGTTTGGAGTGGCGGGTTCGCTTGGTGCTGTGGTTTTCTGAGGGTGGTGCGGCTGGGAGACCGTTTTCGAGGTCGATCTGGCCCACGTAGGGACTTGGTCCGTCTTCAGATGCTGTATGTCTGACATGGGCTGTGGTCGCATAGCTATAAAACACTGCTGGAAACGGTAGAGCCACATGAGGCGGGCATTTCAAACTCGGCTTGCACTTGCCTAATCCCAGTACCCCGATCTGTGCTACGAAATCCAGCGGTTTAGAGGGGGTGGTGGACATTCTGCCTCTGAGAATGCTCTCCTCGTATGATCCGACCATTGATGCGTGGTGGAGTGGGGAATCCGAGGCAAGTGATGGTCGTCGAGAGTGGCGGAACGCTGGCGTCTGGGGGGAAGACGTCGGTTGTGACATGCCCGTATTCAAGGCCAGTGACCTCCTCGGTTGGTGGGCTTGGTAGGCGTAGCTCGCATCTCTGCGTTGGAAGGGTAGTTGGTAATCGGAGACTGCACTGGATGGTGTTACCGGCGTGGAGGAATAGGGCTGGAACGTATGGCGCCGGCGATTTCTTATAAAATCCGCCTCGATATCCATGGAGTCCCCCAGAGGGGAGAATTCCACCTCGTCGTTGGTCTGGGAATGCACTAGAGGGCTCGTTGGGGGTATGTATGCGAAGCTCGATGAGTAGGATGATGAAAGTGAGACGGCCCTTGACCTGGATACGAAGTCGACGTCGGCGCGAGAGGAAGAGTGGAACCGGTCATGTCGGAAGGGTATAAAGTCTCTCGGTGGCGAAGTGCAAAGCCATGGTCGCGGGGGACTTGCAGCACGAATGCGATCGATGTCTAGCTCCGAATTCAAGTCCCGTTTGGGCTCTGCTCTCTCCTCCCTAAAGTTTCCCGAGTGTAGTGCAGACAATGGCCTCTCGATCGACAACCCGGCCTGCAGGTTCTCAGTCTCGTCCAGTCTAGGTGAGATTGGAGACGACTTGATCTCTGCCGGCGGCAAGAGCGGTGTCGTACGTCTCGCACCAGGCGTTTCCAGTCTCTTCGGGGACCAGATAGGACTCTCGCCTCTCTTCAACCTCTCCATCAGCTCCTGCCTGTCCGAGACACAGCTCGAGGCATCGTGGGAGCTCGTCCCTGCCTCATCCTCGGCAGTTGGTGCAGCATCGTCTGGGGAATCTGGTACCAGGCCCTCGCAGAGGTCTGTCCGGATACTCTCCTCCGAGGGCTCCCTCCTCAATTCTCGGTATCTGGGTCCGGGGAAGGTAAATGTCGGTCGGTTGGGCGGTGTGGACGCAGCATGGCCGTCCGGGTCCTGGAAGTAGGGCATGCTGTGAGCATCGATACTCTGGTGGTAGGTACTCTTGCTCGATTTTTTTTGGGGGGGGGTTTATAATATATTATTTATCATGGCGAAGAGTGTGCGTTTCGCAGTGGAAGTTGGTTCTTTCCCAGCTTTGCCGGTGGGAATGGCGGGGTTCTTCTCGAGGTCGGGACTGGGCGGGAAGTAGGTCGTGGCGAGTGCTTTTCTTGGGAGTTTGTTGCAGTTCTTGTAGTCAAAGAGGTACTGGGGCACAGCGGCTGTGACTCGATGAGGTATTTGTGACGGACGGTTCATGCAAAATGCCGAGAGGAGAGGAACAAGAGGCGCAGATCGACGTGGGATACTTGCTACTTTGAGTACGTCAAAGGTGGAGTAGCAAGGTCACAGGTGCGTCGGATAGACGGTGGATAGGTGGATAAGAGGCGGATAAGAGGGAAGGAAGGTGGGATAAAGGAAGGATAATTTTGGCGTGCGAGGTGGAAGATGTAAGATGTGATATGGGTATAAGTAATAAATAAAGGCAAATAGAGGCAAATAAGGAAAATAAAAGCAAATAAAAGCAAATATTGTAGATTTCTAGGTGATCTCTTCTATGAATATGAACCCTCAAAGTAGATAGAGTGAGTAATGTAATGGTGGAGTAATCCAGTCCTTAGTCTGAAGCATGACCTCCTCCCTCCAAGGATCCAAGGATACCTGCAGCACCACGTAAGTACTTGCATCCCCCCACGTTACTCACCGTAACTTAAGTACCCACTATGCAGTAACAAGTACTCTGACCGCCACTACTGCCCACAACCCCACTCTACAACGATTAGCACTAACAAAAGTAGTGTTTGCTCTGTTTGCTCTTTTTTCCACCACGACAATTTTGTGCTCCAGATACAACGATAAGGAAATATTTCCATACTCGAGTATTTCCACCACCAGATCAGCCATAGACTCAGCACAACTATACTACCACGAGCTACTGTAGTGTATATCTCACACACCATGGCTCCCAAACGAGACAGAGAAGATGACGCCCAAGTCCCACACGTCAAGAAGGTCCGCGGCGGCTTCAAAGTTGGTCCAGACAACCTCCCCGATGGCACATGGCGCAGGAAAGGTAGCCACATTCCCTCCTCTCTCTCTCATACACCCCTCCAATCCCATACTCCAGCCATCATAACACAAACTAACACCCCCCCGCAGTCATCAAAATAAAAAAAGACCTCATCCACAACGCCAAAGTCAAGAAATCCTACGCAAAAGTCAAAGCCCGCACCTCCCCCCCTCCCGTCCCCGCAGCCCCCGACGCATCAACAATCGTCATCCAAGCCCCCGAGGAGCCAGTCGCCCCTACCCCCGCCGCTGAGGAACCAAAGCAAGAGCAGGACCAGGAACTCCACCCCTCCCGCCAGGCAATGCTAGATGCCCCCGACGCACCCCCCGCCGCGGCATCCGTACCGCGCTTCTCGGGCCCCAAGATAGACGGAAAGTCGCGCGGTGCGAAGAGGCCGGGGTATTTTGATAAGGCGAAGGCGGAAGCTGATGCGAAGAAGAAGGAGGCGGAGGAGAGGAGGGCGGAGTTTGAGAGGAGGGATAGGGAACGCAAAGGGAAGGTGGAGGAGAGGGAGAGGCATAGACGGGCGATGGCGAAGGCGAGGACGGGGGGGAGGAATGGGCAGAGGAAGTTGGGGAGGGAGAGTGTGGTGCTTTTGGATAAGGTTAGGAGGATGGTTGGGTAGGGTGGTGGTGATGGTGGGGTGGTGGAAGGGTTGAAGGGGGAAGGGGGAAGGGGGGGTTATGATATCCATGAGAGCGTGTTATGGCTTGGCTGTATTTTTGTTGGGGTGTTTGATATGAGAAATTGTATTGACTGTGTTCATTGCTTTGGCTGGGTTGGTGATGTGCGAGAATGAGTTTGGGAGGCCAACAACGCTGACGACCGGCTCGGTAGTTTTTGGACGCCGACTACAGGTAGGTGCACTCTCATTCTTTTATGCACCTTGCAGCATCACAGCTTTGGAGGCCTGACCGGGAATTCTTTCCAATCGCTGCAGTGACTTTGGACGTCGAATTACGTCGACTACAGGTAGGTGTACTCATTACTTCTACATTATTGAAGGTTCACGTTGTATTCTTCACTCGGGGGCCAAAAGGCACAAATTAATGACAGAGGCACCCCTTTCTTTCATAAAACTATACACCAAGATATCAGCCACCTCACCTTCATCTCTCCACCCCCCCAACGACCTTCCATGCCCCTCCTTCCCTTCTCCCTTAACCACCTACACATCCGCCGTCTTCCCAAAATAAAAATGAATCTACACACACAAATTAGCCCCGTCCCCTCACCCCTCACCCCTTCCCCAGGATCCCAAAAACGCACCGTCTGATCCACACACCCCTCCGGCGTCCCCTCCCCCACCTCCCCCAGATTAACAAACACCTCCCCCCCACAAACCAGCCACGCTGATTCATTCGGTCTCGGCACCGCTAAATTCCTCCACATAAGCGTATCACCCGTATACAAAAACCCTCCATAATTAACCGCCTCGGTCTCGAAAGTGATTGCCAGTCTACCCGGTGCGGGGCCGATGACCTCGGGATGCACGACAGCGTAGAGGGCGGGAGAGGGGCGGGGGGGGATGAGGACGATGCGGCCGTAGACGAAGAAGAATTGTGCGGCTGTTGAGGCGTCGCCTAGCACCGCTGCCCCGGCCGCGTTGGGGGAAGAGGATTGCAGGTATTTGTGGAAATACGGCTCCTCTACCGCGCGGATCCAGAGGTTGTTGGGGGTTAGTGTTGCGGCGGGGGGGAGGGTGGATGTTGCTGGGCTATCGCCGCTCAAGGTTGGGGTGGGACCGGGGAAGGAGGAGGGGACGCATTGGTAGATCCCTTTTTTTTCAGTGTCAGATAGATAGATAGACAGCGACTACCTACAGCGCCGCGGGAATGGGAAAGGGGGGGGGGCCGTACACTCGCTATGGTTTGAATGGGTTAGCTTGGTGTGCTTCACTGTAGGAGCTCACGGGAGGGGGGATGGGAGTTTACTTCAGGATAACACATTTCAACCCGCTAGCACAGGTCGTTGGACCAGCCCAGGCTGTTCCGCCACCTTTGAGGTTGTTAGTCTCGGGTTTCTCTGGTAAGGAAGGAAGGGGGGGAGGGGATGACATTGGCTATAAGCTCCTTGCTGGGCGTCCACCACCATCGCTGCTGCTGCGACGGCCAGGAAGGCGAGGGTGGAGGGGGCGCGCATTGTGAATTGGTTTGGGGGCGAAAGATGAAGTATGAGAAATAGGAAGGAATGAGTTAAACGAGAGGGGGGAATAAGTAAAGTTGTAAGAGCGCGGGGGAGTGAGGATATGAAATATATACCCCCCTTCGACCCCATCCCCATTCATTCATCCACCCATCCATACAACCCCCAATCCGGCCCGCAGCACCCCTCACCAATATATCCCCCAATCAATAAACCATCCCATCATCTGACCCAAGCCATTGGGGGCGCCGTCGAGCTTACATGCAGCTATGGCGTGAATGTGTGGATGTTTAAAGTGTGGGGAAATAGGCTGTAAGCCTGGGAAATGTGTCAGGGGTGTTGTTGTGGTCGGTCTGTGGCCTGTGGTGTCGGGAGGGGGGGGCCGGATCGACAAATCCTCCGGCATCCCTGAGCTCCCCCGCAAAAAACGGTGGCTGCCGAGAAGTAAGACCGGGGAAGCTTGGGGGGGGGGGGGTAGTATGTGGAGTGAAGAGACTTAAGGGGGGGGGATATAAGGGTATATGACGAAGGAGTATAGCGATTCAGGGTGGTTTTCATGATACTAGTAGGGTTGCATGTGGACTACGCACGGTACGGATGTCATGACTGTATGTGGTGTATGGAATATCCTCCAGGAATGGGTGTATTCGTATCTATCTAAGCGCTTCAAGGCAAGAGACTGGTGGGTATATGTGGTTCCTGGATGAAGAGGGGGTTGGGGACTGTTGGCGGGAGATGAGCTCGCTTTCTATTGCGTGGCTCGTGGATCAGTGTATTGGAGCACGCCTGGGAAGGTTGCTGGGTGTTTGGTGCAGCGGCTGGTGTTGCTGTAGGCAGGTATCGGGGGTGGTTCAGTGTGCGTAGATAGCTTCGTGGGTGCTGTGTGGTGTCTAGTTTGGACTCTTGGCAGCTTCGTGCCTCAACTGGTGACCTGGAATGACTAGCAGTTTTTCCCGAGGGCTGTTCGTATTATGGCCGTGCTGTCTGCCAAATTTTATCTCAACGGGCATAACCGAACATCGTAGAGGCTCATTGGAAACGGACCCGCAGTTCCCCCCCAAAACCAAACATCAACCCCTCAAAAGCTATCATCCAACAAATTATGACTCGGCTTGATCATACTCGGACTATCCTCCTCATCATACCCCCCCGCCCCAGCCGTCATCAGCAAATCCTCCACAATCCGCTTACTCGCCTCCCTCGCCGGCGTCTGCAACACCCTATTCGGCGGGATCGCAAACTGAATCGTCTTCGGCGGACTCATTCCCAGAGTCTTATACACATCCTCCGCATCCTCACTATCGCTATCCCACGTAATCTCATCTGTGATCCCAATATCCCTCGTACTCTTCCCCCGCGCAGGAGTCTGCACGCTCACACCCGGCGTGCGCGGCGCGGCGTTAGGGCGGATCTGAGGCTGGCGGATGGGGGAGCTGAAGATCTCATGGTGGAGTTGCGGGGCCTGGATGGGGGAGGATGAGGAGGGGGAGGCGAGGTCGCGCCAGGAGGGTTTTGATGCAGCAGCTTTGGCTTGTTTCTGCGCCGTGTGGGGCGTGGCTTGGAGGCGGTAGTTCTTGTCCATTACACGGTGCAGGAGCGGGTCTTGGGCGCGTTTGGTGGAGGCGAGGTGGGAGGTTGGTTCGAAGGGGGAGGAGAGGGGGGTCATTGACATGCGGGGGAGGCGTTGTTCGGTTCCGGGGGTTGTGGGGGGGAGGGGGGTGTCGTCGTCGTATTCTTCTTCTTTGGCTTTGCCTCCCTTCATCTCCCGTTTCAGCGCTTCGTATGGGGAGCCGTAGTCGGCGAATTTTCCGCCGGTAGCGGTTCGTGATGGCGGGGCGCGGGGGGTGCTGCCGCTGATGTCGCCGTTGTCGAGGAGGGACTCGTCATCGTGGCCGTAGCCGTGGTGGGTTGTGTCTACGGGCAGGGAATCGTCTTCCTGGAGCGAGGCACCGTAGGTGCTGTTGCCATGTGAATACGAGACAGCTGTGTCCTCTTCCTCTTCCTGTTGTAATTCCTCGTAACCAGACAGAGAGACATTGGCGCTGGCCTCGAAGAACTGTTTCCAGAACTGTGAAATGTTAGTAGGTGTTCAAGAAGATACCCCTCCTTCCTCGTGGGGTGGGGGGGTCAATCAAACCTTTGAGCCGTCCCACACAGCCTCGGAGTGCTTGCCGTATTGCTCGACGATGGGGAGGATACTCGTAGTCACAATTCGGTGTGCGCGGCTGAAATTGTGGTCGATTTCTGTATGTATATAAGCTTTATGCCGCAGGTCAATTCAGGGTCGCGGGCACTGACCTTGGAGGGTTAGTGTTATTGTTTGCTCCAGCTTCTCGAGCTCCTCGGTGAGGGTCAAGTTCCTCTGCTGGGAGGTGGATGAGCGAGACATTATGAGGGGTATAGACGGCGGCAATGCACTATTATAGAGGTTGTCTTCGTGGTTGTCGCAATAGGCCGAATCGAGACGTTGACTACCAAAGCACAATACCGCCGCAAGTGGGGGTAGGTTGTGGCGGTCGTGGCGGTCGCGACGCGATCCTTACATAAGCCAAATATAAAGCGTTGGAGTTGGGCCTCATCTTATCACTCATGCTTCGGCAGACTTCGAGCCACAAACTTCACCGAGGCCAAACATGGTATACTCAATTGTGCAATATCACAATGCCATCTCCGGATAATAACGTCCCAGGTATCTTATTTACTTCATGGCATATAATATGGAGTATTCAGTATATCTATCTCTATCTCTATCTCTATCTATCCGTTCCATGCTGTATTGTACAATTGTGCAATACTTCACCATAGCCTTCTGCCGACATACCGTGTGCCCAGCTTCCTTCCTCCCTTCTCTTACACATAACTCGCCAGAATTACGATGTGCAATCACCAACACAACATGGCATCTCCGTAAGCCTGCAACATCGAGGTCCCAAAAGCTGTTGCCTGCTAACTAACCAACTGCTAGCCTATCCCTGTGCGGGCCATGCACACGCTTTCCACGGTCCCATTCTGCGGCTGTATGGGTAATCCTCCCAATGGGGCTACATTGCTTCAGCCAAGACGATACCAAGATGATACTGATGATAGAAATGGCCCTGGTGCTAGTTCAGTGCTGGTTCGATGCTGGTTTGATGCAGCATTATTCACACCTATCGCCGCCATCCACGGTATTATTAGACGGTAGGATCAATTTCAATGGTAGGTCTACGAGCCTGAATGCCCTGGCTGAATAACTAAGGAAAGGGGTGATATTATGAGAAGACTACCTAAGACTACCTAGTCTTCTCATACTATCACCCCCTTCCTTCGTCCCTTTCTTGCGCCAGATTCACGTCTTGGCATATTCTACTTCTCTATTTCTCAAATATGCCTCACTTTCTCAAAAATCCTGTTGACACCTCTCATCCGCCCTGATGACATCTCCATTGAGGATGTTTGGGAGATTCACCCCCGTTTTCTACATCTTCATCCCCTTAGTCGCCATCACCACACTCTACACTGTCCTCTTTCGGCTCGATCGGCCCCCACGCTCTCATAATCTATCCTTATTTCCTCTCCCGAGCAGCTCGGGTTCTCTCTCTGCCTCCTCATTCCCAGCTCTCCGCAATCTCTGCAACGAAACAGAATGGACGGAAGGCCTCTGGCTCCAATGCCACAATAATGTCGGGCCATCCAAGACCTCGATGCGGGGCGGCCTCAGCAATCTACGGAACAGGATGCAGACCTGCGTACGCCTTGCCATCTCCGCTGGCGCCGGTGTCATTGTAATCCCCGCCTCTCCTAGCCTCCATGGCCACGGCCGGCGTTTCGCGCAGCATTATTGATACCCTCTAGATCCCCACATTCGCTACACGCAGCGATACCGACCTGATGGAATATATTACAGAAGAATGCCCTGAAGGTCTCTTTGACACCAAACTCTACCAGCAGTCTCTCTCCGCCGCCTGTCCCCAGCTGAACATCCGCGCCTGCAAAGACACGAAAGGCCTCGACACCACCGTCGATGCGAAGTTCCGGAAATACCTCGAGCCTAGCCATTCCAACGACACATTCCGCGCGCTCATCGACGACACAATCGCTAAGAGCGAGGTCGTTAGTACGCGCGCGGAAATCAGTAAGGATAGGCCGGTGCGGATCTTGTATGGGGATCCGTATCTGGCGTGGAACTACACTGCGGCGGGTGAGACGGAGGTGAAGAAGGAGTTGTTCAGGGCGCTGAGGTATAATGATAAGTTATCCCAGCTCGGCGGGCGGGTTTTTGATGCGCTGAGGGAGACGGTTAGTGGGCCGGTTGTGGCGGTGCATTTAAGGGGGGAGAAGGATTGGCCGAATAGTTTTGGGGAGTTGGGTACGCAGATCGACCTTTATACTCAGGCGCTGCTGGAACTGCGCAATAACACGCTGGGCGGCAATGATACTGCGACGATCAAGGATGTCTATGTCAGTTGTGGAAACCCCGACGCGATTCGAAAGTTTGAGAAGAGGTTGGAGCCGTTAGGATATATCGTCCACGATAAAACGAGTCTACTCAGCAAGCACACCAAAATCCTGGATAAGATCGAAAGGCTGAGGTTCGACGAGAAGGCGATTACGGAGTACGATAGTCTGGTGTCGGCGGATTACTTCATGGGGATCCTGACGAGTAGTTTGTCGGCTATAGTGGCGTATGCGAGGACGGTGGATGGGGATGGGGATTACTTTGAGGAATATATACATCCGAATACGACAAGGGGGAATTTCGTGGATAGGGTGTTTCCGGATTCGCCGTCTGTGAGGGGGGATGGGAAGACGAAGCTTATGGTTCTTACCGGGGCCGATATCATGGACTGTTTTCCGTGAGGTGGTGGGGTGCGGTTTTTTGTATATCAAATATGGTGGTTCTACGATGGCGCCGTGCGTGTTGGAGATGAAGATGATACCCGTAGAGTGGCTGAGGGTATGGGGCCCAGGTTTTAATAAACCCACTCCTCCCTCACGGAGTCCCTTTAGAGATGGCCTACTAAGTTCAGTTGAGGCAGGAACGCCATCTAGCACATCGCTCACAGGTCATCTTGCCATACTAGTCTTGCCATCACGATTCAGGGGCTGGATAAAAGTATGGATTTGTTGATGAGCTAGAGAACGGCATTATTACACTTGGGATGGCGCATGCCATGTAATGTATATACTTGTATTGATAATACAATAGAGACATATATCAACAGCAAGTTAGTGGCATAGTTGGAATCTTCCACTATTTGTTGTCCTCTTATAAAATTCCATTATATTTTTGGCTTCATAAAATAAAAATATATCGTCAACAATATACAAATAAAAATAATGCAACCCCAATAATTATTTGCGACGTCACAGCTAGAAATGCATAGGTTGAATATGGACGGAGGCATAGCATTTTAGTACTGGGTTCTGAATATTTACATTGAACATCCAACTATATACTCTCTCCAAACTTCAGTCCTTCCCCCCCTTCTTATCTCCACCCCCTTCTCTCCCCCCCACCCACCTCTCTCTCCACCCTTTTCACGCCCACGTCCCCTCTACAAACACTGCGAATACCACTCATTCGACACCTTACACGTGCTCCCCGCCGCACAAACTGTCGGCCCCGTCCACCCATTCCCACCACACTGCCCCCACTTTGGCGCGGTCGCCACATTCGTCTGCGTGGGCGGCGCGCTCGTCGTCGCAGCCGCGCTCGTCGTCGACTTCATCGTCGTCGCGACCGTGCTCGTCGGGACAACGACAACGCTGCTGCTGGAGGGGTTAGTCACGACGCCACCGGGGCCGGCGACGGAGGTGGTCAAAGTGCCAGACTCGATGTACACGCCGCTGAAGTAGAAGTCCTCGTTGCTGTCTGGGTAGCCGTCACGGGGGAGCTCGAGGACGCCGAGGTGCCAGTCGGCGCCGTTGGAGGAGGTGGAGCTGGAGACGGCGGCGTGGGCGAGGGTTAGGGCTGCGGAGCCGGTGGAGTGCCAGAAGGCTACTGTGTTGGCGGAGAAGTCCTGGGTGGGTGTCAGGGGTTGCTATGGGCTTGGGGAAAAAAGGGGAAGGGGGGTGGGGGGCTTACAATCTCATAAGCAACGTTGTGCCAGACGCCAGCATCCCAGACGACATCCCACTGGGACGTTCCTCCAACCTCCCATCTCAGCGCTGGATCGCTCGTCCCCGCCGCGCCACTAATCCACCCCGACTTCAGCTCCGTGAAATGGCTCTCGAAGAAGCAGATCTGGTGCTCGCGGTTCAAGCTCGGGGCGTTAGTGGCGCTGCGCATGATGCTGAAATGGTAGAAGACCTTCCCGCTGTTGATGGCCGCGGTGGTCTGCGGGATCAACTCGGTGCGGCGCATGTTCTGCCCGTTCCAGTAGGCGGTGCTGGTTAGGCTTATTTTGGCGCCCTGCGTGGAGCCGCTGTCGGCGGGGTTCTTGTAGCTGGGCGAGAGGTTGACGTAGTCGGTGACGGCGCCGGAGCCGTGCTGGGGGGGTGTGTGAGTGGTGGGATTGGGGAAGGGGGGAAGGGGGGCTTACGATGTAGTATTGGTAGGGACCGACTTGGTTGGACCAGGACCATTTGTTCAGGTCGGCACTGGAGGTGAAGTCGTTCATGCGGCCATCCCAGAGGATGGTGCCTGCCAGGGCAGACCCGACTGAGGCGAGGATCGAAAGAGCCTTGAGCATCTTGACGAATAACAGAGAGCAGCAGCAATAGATGAGAAGACAGGAGAATGGAGACGAGAGAGAGCAAAAAAAAAAGAACGGTCAAGAAGGGACGCAGGCTGGGCTTTAAACTAAGCACTGGACCAAGACGGGAATGAGATGATCACTTCCTTACCGTATGCCAATCTATTTAGACAACAGGGCCATGACCCCGGAGCTGGCCTGATTGAATCAGATGATGGTGATCTGTTTCGCTGGCGGCAATTTGAGCCGGCCGTCTCATATATAAACATGGTGCCTGAATGGCCGCCCTTGAAGATCTGGGGGGTCCCTCATGATCTGGAGTACTATGGGGGGGATAGTTGCGGGCATAGCACTATAAGCTATATATCGTTTTGTTTAGTATAGGGGCAGTGGATATATGAGTGGGAGTTGTCGCCAGCGCTACTGCAGCATATAAAGTGGTAAAGAAGGGTATGGGCACCAACGACTGGATGTTAGGAGCGGAGAAAGCTGTTCCGGAAGTTAAGACTACTTTGATGCCGGGGATATATGATTGTCCAGAAGGTATATGGTAAGCGAATAGGTGGAGGTCCTTCCCGCGGGCCGGCACTTGGGTATTTTAGCCTGGTAACGCCTGGGGAAGCCACTCCCGACGTTCCTGCCGCTCTTCAAGCTCAAGGTCACGTCACTCAACTATACAGTACTCGAGTACAACGAAAACGGGGACAACAAAGCTGGGCAGGATTATACATGAGATATATGACTTCTAAACTATTTCGACGCGTCATGTCCTCCGGGAATGGCAAGCCCATATTCTTTGGCCCATTCGAGGTCACAGACCAGGTACAGATCAACTTTATCCTCCCCTATCACGTGATTTATATATACCACCCCACGTTGCTTGTCCAGTTCCTGAGCAACATATAGGGGGGAGAATACACTCAAAAACAAGAAAGAGTCTATAGCTAACCACTCCCCAGGTCTTCTACACAACCCCCCTCTCCTTCGCCCTCGTGAACATCAAGCCTCTCCTCCCCGGCCACGTCCTCGTCTCCCCCCACCGCTCCGTCCCACGACTCACGGACCTCACCCCCCCCGAAGTAAACGATCTCTTCCTGACCGTGCAACGCGTGCAGCGCATGATCGCATTAATGCACTTCCCGTCCCCCAGCACCCCCGAAGAGGGCGGGTTCAACATCGCGATCCAGGACGGCGTGGAGGCGGGCCAGAGCGTGCCGCATGTGCATTGCCATATCATCCCGAGGTTGAGGGGGGATGGGAAGGGAGATGGGATTTATGATGAGATGGCGGGGGAGGGGGGGAATGTGGGGGGGCATTTGTGGGATAGGGAGGTGGTGGGGAGGCCGGTGCCGGGGGGGAGGTTTCCGAGGATTGAGGATGAGATGAGGGAGGCGAGGAGTACGGAGGTGATGAGGGCGGAGGCGGCGGAGTTTAGGGAGAGGATGAAGGAGTTGGATGAGAGTGAGGCGGAGGTTTGAGGGTTGTGTGTGGGTTAGGGGATAAGGGGGTTTGTGTGACGATCATTGTATAGTATAGTAAGGTTTGACGGGTGTGGAATGGGATATGCATAATCATCCTTGAGGGTAATAAATACACAGTCTGGTACTGCTTGGCTCACTACCATACACACCAACTCATCCCATCTCCTCCAGTCCTAGGGCATGATATCTGAAAACATAAAACGCCTTTCCACGAAATGCTAGCCATGATACTCCATCGCCAAAATGACAGTCGCTCCCAGCGATGCAACCTATTCCTCGTCTGCTGCCACTGACTTTCGCTTTTTCTTCTTCTCTTTCGGCTTCTCCTCCTCCTCCTCTCCCTCAACATCCTTTGACTTCTTCTTCTTCTTCTTTGGCTTCTCCTCTTCCTCCTCTCCCTCCTCCTCAGCAGCCTTTGCCTTCTTCTTCTTCTTCTTCTCCTTCGGCTTCTCCTCATCTTCCTCTCCCTCAGCCTTCCTCTTCCTCTTCTTCTCCTTCTTCTCACCATCCTCATCCGGCGCCTCGAATTCCTTCTCCCTCTTCGCCAGCTTCTCAATCTTCTTCTCCTTCTGCCTCTCCAAGCGATCCTCCTGCACCGCCCTCTCCTTGGCTGACTTATTAAGGAAATACTCTCCACTTTCGATCTGCAAATCGACCTTGCTCTTCTCCTGCGGTGGCGGGAACGGCGTCCTGACCTTCTTCGACTTATCCGTAACCTTCAGCGGCACACGTCTCTTGCTCAAGTTGCGCTTCTTGAAATGCGGCAAGAAGCGGTCCCAGCTCTCGCCCGCTAGCTCCGGATCCTTCGCTAACTCGCGCTTGATCATGAGCTCTTTGATGTGGTAGATGGGGTGGATATTCGACATGCAGTCTTCGATGATGCGGCGCAGCTCTTTCAGACCCTTGTATGGGCCCATGGCCGAGACGGTGTTTCCTTGGACGAGGATGTAGCACTCTGTGAGGAGCTCCAGCGCTTTGAGGGTGGAGCCATTGGGGCCGAGGATACGCTGGCGACGCTTCACGAAGCGCTCCTTGTTGCGAACCAGGTTGCGGATCTTGATGATGTCGGATGCGACGCCATCTTCGAGGATCTTGACTGCTTGTGGTGCGGGCACCGAGCGGGCTAGGAGCTTGATGAGGTCGCGGGCGTTGAGGATGGAGGCGGGGTCGTAGGTCTTTCGGGTGGTCTTGACGGTCATGGAACCCTCAACGAGATCGAGCGTGCATGCGATGCCGAACTTCTCGAGACTCCTTGTGATGAGGGGCCAGGCCTCGCGGAGGTAGACTTCTCTGTATTTGGGGAAGAGAGTGGCGAATGTCGACTCTTCTGTGAATGTGCCCCCCACATTGTCTTCTGGTTTGAAAGCCTCAATCTGCGATATGGTTAGCAAAGCGCTGATTGAGCGGGGTGTATTGCTGTAGGTGGAACAAGGAATTGAATAAAGGGATAGAACTAACCTTCCACTTGTCAATGTCATCCGTGTCCCATGGCTTCTCTTTCTTGTGAGTGGAAGGCATCTTGGGCGATTTTATTCTGGCGTGAACAATGTTGCGCAGACGAGGCTGGCAGAAGTTTGAGTATGAAGAATTTCTAGATGCACAAATTGCCACTAAAACCACCGTAGTTATCGGTGATCTATAAATTTACGGGACAACACAAATGCCAAAGACGCAATAAGTATTATTTGGCTGGTACAGATCAGATATTCGGTAGTAAATACATGGATTTATAATTCGCAATAGTTAATATTGATAGTGGTGATAATGAGTGAAATCAAAATCCAGGATTGGACAGTATATACATTTGTAGCGCTGTGTAGATATATTTCCTTACTGGACCATACAAGTCAAACGTTCTCTGCTCTGACCTCTTTCTCCCCTTGCGAAAATAAAAGTGGACGGGGCTAATGATTGGGATGTGATACTAAGCCGCAAAGCAAGGAACTGTTCTATATTTTCGACAGTTCAAACTTCACATTGTTGCAGGGCTATGTTGTAGCTATTTTTTGTATTATAACGCTGTCAGGGGCAAGAAGGGATAATAAATGTCATGTGACCAGATCCTTATGCGGGCTTTAAGGTTTGGGAGCGGGAACTAATTCCAAATCGGGCCTCCGGGGACCCGGGATTGAGATTCCCATCGCCTGAATCGACATGGTCATTGCTCTAAACTTAGTACAAAGTGTCCAAGAAGGAAATGAGCGTATCGAGTCGCGGCTGCAAGGCATATTTTATGGGTTCTGCAGATATCGAGACGGCGCGGGTAGCTGAGAAATATGATGTGTTTGCTTTTTGCCCCGGAGCCCCTTTTTTATTCCAAAAGCCGAACGCGCTCGTTGTGCGCAGGAAGGAGAAGGGAAACTGTGATGTGTGATTCTGGTACCATAGTCGTACAGTTCTGGCAATAGAATGCCCTCAGTCGTCGCGCCAGGACATCCCTAAACTGTATAAATATATCATTAACCCGTAATATACCATGTAAACGTCATACTCCCCATTTTGAGTCGCTGATTCTGCTCTTATGACCGCGTTTGCCCACCCAAACACTTTACGCGCGCGGCGCGTAAGTGAGCTCTCCGACAGCTTGGTAGCGAAGGGAAACCTAGCTCCATCCGGGTAGAGGTGTGTGATGTGTTTAAGGTATCTCAAGAGGCTGTAATAATACTATAATCTTCTCTTCAATCTCTCGTAAACTTCCTGCTATCGTCCACCTCAATGTTGTCCAGAATATGACGTTTCTGCTTCGCGAGGGCGTCATCATAGCCGGCGACGACTGTGCTCCTGCCTCACACAAGACGATTCTGCGCCGATAGGGGTAGAACATGCCTTGGCGATGTGAGAGGGACTGTTTATACCTACATCCAATCGCTGCTGGAATTCTCTACCCCTCTGACACGCATTTGTGATGATAGAGGCGCTCTTCGCGGCGTTCTCATCGGCTTGGTTATCATAAACGTCATCACTACCTTCTCCTGGGTGTTGTCAGGCAGCAAACCTGCCCAACTATGCTCAGAGCCAGACAGCCTATCAATTATCCATCCACAATAGCCCTCACGGAGAGATTGGAGACACGAACTGACCTATGAAGGCAAAGCTTCTTCATTGGGAGTGACACGTCAATCGTGGAGGCAGCTTTGCTACTCTGTACTCTCACGGAGTCCAAGGTCTTCAACGTCACCATGGGCTTCACGGAACTCGGTAGATCAGGAATCTCTGTTATTATCCTGTGGGATGGCGAAGAAGAGTCTCGCAAGAAAGAAGCAAGCAAAATTGATACTTTGAAAGCCACGACGAGCATTCACGGACGCGCCTGCCTACTCTCCAATGGGCTCGGTGTAACAGATCCAATGGACAAGCATCAGTCGTCTGTTCCTGCCAACCCAATCGAAATTGGTATGTAGGTTCTAGATTGTAACACCAGGATATATTTACTAATATTACCAAGCGCTCTTTCCCCAAACGACGATATCCAAAGCGTCCCGCTTATGGCGATCCCCCACTCGACAACAACTCGTATACATACTTCAGTAACATGCTACTTTTGCCCAAGTGGAACGCATCCCAGTATGCATTGCGGCATTCTGCAAGAGACGCGTTGTACCGCCGTACACCTCTGCTCGACGCCAAAGCTATCTTGACTGAGGCGGCTTTCGACCGATGCAAACATATCTTGCGGGAATTGTCAGCCATATACTACGAACACGGGCATTGTACTTACAGTGGAAAATACGCCTGCGAACCCCCACTGGATTAGAAATGCTGCCAACTGTTGGTAATGCCACTTACCTTGAATGCTGGATTATTCGCTTCATTTCGGGCATGGGCTATCAGAAGCTGAGCATCATTCGGTGCCATTCCGAGCCTCTCAGCTGTTTGGATTGTATTAGAGACAGATTCTGTCAATCAACAATGCCAGCAGAGTAACATACTCAACGGGTATATTGCTAGAGATGAGAGAAAGCTCTGAACGTTGTCTCTGTTTTCAGTGCCGATCCTTCGTTCTCGTTCGTCTTGGTTGATTATCCCAGTCAGTGCCTGACGACTATTTGCATTGCTGGCCGAAGTTCAACTCACCATCGGACCATGCGCAGGTGGGCAAAGGTATCATTCTATGGTCGATGTCTACGAACCCGGCGGTCCGCATTGCATTGGCTAGGTGCAGAGGCATTCGGAGATCCTTGAGGCCTTCCATGCTTTGGAACATTCGTGTGCTCCACTGTCGAAGGCCATGTTCTGCCATATAATCAACATCTCAGCCAGTTTATTTCGAGACTTCAACAGCATACCATCGGTCAACGTGCCGTTGTACGACTGAACCTGGTAATAGACTTCGACCATTTGGCACCATCCACCTGTGGAGCGCATAAATCAACAACTATCAATCAATCCTTCGAAGGGTTTGTTTCGCACCTGGTCTTGTAACGCGGAATAGGTCTCGGAGGTATGTGGTCCATCGCGCTGCGTTGATGCCACCTGTTTGGATCCATTAGCTTCGGGCTTTGGACATGACAGGATGGTTCATCATCACCTGCTACGAGCTGGGAATGGACTATGTCGAATGAGTTTCGAGCAAAAGTGAATCTGGAACTATCGTCAGGTTATAGTCTCGATCAAAGGTCCTGGGTCCAACTAACCTTCGGTTGAGGTCATCGACCTAGGTATCAAGCTCATCAGCATGTGTTGTCCATCAGCTGTGCGGATCACCAAAGACGAGTTATGGACGCCGTTTCCCACATTGCTCGACCTTTGGCTGTGGGATTGTAACCCGCAGTGTGGTGGCAAGGCTCAGGTTGCGAAATTGGAATATCAAGGGCAAGCAGCGACCGAGAACGCTGAAAAGAGGGGTACTATTTGATGCGTCGAAACATACCTGGAGATGGAGATTGACAGGTATTTCATCTGGCTGCATGTGGCTGCTTATGTCGACACCATAGACCTAAAATGGTTGGAGGAAAGTCAGCTCATTGATCGTTCAGGCATGGTTATAGTCATCGTATTTGCATTGCTCCTTGTCGCTCCTTGTCGCTTGCGCGGAGGACCATTCGCTGTGTCTGATTCAGGAGTATCGCTGTTGCAAGATGAACGTCTACAAACCTCGCAGCGCGGATACTGCTCAGCTACGTCGACAGCCCATGACGCAGATCCATGTCCACAGTCGAGGATTCTTCTTGGGTTATTGATGGGCGGAAATACGAGTCGTTCGTCGAAGACGATGGAAAGAAGCCTGTGCTGGCGCGTCAGGCGCTCAATCTCGTCCTACCGCAAGTTAGCGACAACCTTAGGGTATCAGGAGGCCCCTGCTGGAGGCATGTCGATTATCACCTCGTCAATAGGCGAGAGATATATTGAATTCTCTACGGAATGCTGTTGGAACTCCCTGTTATGGTATGTGACCGTTTCCAGATAGCGGGGGTCAACTTCGGTGGTGCCTTCATCATGCTCACGAGAACTTATCCGACGTCAACTCCGCACATATTAATGCGGATGGACTTAAATCGGTGGCTTACCTGGACGACATCTTGGGAGGAGTACTATGTTTCCGACCGTTTGTCAGACTCTGACCGATTTGCTGGGACGATGGCTTGTACTTTTTTAAACCTTGGTTGTCGTTGATGTGTTGGACTTCTCCTGCCAGCCTTCATAGGAAGCCCAACTACTGTACACCAACCGGGACTAATTATCACACTGTTGGAATTATTATTGAGCTGTTGGAAAGGCTGACATGGTTGCTGATGAGCGACATGCCCAACCCAATAGAATTGCTTACAAAAAGCTAAGATATGCGGAGATATACCGACAACGGACTTTGGCTAATCATACAGACGATGGCGGAGTGTTCAACTTGGTGTTAATCAGTTGCCGCTAAGGTTACACGGCGTCTCTCAACTGGATATCATGCCTCCCGGGATTTTGGTGTATTTCTCCCACAGGAATTTTGGAACTACAGTACGTCGAAGTGGGCCGGTTGGCTGAAGCGAATGGAATATAGGATAGGCTGTTTTGGACCGTCTAGGGCCAGAAACACGCTTGATAGCCACGTTGGACAGGACGATGGCGCACCGTTAAGTAATCTGCTCCTTGGGGCCGAGAAGTTAACTAGGGGCAGACGAGCCGTGTGAGCGTGGCGGGCACTCAATAGGGCGAAAACTTCGCTCCGTTTCCAAAGGAAGCAGCCTACACCCGTTACTAGCCTTGTACGTTACCACTGTACCACTTGCCTTGGCTGACCCGACATCCCGCCGTCTTAAACATCAAGGGAAAATCTACGCTTGCATGGTTGTGCTACCCAGGCAAGCGCCCTGTGTGAAATATTTGATACCGGTAATTCGGTACAGCACACCAAGTTCGACCCGCCAAATCAGGTCTGACCCGATTACCTTGCCTTACGTTGTAAGCGATGGTTGGTTGCATCATCCGTATGGCTGTGTATGGCTGTATTCGGGCTGAGTACCGACCAAAACAAGGCAAGTGTTCGCCTGCATGAGTTCCCTTCTTCTCCCAATTTCTTTGGCCCCCTGAGGAGACATACAGGGTCTTGATGATGTCATGACGTTGAGGCGTCGAATGGAATCTAGATGAGGAGATAAAAACAGTTGTTCTTGGTCTCAGAAAGGTATAGGTGGCCCGCGAATAGCATAGGCTGCGTCCAAGCTTCAGAGTACAGCATGAGGACGCCCGGAACTGAACTACTTATACTCTAGTGCGGTCCTGAAAATCCTGCGGCCTGACTTTCAAACGATAATCAGCAAGGGCTCTAATATCTAATACGACTATTGCGGGACGGTATGGGTTTACGGAGCATACTCCGATGGAACGTGTGAGAGTTGCTTGCGGAAGCAACCTTACTTTCCATCTGAGACTGTTTTGCACATGCTATTCCCTCAAATATCCCCTCATCTCTGCTCCTTCCTATATATGTCGAGGATGCAGGAACGGGTCTACTTTGGTAATATCACGCCCGTTGTACTTATTGAAATCACGATGCATCGAAGCGGAGCATGGCAAGCACATGATCAGTTCAGTGGTTGACCCGATATGGAAAGTTCTCTTGCCCTTGTGGAATTAGTAAAAGTGGGTAAATTACAATTGAAAAGGCGGTGTCTCTTGAAGTAAAATCAACTAAAAATAAGAACGAGAAATTAAAAAGAACTCATCCCGTCCTATTTTCTTGAGACTTGTTTAGATCTGGCTAGAGACGGGCCATATATGCAGTCTCCAGGGGCAAAAGAACCAAATTTGATATTACACACACCCTAGGAGAGTGAAGTACCGCATTTACCGCATTTACTCCCTGAACAACGTGGAACTTCGGACGGGAAGCGACTTAATGGAAACCTTAAAACGCAACCCCCCCCCATGATTTGCAGGGGTCCCGCAATGATTACGGCCCGCGTCTCGGACGGCGCGTCTAGCCTCCCATTTCCGGGTAACGGGCCAGGCAAAAAAGTTGACATCACGAGCAACATAGCACCGCGCGATTGATCAATTGGGTTCGGAACAGCTTCACGATAACTCAACGAATAGCACATATACGCCATCATGCTTTCCCGAACTGTATTCAGAGCTGCGCGACCATGCTGCCGTCTCTATTCCAGCACGACGGGCACTGGAACCGCGCCCCCATTGCTGCTTAAGATCCGGTAAGGCTCTCCCCTACCCATCCCTCCGGGCAAGAAGACACCCCACTAACCCCCCGCGCTGCACAGCAAGGATCTCAAAACCGCCATGCAAGACAAAGACAAGAACAAGCTCAACGTCCTCCGCGCGCTGCTCTCGCAATCCCTCAACGCCTCCAAGACCAACTCGCCCATCGTGACAGACATGCAGATGCTTGCTCTCGTGCGCAAGAACGCCGCGGCGAGCAAACAGGCCGCTGCCGAGTTCGTGGAGGCGGGGAGGCAGGATTTGGCGGACAAGGAGACGGAGCAGGTGAGGGTTATGGAGGAGTATATTGGGGAGGTTAAGACGGTGGGGGAGGAGGAGATTAGGACGGTTGTTGGGGGGGTGGTGGAGGGGTTGAGGAAGGAGGCCGGGGAGAAGAAGGTGCAGATGGGGGAGGTGTTGAAGAAGGTTTTTAGTAAGGAGGTGTTGGGGGAGAGGAATGTGGAGAGGGCGGATGTGGCGAGGATTGTGAAGGAGTTGTTGGCGTAGGGGATTGATAGTCAGCGGGTTTTGGCTGGAGGGGTTGTACGATGCAATTGAGCACTGGGGGTGGCTGGGAACGGAATATTGTGAGTGCCATTGAGGCATTTATTGTACAGTACATTTATATACATCTAATGAGACGCTACTCCTATCCAGCTATCATCACCGGATCTGCCCATTCTGGCTTGGTATGTAAAACTCCACAGGTCGCTTCATCAAGAGGAAACTTTCTTGGTAGACATGGATATCATTAAACCTTTTCCCCAAACGCCGCTCAATACTTTCAATATTTATTCAGAAAAACAGCCGATCATGCAATACCATCCTCATCAGTCCTCAGACCACTGAACGGCGTTCCCTGGTTTGCCGTGCTGAGCCTGGCGCAGAGGCCGAGAAGCACGACGGTCTCGGTGGCGGCGTAGTGGTTGAGACTATCCAGCAGAATCTGGAGATGTCTGCTGAAGTTGTATTCGTATTTGTGGAGCGTCTCGTTGATTTTCTCGAGTCTGGCGGCCTCGCTGACTTTTCCAGCGTTGGAGGAGGTCGAGTCGGAGTGTCGCGCGCTTCGCTCGTCTTGGAAGCGTTGCCATTGTTTCTTGCTCATGTTATTGGGTTTGTTGGGGCCGTTCAAGTCCGTATCGGTCTTCTCCAGTTCCCTTGAGAGCCATGCCGTGTAGCTGGCGAACATGGAGCACGTTTGCATGAGTTTCGAGTGCACCTATCAATCGTCAGTATGTATATAAACAATGTTTAGAAAAGACACTACGCACCCTCAATAGCCGGCTATTAGTGAGCATGCACTCCTTCAGGCACGTATCAAGAAAGTCAACGTGGTCCTGCATCAGCTCATCAACAGTGCGACTCGCTGGCGCGCCGTCATCCTTGTTCTCGTCCTTGGTCTTCAGCCGTGCCATGAGAGCCTGCCAATTCGGCTCTATAACCTCAGCAGTGCAGAAGTATAACAGCTGCTGCACAAACACAAGCATACGGGCTCGTAATGTCCAGGCCCTTCGTTTCCACATCTCGATAGGCCTGTGCGAGCTCTTGTGAGTCCACACCGTTGCTCGGTTGTGAGTCTGCCAGCTCGAAACGAGCTGCTGCTCCAGATAGCGAAGCGACAGCAGATATCGGAATAAAGCTTGGTATCTCCACACTGTCTTGCGACTGATAACCAGAGATACAGGGAATGGAACCGAGTAATCTAGTTGAAGAGATGTATAGCCAATGGCCGACTTCTCGGTTTCCGCTGTCGTCTGCGCCGGGGCCTGGAATTTCTCGCCTTCTTCTATGCCAGAAATGTTGACAACTCTTGTCAACGAATTTGTCAAGCTAATGTCGTTCATCTCAACCTTGACATCCTCCTTGAAAGGATCAAGAGCAGCAACACTGCCAGGCTGGCGTAGAACGAGATCCAACAGCGACTGCAGCTTGCTTGTATTGACAGCCTTGACCGGCTTCCGAAGCTCAGATGTTCCCAATTCAAGGAAGTAAGAGAAGAAATCCGATTGGTCCAAGAAGAAGTAATGCTTCAGCGACCTCAGGCGTGCAGGGAGCGCATGGGTTGTGAGTAAGAGCCTCAAAAGCGACTCGTTTGCATGTGCGTATGCGCTGTTGACGTTGTCTAGGAATCGATTGTCGTCGAATGACCTTGGGACGTCCTTGACGGCCTTGCTCACATCCACTCCACCACACTCTCTGACAACATTGAGATACTTTCCAGCCAGGAGGACCTTATCCTTGACAGCCTCTAGCTGTGGAGGCACATCTTGCTCTCGAACCGTATATCGCCGTTCCCAGTACTCATCCGTATAGTCCTGTTCCAGCCTTTCACGCTTGATACTCTTTTGCTCCTTAACCAAGAACTCTGCATGCGGGTCTTTTATGCTTCCATGATGAAGCCACTCGTTCAGCATCATCATGTACGGTCGGCTTGCATCTCGCAGCAAACCAGTCAGCAGCGTTCTCGCCGCCGGATCTCCCGACATAGTTTCCAGCCTCCTTGTGATCAACCCCAACACATTCCCGCCCTTGCAGATCTTCTTTCCAGGTATACTACCTGGCCCAAGATCACCGCCCTCTCGGAGGGTCTCCAAAATATTTTCTATGTCGTCGAAATCACCCTCTGAGTCCTCCAAATCCTCTTCTAACAAGGAGTTCCGTTTTAATATCTCATGCGCCAACGAATAAACCTGGAACATCATATGACTCGTAGGCAGAGTATGGAGGTTGAGCACATGTAAAGTAAACGACGGGTTCGTGAGGAACTGCGTCTCCAGCTGAGCGATCAGAACCAGATAATCCTGTAAAAGCTTCCGTATCGCCGCGCAAAGAGCATGGTTCACAGCCCCAAACTCCTCCCGACTCTGCACCTCAACAAATGCTTCCACAGCCATATAATGAGTCGCCATCTTCAGCATCGTCGTCGTAAGGTCCCGCAAACTCGGATCCAATCCCGGGTGTATCTTGAATGTCGGACCAGCAAGCCGTTCCTTCTCAGCGCTGGGATTGTATGAAGGCGCAAAGCGAATGTACTGTCCCTCGTAGCCCATAAAAACGAACAGCAGGTCTTCCAGAATAGACGACTCCTGCGCATCGAGCGACAGCTCCTGCATAGGTCTAGGCTGTAACGATTGCGGTGCCTGGGACGCCAAGGGGGGGATCGAGATTCGAGCCGCCAATGGCGCGCTGGTGTGGGGTATCAGAACCGCTTGAGGGTCCCACGGAAGCTGCTGAGGCTCAGGTTTGCTCGGTATCGGTTTAACATCTGGCGTAGCATATCTCGTGCGATCGACGGGTCTGGCGCGGCTTGTCGGCACCACGGGGGGTGCTTGTCGTCGTTCTGGGCTTCGTGGTCGAGAAGAGATGGTCTCGCGGGTTGTTACTGTGTGGCGCTCTGTTCGTCTCTCTTCTACTGCTGTTCTGCTGGAGCGCTGGGAGTGGGAGCCAGATGGCATGCGCCTGTGCTGCGAGACACCGGGCGCATTCTGTGGTGACTGCAATTGTCGTCCATCTCTGTCGGTTTTGCTTCCTCCTCCCAAAGTCGAAGCCAGACGGGCTTTGGAGCTCAGAACATTCTCACCGCTGGCGGTGGTCCTCCTGTCACTAATAGTCGCAGCCCTTTGGTTCGAGGAAGAAGACATTATCCTACTGCTCAGCTCTCATTTGAAGTCGTCAAAAAAACTGCCGTTGCTTTCCCATGGAGAAAAGTGAAATGGACTCAGCCTTGCTCGTCTCTTGGTCGACGCGTGGGGTAGCGACCCGACACGCGCCTCGCGGGTTCGCTAAATCTGGGCTGCATGTCTCGCTCTACCTAGCTCAGCTCTAGCTCCATTCGACCACAGCTTCGTGGACCAGTGCCTGCCTTGCCATCAATCAACCCAGGACCCAAGCTTCGATTTACCAACAACCTCACCTTCCACTTCTCCGTGATACCCTGACAAACAGAACCCCCCACACCGAGATATCACTGCCGTCTCTAGTCTACGGTTCACATCTACACATCCTCAGCTCAAGCCTGGTAGAGTCCAGCTAGCAAGCAAGCATGTTTATCGCACGTTCGGAATATGGTGAGTAGCCACCCAGGTGGACCTTCATTCTTCCAAAACCACAGCTCCAAACTAACAAATCTTTACAGATCGCGGGATCAAGTAAGCTCCTCCCCTCTCTAACCAACACCCCAACCCCCCATCATACCGCCCCTCTCTAACACCACCACCCACCAGCACCTTCTCCCCCGAAGGCCGCCTCTTCCAAGTCGAATACTCCCTCGAAGCAATCAAGCTCGGTTCGACCGCCATCGGCGTCGCCACCGGCGGCGGCGTGGTCCTCGGCGTCGAAAAGCGCGTAACCTCCACCCTCCTCGAGACCTCCTCCGTCGAAAAGATCGTCGAAATCGACCGCCACATCGGGTGCGCCATGTCCGGCCTGCAAGCCGACGCCCGCAGCATGGTCGAGCACGCGCGCGTGGAGTCGCAGAACCATGCGTTCAACTACAATGAGCCGCTGCGCGTGGAGAGCTGTACGCAGGCGATTTGCGATTTGGCGTTGAGGTTTGGAGAGGGCGCGGATGGGGAGGAGAGTATTATGAGTAGGCCGTTTGGGGTGGCGTTGTTGATTGCGGGGTTTGATGAGGATGGGCCGCAGCTGTATCATGCGGAGCCGAGTGGGACGTTTTATAGGTATGATGCTAAGGCTATTGGGTCGGGGTCGGAGGGGGCGCAGGCGGAGTTGCAGAATGAGTTCCACAAAGTAGGTTTGAGGATGACCCTGGAGATGGGAGTGAGTGAGTGCTAATGGTGTTGGTGTAGTCTCTGACGATTGAGGAGGCCGAGACACTGGTCCTGAAGACGCTGAAGCAGGTTATGGAGGAGAAGCTCGATTCCAAGAACGTGCAGCTGGCGAGCGTGACTAAGGAGAGGGGATTCCGGATTTACACGGATGAGGAGATGGCTGCGGTCGTGGAGAGATTACCAGCGAACTAGACTGAGCTATGTATTTTATGATAGAGATTGGGAGTTCTTGAAAGCAAAAGTCACTGGCATCTGGCATCTGGCATCTGGCATCTACATGTGTATCTGTTCTGCTGATTGGGAAACGTGAGGTCATAATTTTGAATTGATTGCACACTGAAGTTTACCGCCCCGTAGATGCGATGGAACCCAAAACACCACCAATGTCCGCTTGCTTCCATTAAACCTACTCCCACGCCATGCATTCATCGATCTTCTTCATCATCACTTTCTAAATCCAGCTTCCCGAAGTGGCTCGTGACTCCAAGAATACCAACTGCGAACTGGACTCTTCCCACCCTCTCAGTGCTCTGGGGATGCACATGCTGCTCTTCTCCAGCAGTGATCCTCATCCTCTCCAGCCTCTGACCTGCTCGGCTCCACACCTTGTCTACAGGGGCCTGCTCCGTATACCGCGTATAAGGAGCCCCTTTACCCATCGCCGCGGCTCTTGTCCACGAGGTCTCGCAGCCTCGGGCGATGTGGCTAGCTGTCTCGAACCCAGTGAGACGCTCTATATCCAGACACCGCTGAACAACCCAGTGTCGCTGGGCTTGATCTTGTACCTAAAAACGTATATTAGCATCTGTGCATGGGATTTGAAATAGAAGGCTACATACTTGGACTCCAGCGACAAAAAGGGCAAAGCAGGAGTCGTTGAGGGCTGCACCGGTTCCAACATTCACTCGCGTCGCTGACGATGTATCGGCTGTTATACCAGCTGATATCCGGCCAATCGTATTCGCAAACAATCCCGTTTGTTGCGCGGCAAACCCAGCTGCCATCATCGCTGATGGGGGCATCGAAGGATGCGATCTGTGGCAGACAATAAGACCCATGTAGTACGTGAGCCACATCAAAGCCATACCGTAAGTACGATATTGAATTGCTGGGCCGAAAGGCGATGGGATTTCCTGGGCGTATTCAGGTCCGAGGGGTGCAAAATCCGGTCCCAGGTGCTGTTCGAACATGCCGAACACGCTTCGGATACCGTTCCACTCCTCTTCGGCCTTGGCAGTTTGCTCGCTGAGGCGTTCGTCGCCTTCATCGCTATTTGCCGGCGGCGAGTCTTCACTTGATGGGCTGAATCCTCTTGGTAATGAAGCTTTGCGGATGCCTGGTAGCATACCGGCGAATGAAGGCATTGCTGACATAGGCATTCCTCGCCCGCCTGGAGGCATAGGCATTCCCGGTCCGCCTTGAGGTTGCTGATTGGGAGGCATTCCGGGCATAGGCGGCATTCCTCGCCCACCTTGAGGCTGCTGATTAGGAGGCATTGGTGGCCCTGGATTTGGACCCCCAGGTGCGCCTGGAGGCGGTCCCCATTGCCCTCTGTTAGCCGCCATTGCTCTCTTCTTGCGCCTCACGTCTTTGGCGGCAAAACAGCATAGTCTTCCTAGCAGCAGCACCAGATGGTCGAATGTACCATATCTAGAAAGGGTCAGCAAATCAGTATATACAAGGGAAGTAGGCTGGCATACACAGCATCACGGCGACCTAGGGGTGCTCGCGGAGGACAGTGACTCCATCTATCGTAGTTTAAACTTAACAGTCAGTACGTAGATACGTTATCGCTGAGGTTGAAAGCTTACAATAGCCTATTTTGGCTGAGAATGCTCTGAAAGACGTCCTGCTTGGTATACCACCAAAAAAGATCCTGTTGGGTATCAAATAGATCCAGTTCGCGCTGCGTAAACCTTTTATTTCCCATATACGGTCCATCAGGGTCCTCAATAATCTCTCCGTATTCGGCATATCTGATCTGCTTTCCCATGATAATTCCCACTAGATTCTCGTCAACTTCATCGTTCATAGATAGACTCGAATCTTCCATGCTATCGTGGCCATATACGATCGGGGTATCAGAGGACATGTCGCCGCCATAATATACATTTTGAGGTGGCAGATTTGCCATGTATGCCTTCTTGGTCTTTAAATATCGAGTTATTCCAGAAAAATCAATCTGCTTGACCAGTTGATGTGCTCCAAGCAGATGGTCACACCATTTACTATGGTCTGCAGAGATAACCTCGTAGAATCCAAGAAGTAGTGTGGTAGCTAAAGTTGCGAGCTGTTTGCGTCTGGTGGAGGAGCCAACGTTCTTTGCCAGCTTCCTAATAGCAATATGGTAATGCCTTAGTGATACGGTGATGGGTCCGTTTTCTAGCTTTGCGATATGGAGACTTGCCATTGCCAACATCGCGTGGCAGAGGGCATGGTTCCGAAGTGCAATAGTAGGCATGGTATCTGAAACAAGTTAGTGTTGGATCTCTCTGTGTCAAGATAGTGACTTACAAGACCAGATATGCTGCTGAGACTTCGGCACAGGATTCCCTCGAAACACAATAGATGGGTTCACAGGGTGACGTTCAAACATGGACAAACTCGGTGCAATAACATTGATGAAATGGCAAAATATGCCCGCAGCAATAGGATTGCTCAACGGCGAGTCCCGAGCTGAAGGATAATAGCTAGCAAGCATATTCGGGCCGTAGTTTTCTATCACAGAGTGATATGTTCGAATCCGTGTATCTTCTCGAGTTTGCGCCGCTTGAATAGCCATAACGGTTGCGAGCTCATTGTCTCTTCTGAGCCTCTGGATTTCTCGTGACCTGGGGTCAAAATGAGCTCCGCCATTGCGTGGTTCTTCGTCTTCATCCTCGTCGTCAGAAACGTCGAATGGATCGCTATCATCGTCGTCTTCGTCCTCCTCGTCTGTTCTATGGATTGGATTTCTCGTGTCATAGAATTCATTGGTGACTGGCTCGTATGGCGGCGACGACATAATAGGGCGGGCTACTTGGCTCCAGGCACCTTGCTGAGTCGGGGCTTGGTACTCTTGCTGATAACCCTGTACATAACTGATGTCGTCTACATGACCCTGGGACACCGACGAACGGTTACTCAGGTCAGCGCTTCTGTTGCCCGTATCGTGGGACTGCTGCATCGGTATGTCGCCCAAATACGAATCATGTGTCATCTGGGCTTGATCTTCGTACACCTCCGAGTACGTAGGCTCATGGTGATATTGAGGTGGCTGTGGAGCTGTGATCCATTGGGCATCCAATGGACTGGAGACTGGCACACTATTCACGGGATTGTCCCATTGCGCGGGTGCTTCTGACCCTCCATGGCTGATCTCCGATTCTCGGCGCAAAGGATTGACTACGCTCTGCTGCGGTTGAAAAGTAGCGGAATCATTGTGAACGAAGCCCTGGAAGACGGTCGCAGGTCTGCTGGTATCTGATTGTGAAGAACCTCCGGCCCGAGGCGGGATGTTTTGCTGTGACGCTCCCCCGGGAACCTTCGATTGTACAGGCCGGCCATGAGCGCCCAGTGAGCCCTGCTGTCGTATGGGCCTCGCAACGAATCCCGAATGGGTCGCAATGCTGCTAGTCGGGCCTCGGTAGGTGTTCAATGGATCTTTGAAGATAACACGTTGGTTATACCCCTCGCATTGGCGCTTCGACTTGATGCAATTGCCACAGGTAGGGCGCTCCTCGCCGCATTTTATTCGCCGTCGTCGGCAAGCTAGAGGATGATTAGCTCTGTGCGCATATAGGGAGCCGGTGAGGGCATGATAAGGATGTGAAACTCACTCAGGCACCCCGTCTTCGTCCGCCGTCGCGACGCTCGTGCATTGGCCGCATTCTTTGCCGCAGAGGCCTCGGTGGGGGCATCTACAAGCGTCTCGTCGTCGTCGCGGCTAGTCCCCTGGTGTAGCTCGGCGGCAGGACCGGCGGCATCCATAGCTTCGGCGGGTTTGGACCCCTACGGGGCAATCACAGCAGGCGCATGGCAGGATGTCAAGGTGAAGTTTGTCGTGGGTCAACCAGGTGGTGTGCGGAGCGGAGGGATTAAAGAGGAAGGATGGCATATGGGGGCAGATGGAGATGGAGATGGCGATGGGGCTATGAAGGGCATGGGGGAGCAAGGAGGGGGGATGGTTCGGCCATCAATCAGATTTCTGAGTGTTTGTGTGTGGGATTGTGCGGTTGGAGTGGTTGGAGTAGTATTGTGGTGAAACTGATATGCCGGTATTGATTGTGGCACTTTCCGGACAGTCCGCAGTAGGCGTTGTAGGGCGGGGCGAGGCTATTGAGGGCGTGCGTTAGTGGGATTTGGGTGGAGGTTTAGTGTAATTCCCTTGTCTTAGGGTCTTAGTTCCCGCCGACAGATGGGACAGATTGGACAGATTGGACAGATGGGACACATCGGGGCGCACATCGGACGCATTGGGGGGATAATAATATGTATGGCGAGTAACGGCCAAAGCCATTTATGCATGGAGAACGCAGAGAACGCAGCAGCCAGCGGCGGCCAGCAGCCAGCGGCCAGCAGATCAATGCATGTAGTCTTGCATATTACGGCCGTACATATATTATGGTATTGTAGTGCTGTACTAGAGTGCTGCACAGTACATTCCAAGGAGAAGAGCGATGAAAGGTGAGTTGGACGGGTATGTCTGTTCTATCTGTGTCAGTTACTGTGGTATGTGCAGCAGACTACAGCAGAGAAACAGCAACAAGGAAAGATGACACAGCTATACTATACCGTATATCGTATCCCGTATTCCGTATACAATGTTCATCATACTTTACTTTACTTGCAGGTAAGTCAGTTGGTGAAAGGGCTTGAAGGTGCTGTGCTGTGCTGCGGGTACTACGAGTATAACTTCACACACGCGCACTCTCACTCTCACTCTCACACACATTCCATGTCCATTCCACACACACTACTATCCATATCATCTATACACATACATACGCATACATACACATATACGTCAATATCTGTCTAGATATATATATAACACCCAATTATATACCACAAACATCCCATTGCGACGGGTAGATGCACACCCCAATGCACCAGACGCCCTCCCCAGATGCAGTCGACCTATCACATCCCCTCCGACAAGGCGCAGCACCCTCGTAGCACCCTCATCTCCCCTCGCGTCGTTGGGACGATGCCAGCTGAAAAGAGCGTGAGAGCTGCATAAACGCCTTCTCGAAGTGCCTAGTTGGTCCCAAAGAGAGAGAAAAGAGCTACTGCAATGGCTGCGCATCTGCGTTGAGTCTATTTTCGGGGTTCGTGACGCCCTCACTCACTCACTCGATCAATCACTCACTCGATTCCAGGCCCTCGCAGACCAGCAAAACACCCCATCCTTCAATCGCCATGCGCAGTAATCCGGGGAACAAACAAACCGACCGACCGCATCATCTGGCCATCTGCATTCCGCAGTTAGAATATGTAGATATACGTGTTTCGAATGAGAACGCTGCGGCCGAGTTAACAGTCTCCACGGTACACAGCAGGAAGGGAAGATAGAGAGAGAGAGAGAGAGTTGTCACAAAGGTACACAACCCCGTCAGATCGGTTCCTCCCGGATTTCGGCCTTAACCAGTAATTAAGGAGTGACAGTGCTGGGTCAATCGTACTGTGCAAGCCAAAAATGTGGGGTAAACGAAGCGAGGAATTTATTTGGTCTCCGAATTTTTTATCACGGCCAAGCTGGTGACCGATAACGAGACCACCCCAAACTCCACACCCACAATCACAACACACAGAAAATCCCCTCTTTTTCCTCGAGCAACCATGTTCGCGGTAAAAGGCTGGTCCGTTCCGGCGAGTGCGCTGAAAACACAGACTCTCAAACCAGCCAAGTCGGAACAAACCCCAGTGGCAGATGGAGCTTCGAACGAGGCTGGCCCGGCGGGTGCAGCTGGACAGAAGAGGAAGCGTGCGAGTAAAGACCAGAAGCAGGCCAATGTCAGCGAGGCCAATGTAGCAGATCTCTATGCGTCGGTTATCGAGAAGGATCAGACGCCTAAGGGAGGAAAGGCAGCGAAGGCGAAGCCCAGCGAGAAGAGACAGAAGGTCACACAGGAGCCTGCGAAGGAGCTCCCCAGCACCGATGCAAAGGCACCAGCAGCCACCGAGGTTGCAGATGCGAAACCCGCCGCTGCCCCCGCCGTCGACTCAACAGGTGCCATCACACTCTCCGAGAGAGGCCAGAAGAGAAAGACCATGAAAGACAAGAAGCGCGAGAAGAAAGCCAAAGCCAACGCCGCGCCCTCGACCGACGAACCCACAGAAACACACACCATCTCCGCCCCCGCCCCCGCCAAAATCCAACCTAAACTCACCCCTCTCCAAGCATCCATGCGTCAAAAGCTCGTCTCAGCCCGCTTCCGCCACCTCAACCAAACCCTCTACACCACGCCCTCCGCACACTCCCTGTCGTTATTCTCCGAGAACCCCGAGATGTTCCACGAGTACCACGAGGGATTCCGCCGCCAGGTCGAGGTGTGGCCCGAGAACCCTGTTGATACGTATATCGCGCAGATCCGTACACGGGGGAAGGTGGCGGCGAATCCGCGGGGGAAGGGGGAACATCCTGATACGGGGAGAGAGATTGATAAGCTGCCGTTGCCGAGGACGGTGGGGACGTGCTATATTGCTGATCTCGGGTGTGGAGATGCGAAGTTGACGCAGGCGCTGGAGAAGGAGAAGAAGGCGCTTAAGGTGCAGGTTTTCAGTTATGATTTGCAGAACCCGAGTCCGTTTGTTACGAAGGCGGATATTTCGAATTTGCCGTTGGAGGATAATAGTTGTGATGTTGCGATCTTCTGTCTAGCGCTCATGGGAACCAATTGGGTTGATTTCATCGAGGAGGCATACAGGATTCTGCATTGGAAGGGGGAGTTGTGGATTGCGGAGATTAAGAGCCGGTTTGGCAGGGTGGGAGGCGCGCATAAACGCGTCGAGCATAGTGTGGGGAATAGGAAGAAGCCTGCTGCGAAGGCGGCGAAGAAGATGGATGAGGATGCCGATAATGCGGATCTCCTCGTCGAGGTGGACGGGCACGATGATACCAAGGCCGAGACGGACGTGTCTGCTTTCGTGGAGGTGCTACGGAAGAGGGGGTTCGTGCTACAGGGCGAGAAGGCGGTGGATCTGAGTAACAGGATGTTCGTCAAGATGACCTTCGTCAAGGCACTAGCGCCTATGAAGGGGAAGTGCGTCCCGGTGCCTAAGGGGATGGAGAAGATGGGCCAGACGACGTGGAAGCCGAAGGCGAAGCCTAAGTTCCTGGAGGAGGAGGACGTGCCGGTCTCGAGCGAGGCGGGGGTGCTGAAACCGTGTGTTTACAAGCTAAGATAGTTGGAATTTGCCGGGATGGCACTATGATATGATATTTCTCCAGCAAATGCATACAATGCAGCGCCCTTCACCCTGTGTCTGACTGCTACTGAACTCATCCTCCGTATAATGCGGCGCCGCCGTTGCGCCGCCGTTCCTGTGCCCGCTAGACTCATCCGTACATGGCTCGTGCCTCGATGGATTTGAGGTCGAATATCTATCTGGGTCAGCTTGAATTGCCTGCAAATGGGGAGCGGTAGCAAACTAACCATATCAATCCACCCTCCTCCTCCGAACTGAGCCTCGCTAGGTCCCTTGCTCACAAACCCAAGCTTCTCATAGTACGGCACCAAGGGCTTCACTGTTAGCAATCCACCTTCCAACAGTGACAACGGTGCTCAACTCACTCCATGCGCAATAATAGCCAACCTATCCGCAATCCCCGCCCCATTCATCTGCTGCATATACGCCATCATGATAGTGCGTCCAATCCCCGACCCCTGAAACTCGGGCAGCACAGCCAGGGAATGCACACAGATGGTCCTCCCATCCTCATGATGCCCCTCGATCCTCTCATCCCTCTTGATGCTCTCCCAGTCCCGCGGATAATCCATGGCGACGTCGGTGGCGAGGCCGTCGCGCGTCTTGGTCGCGACGACGTGGGCGAGGAGAACGCTGACGGCGCCGTTGGCGCGGGAGGTCTCGACGGGTTTGCCGGTCGCGAGGGTCGCGGCGGGGATGTCGGAGTCGGGGGTCGCGGTGCAGAAGAGGCCGAGGCTGAGTTCGCCGCATTTGCTGAGGCGGTATTTGAACTGTTTGGGGTGGTTAGAAGTTGGGACTGGTGGTTTTGTGTGGTTGCTGGGGGGAATTGAATCCTCAGGTGATGGTGAGGTATATATCGGCATGCTTCGGGAGACTTGAAGCCAACATGCCGGGCAAGGTTTCAACGACAACGCGCAAGATGGGAATTTCGAGGAAATAACAATTGGTTTCTCTTGGGGAGGAAGTAATACAGCAGGTACGTAGCAATATACCTTCGCAATGGCAGCAACGGGGAAGAACAAGAACCACACGTGACATATAAGAACAAGCTCACCTTATCCGGGCTGCATCTCTCATTCTCGTTAAAGGCGGCATTCTCGAGAGCAATGCAGGAGTCGAGGTCGGAGACGGTCAGCGGACGAGTATACGGATGCAGAGAGCGCAGAGACCGGATGTCTTCGCCCTGCTGTCCCTCGTCCGCGTTGTTGGTGATAAAGAACCTGTTATTAGCGTCATCAGAGTAGTCGCCGGGAGGGCCGCCCAGCTCGTCGACGTTCTGTATTATCGGCGCATCTTGCACCTCCTGGTGATCGGGATCGAGAGGCATGGTTGAGGGGGTTTTTTTTTCTGTGGAGAGTGTCAGGTCAGAGTGCCATGTTAAGCGTAAGGGCCAGGCATAGATCGTTCGCTCATCGTCATACGTAGCGCGCCTTTTTCCTGTGGTAGAGATTGCGGGGTGATGAGGGGCAGACTAGGCGGATGGCGATAAGGCTTACCACCCAATAATTCAGCCACAAGATCGTTGGCTGCGGTTTCTCACGGGATTGGCTTATTAGGTCGTGTGAGGCTGGGAATGTATGGTATAAGACAGGTAATAGAAGATTATAATACAATACTGAATACGGGGGCTCAGAATATAAGTTGGTGGTAGTGACAGCGACCAGTAAAAAGGTACTTTCAAGGCAAGACAAGGCGCAACAAGGCAAGACAAGGCAAGACAGACAAGGTTAATTATCTGTAGGAACGGCGACCAGCTAATCCTCTTTCCCTCACGGTGTCTGATCAACACAGTATGCCGTTATGGTATTCCACGGTTTGTGGCAGTACACACTACTGTGCGAATGGACTAGACTGTCTGTTGTAGTAATCCTAGATCCATACATGTGCATACATGTGCCTATGAATCTCGGTCTGTGATCAATTGGGATACTGAAATACCATCACGGTGAATATTCAGTGCACTGTAGTTATTTGCAGGATATATTTCAAGTTCTGGATAGTAAAATACGTGGCGGTAGAGGCGCAGCGCATAATGAGTACATCTGATAATGATAAGAACGACGTCGTCGTTGACGTCGTCATCGAGGCGCTGCCTCACTATTCATGCCAGAATAATAAGGTATTAGTTTTCGGTCGTGCCTGCCTGGCTGGATACATACAGATTCACAACGGTCTGGATCGCTTCCATCTCTCGTGCCCACTCATCCAAACATCAATTACAAAGCCTCTGTTCGCAACTCGTGCCTCCTATAAAACTCTTCGAACTGCACTTTCGAGTGCATTCGCTCGCATTCCACTATACCACTTCCGGGAATATTATTCATATAAACCGCCACCACACTGCACACACAAACTTTCGCCGCTCCTTACCCCACGTAAACAGCTAAAGAGTGAATATCGAACCTCAACGTTGAATCAACAAGCTGCTCTGCTCCTTACTTGCTCGAGGTGAATATATCAAGTCTAATATCCTATACTTTTGTGATCCCTCACATCGTACGGTTCTCACCCACAGCCTTCGTTGCACCAATTGACTAACGACAAACCAGGCGTGCGACTCTTGATTTCAGAGCTCGCCCAGGATGCGGCTCACTCTGAATATTGCCTCCGAAGAGGCCCTCGAACATGACCTTCTCAATCTAGAGGTTCCGACAGAAACAACGGTTGGCTCGTTGAAGGGGATGGTCCAGGCCGAAGCTCACATCCCGACGACTTCACAACACATCTACCACAACGGGCAGCTGCTCTCCGACGACAACAAGACACTGGAGCAGTTACAGGTCGTGGATGGCGATATGCTTGCATTGCATGTCAGGGACATCGTAGGGAATACCGGCGTCCCTCAACCAGGCCCAGCACAGCAACCAGCCAGACGGCCAGCCGCCAGTCGTGAGGAGCAAGATCCAGAGGTGATTCGACTCCAGCTCCTCGGCAACCCTCGCATGCGACAAGAAGTCCAGCGAGCACAACCAGAATTGGCAGCGGCTGTCGAAAACCCACAAAGATTTGCTCAGCTGTTCAGACAGATGCAGGATCAGGAACGCAGAGAGAGGATGATGCGCCAGCAGCACATTGCTGACCTCAACGCGGATCCGTTTGATATCGATGCACAGACTCGCATTGCTGAGATGATCAGAGAAGAGAGGGTTCAGGAGAATCTCCAGAATGCCATCGAGCACAACCCCGAAGGTAAGTAGCCCAGATCAGAGATACATACTGATGGAGGTGTCTAACTGTGGCGTTTTAGTGTTTGGCAGGGTTCACATGTTATATATCGACGTCGAGGTCAACGGCCACAAGGTTAAGGCTTTCGTCGACTCTGGGGCTCAAGCAACCATCATGTCACCATCCTGTGCTGAGTCCTGCGGGATCATGAGGCTCGTTGATAAACGTTTTGCGGGCATTGCAAGAGGTGTGGGCACGGCAAATATCTTGGGCAGGGTTCACTCAGCTCAGATCAAAATCGGAAGCCTATTCCTCCCCTGCAGTTTCACTGTCATGGAAGGCAAGGATGTGGATCTCCTCCTTGGGCTTGACATGCTTAAAAGGCATCAAGCATGCATAGATTTGTCGAAAGACAAGCTCGTTATCCAAGACGTAGAGGTGCCTTTCCTTGGCGAAGCAGATATACCAAGGAGTTTCGAAGAGGTCACCGAGCCCACGGTTGAGGGCCCTGGTGGTACTACCATTGGGGGAAGGTCGGGGGCGATATCTGGCCCGGCCGGACCAGCAACAGCCAATACACCTGCCGCACCGGCTGCGCAGGCTGCCGCGACTCCCCAACCGCAGCCTCCGATTCAACCATCGCAAGCTGCTCCTGCTTCGGCACCTGCTCCCTCAGCAGAGTCTATCGACCAGCTAGTCGCACTAGGCTTTTCTAGAGAGGAGGCCGTCAATGCGCTGAATGCATGCGATGGAAATGTTGAATTCGCTGCGGGTTTACTCTTTCAGGGATGATCATATGATAGAAGCTAGGATCGTTTATTATTTACGAAAATAGCCAGACATCGGAGATCTTGTCGCCAAGGAGAGACTATATTATGGCATAAATCATAAATGGGTCCAAAATTTGGCCACTTTGGGGTTGAGTGGCGCTTGATAGCTTCAAGATTAGTTGATATCTTGGGCCTCAAGGCTTGCTCAGTCATGGCATATTGGGCCTAGCTACTTTGCATCTACACAAAGGAGATGGGATTTGAAGCGAATGAAAAATATAAAGCCAAATAGCTTGCATATTGAAACGATTACTTCCCTTTCGTGGAACCCTCATAATGTAGTAGTATGTAAGGAGACTATCCTAACTGTGATCTCGTGCTTCGCCGTATGAATGATATAGATAGAGCCTTTGTAGTATTATTTGCTGGTGACTTACTCCGGAGTTGGTTGTTACTCAAGTAGTGCGTTGGTCTCGGTGTTCGGAACGGTGGGGTACAGATGCGGCCGCATTGCTCCGTGCCACCTTCTAATCCTCCTCCGATAAGGACGGTACGATTATTTTAGCGCTAAACTTTAGATTTTGCGCCTCCACAGAAAAGCTCACAACGAAACTTTGTGGGCTTCAACTGCGACCGACATTTGACGACGAAACATTCTTCTCGTAAGAAAACGTCGCCAAAATGAAGACTACGTGGAAAGACATCCAGCCGGTGCCGACTTCGCAGGAGTTTTTGGACATTGTGTTGAGTCGTACGCAGAGGAGACTCCCCACGCAGATTCGTGCAGGATTTCAGATTAGCAGAATCAGAAGTGAGTATTTTCCATCGTTGACAAAAGCCCGACCACAAAACTAACCACTACCCTAGACTTTTACACCAGAAAGGTCAAGTTCACGCAGGAGACTTTCAGCGAGAAGATTTCTCTGATCCTCGATGGCTTCCCACGTCTTCAGGATATCCATCCCTTCCACAAGGATCTTCTGAACACCCTTTACGATGCCGACCATTTCCGTATCGCCCTGGGTCAATTAGCGACAGCGAAGCATCTGATCGAAACCGTTTCCCGCGATTACGTCCGTCTTCTCAAATACGCCCAGTCGCTTTTCCAATGCAAGCAGCTCAAGCGTGCTGCTCTTGGTCGCATGGCCACCATCTGCAAGCGCCTCAAAGACCCTCTTCTATACCTCGACCAGGTTCGCCAGCATTTGGGCCGTCTCCCCTCGATCGACCCCAACACCAGAACGCTACTCATCTGTGGCTACCCCAATGTCGGAAAGTCGAGTTTCCTGAGGAGCGTGACCCGTGCGGATGTTGATGTCCAGCCTTACGCTTTCACCACCAAGAGCTTGTTCGTTGGTCACTTCGATTACAAGTATCTCAGATTCCAAGCTATTGATACCCCCGGAATCCTCGATCACCCGCTGGAGGAGATGAACACCATCGAGATGCAGTCGATCACAGCCATCGCCCATTTGCGATCTGCTATTCTATACTTCATGGATCTCTCTGAGCAGTGTGGTTACACTGTTGCCGCACAGATTGCGCTTTTCCAAAGTATCAAGCCTCTTTTCGCCAACAAGCTCGTCTTCATCGTCATCAACAAGATCGATGTTATGCGCCCAGAAGATCTCGATGCTGAGTCCCAGGCACAGCTCCAGGCCCTTCTGAAGCCAGGAGATGTTGAGATGCTGCAATTATCTTGCACCACCGAGGAAGGTGTCCAAGAAGTGAAGAATGCCGCATGCGAGCGCTTGATTGCGGATCGTGTGGCCCAGAAGCTTAAGGCTGGCACAAACAGCAACGGCGCAGTCGGTGGTCGTCTTGGTGATGTTCTTGCACGTATCCACGTCGCTCGCCCAATGAACGGTGTTGTTAGGGAGGCATTCATTCCAGATGCCGTCAAGGAGATGAAGAAGTACGACAAGAACGATCCTGAGCGCCGGAAGCTTGCCCGTGACATTGAGGAGGAGAACGGAGGAGCCGGTGTCTTCAACATCAACCTCAAGGACAAATACATGCTTGAGAACGATGAGTGGAAGTACGATAAGGTGCCTGAGGTTCTGGACGGCAAGAACGTCTACGACTTCATCGATCCAGAAATCGAGGCTAAGCTTGCTGCTCTGGAGGAGGAGGAAGAGAAGCTTGAGGCAGAGGGTTACTACGATTCTGAGGATGACCTTGAAGATGCCGAGGATGCCGATATCCGCATGAAGGCTGAGCTAATCAGGGAGAAGAGAATCCTGATCAGAAATGCCGCGAAGATGAAGAAGTCTCTGAAGAACAGGGCGATCATCCCACGCACATTGACAAAGGCGAAGCTTACGGATATGGAGGATCACTTGGACTCGCTTGGTTTGGATACTACTTCGCTCACTACGCGCGCAAGATCGCAGTCCAGAGGACGCAGTGTTCTTCGCAGCCGTACTGGAACCGAGGATGTTATGGATGTTGACTCGCCAGAGTACGAGGCCAAGATGCGCGCGAAGAGCCGTGCTAGAAGCCAGAGCAACCGTCGTGAGGACGGTGTGCCCGAGGGAGTTATCAGGACGAAGGCGGAGAGAATTGCCAAGCTGGGACAGAGGCATAGAAACAGAATGGCTCGTGCTGGTGAGGCTGACAGACATGTTGCGGCTGCCATGCCTAAGCATTTGGTAAGTCCTGCCTATAATAAAATAACCCTTTCCCTTGTTCCTCAGCTAACCATCAATCTAGTTTTCTGGAAAGCGCGGTATGGGCAAGACGCAAAGTCGCTAAACGGCTTTCTTTTATGCGACATGATGCTTGGTTTTGTTACTGTGTCTTGTTGTCATTTTTTTCAGGGGAAATTGGAGCGTACGGGTGGGTATGGTTGGTTGTTAAAATTATACGTATCACGACTCAGTTTTAGTCGGGCAATGAATAGAATCTTTCGAATCACACTTGCATAACTGCATACTCTAGCTGCATAAGATGATGCCCTGGGATGCAACGGCCACCCCCTCAGATTGGCATAGAACCCAGGGATTGGTGGGCTGATTGATTGCCTGTGATAATAGCACTATGTCATTGTCGACCACACAGGATCAACCATTTATATATGAATCCGAAAGCCACAGCAAAAAGGCCTCATCATGACTATGAGTGACGACGTCGCCAACGAAAGGGTCCCGTACCCTTAATTGGCTTACATCAAATTTATAATTTAGGTTCGGGGATCGAATTGGCTGGGTAGTGGGGGAATTGGGGGTGCAAGGAACGTGTTGCTTGCTCTTTCCGAACGCGAGGTAGGCTAATTAGTTACCCCACTAAAACCTCAAAACAGCCCGATAGTCGCACCGATACTTATGTACCTATCGACCGCCACTTTCTTCCCCTCCATCATCAAAAACCTCAAACTCCACCATACCCACCAACACTTTGTTCGTGGTGTACATGCAGCGAGAGGAGGCAGATCGTTGGGCTCGCAAACGTTACTTCGGCTGACACGCTGATAAACCAGGAGCAGCCAAACTTCAGCTTCACCGTCGGGTTTTCAATTGCAAGGTAAGTCTCCTGCGTTGTGTTGTATACCGACATTCGGAGATTTATTTCAGCGACACCCTCACCCCATGCCAACTATATCATTCCGGAGGCCTGCGGTAGCACAACAGTCATACTAATTATACTTTCTAGAACTGAACCTAGGCTCCTCACACACACACACTCTCATATTCTTCACGATGCATATCAAAGACATGCTAAACCAGGGGGAGCAGGCGGGGAAGCCTACTTTCTCGTTCGAATTCTTCCCCCCAAAGACTGCGCAAGGTGTCCAGAACCTGTACGATCGTATGGACAGAATGCATGGGCTGGGACCGAGCTTCATTGACATAACCTGGGGTGCTGGCGGCCGCCATGCGCAACTGACATGTGAAATGGTCAGCGTGGCACAGTCGGTTTACGGGTTGGAGACATGCATGCACTTGACATGTACGGACATGGGCAAGGAGAAGGTCGACGATGCCCTCAAGAATGCATACAAGGGTGGCTGCACAAACATTCTGGCTCTCCGTGGGGACCCCCCTCGCGAGAAAGAAAAATGGGTGGCTACCGACGAAGGATTCCAGTACGCGAGAGATCTTGTCAAATATATCCGCAAAACTTACGGTAATCACTTCGATATTGGTGTTGCGGGATACCCAGAAGGCTGTGACGACCAAACAGATGCGGATCTTTTGCTCGACCACCTGAAGGAAAAGGTCGACGAGGGCGCAACTTTCATTGTGACTCAGATGTTCTACGATGTTCCCAACTTCTTGGATTGGGTCCGCAAAGTTAGGGCGAAGGGCATCACCATTCCAATCATCCCAGGCATCATGCCCATTTCCACATACGCCAGCTTTCTGAGAAGGTGCAACCACATGAATGCGAAGATCCCCCCTGGATGGATTGAAGCCATGGAGCCCGTCAAGAACGATGATGCAGCAGTCAGGGAGATTGGGAGAGGTTTAGTGACTGACATGTGTCGCTCTATCCTTGAGTCTGGGATCAACCACCTGCATTTCTACACGATGAACTTGGCCCAGGCCACACGCGGTGTTCTTGAACAGCTCGAGATGCTTCCATCTGAAGAGCGCCCGCTGAAGCAGGCTCTCCCATGGCGCCAATCTCTTGGCCTTGGGCGAAGAGGGGAGGATGTACGACCTATTTTCTGGCGCAACAGGAACAAGTCTTACGTCATGCGAACTCAGGAGTGGGATGAGTTCCCCAACGGCAGATGGGGTGATTCGAGGTCTCCGGCTTTTGGCGAACTTGATGCATACGGAATTGGGTTGAAGGGTAGCAATGAGCAGAACATTAAGCTGTGGGGCGAGCCGAAGTCAGTCAAGGACATTGCAAATGTATTCCTGCGATACTTGAATGCCGACATTGAGAGCTTGCCATGGAGTGAGGCACCGATCTCGAACGAAGCCGATGTTATTAAGAACCAACTTGTGGAACTCAACGAGCGCGGACTGCTTACGATCAACTCGCAACCTGCCGTGGATGGAGTCAAGTCATCTCACCCAGTTTATGGATGGGGACCTGCGAATGGATACGTCTACCAGAAGGCGTACCTCGAGCTTTTAGTTGCACCAGAGCTTATCGATGAGCTGCTTGATAGAATCGCGAGAGACCCCGAGGTGACTTATTATGCGGTTACAAAGTCAGGCACGCTACGAACCAATGCTCCTAGCGATGCTCCAAATGCCGTCACCTGGGGTGTGTTCCCCGGAAAGGAAATCGTTCAGCCAACCATCGTGGAAACGATCAGCTTTTTGGCCTGGAAGGATGAGGCTTTCCGTCTAGGAATGGACTGGGCCCATTGCCATGACTCCTCGAGCCCAAGTCGCAATGTTATTCAACGAGTTATGGAGACGTTTTACCTCGTTAATATCGGTATGTCTATAAATTGGCTCTGTTTTCTCTTCACGTTTACTAACATAATTTAGTCCATAACGACTTCCATCAACGCGATGCGCTATTTTCGCTGTTTGAGGGCCTTACCGTCCCAAACATTGACAAGGCTGCTGAGGGTACTGCTGCACCTGCAGCTGCCCCCGCGCCTGCGGCGGCTGCTGCGCCAGCTACGAACGGGGACAAAGTCGAAGAGGCCCCACCGGCCATTGTATCGAACGTCCTTCCAGTGGCATAATTGGTAGTTTTCAAATATTTCAGGATCAACTCATATTTTCCGGCCGTCCAGGTGCTCTCTGAGCAATTGCACTGGGCGGCACGGCTCTTGCATTTAGCGCGGCGCGGGCCAACTTCAACAAGTTTGGCGGGCGTCCTGGGGATTTCAACGATCTCATGATTTTCTTTTTTTTACATTACCTCATGATTTTTTATACACCGGCTCGGCATAGGAGAAAATGTCTTCAACGGCAACACAAGTAGAACTAGACAGTGCGAAAGAAGGGGGGTGGGGAAGAGATGGGCTGGTGTTGCACCCATCAGCCGGGAAATAGAATAAAAAAACACGACGAGTTGAAGTCAAATACAATATTGGATGGTGGTTTATCCAATGCATGCACTTTCATCATACTAAATGTAATTGAATTGTAGCAAAAGTTAACCCTCGTTCATCTACCTTGCAGCAAAAAACTAGCTGCTGTTTCCAATTACTCTGAGCGCTGCTTTTTACGCCAATTGGTAGGAAGCTCGGCAAGGGGTTGACAGGAAGATCAAAACCAGGGGATGGAGATATAAAGCTTAGCACGTTGGCATAGGAGACTTGGTGCTCAGCATAGGTTTAACAATCTGCCAGAGGGTTCAGGATTCAAAGTCGGCCAATGCCATAGTTTTATGGCGTGTCTACAACATCAAAATGTGTATCTCATGGGTATAGCTTCGTCACCAAATTCAAATTCCCATTTCACTAATTCAAGTCTCATAACATCAAGTGCAGCCAACACCGCTACCACCGGAAAATGGCCCGATACAACAAGACCAGTTACCTTGTTCATCAAACACTGGATCTGGCTTAGGCAGATTTCCTCCTGCGCTGAATGCACCTCCATTTGCAATTTCAGTCGGTAGCGGTCCCGAAAGTGTTGTTGTCGTTGTTGTTGTAACCGGCGGGGAGGTCACAGTCACAGTGGCAGCTGCAGCCACACACGAGGCAGGGCAGGCTAGAATATTTAGTATATTATGTATGTGTAGAGTACGATTAAGACGTACCGACAGCTGGAGCTGGCATGCCAGCTGGTGCGGGCCCATTGTTGGTTGCGAGGACGAGGGGGAACGGCTATAGGTGTTAGCGGACGTTGGTAATATAGACAAAGACATACCCAGACGACTCTATATCTGGATGGCTGTAATAGCCAGCTCCCAAATGGAGTCCAAGCAACCGAGACTGGCTGCGCAGCAGCAGAAGCCGCGGCGGCAGGGGCGGCAGGGGCCCCTAAATTTCCTAGAGGAATAGAGAAATAGGCTGTATGAGCCAGCGAGGGCCAGCGATGTGATGAGGGCGTTGGGAAACGGCACGGGACGAGGTATTTCACGGTGTCATCTGCCCAGAACTTTCAAGAATGTAAGTCTGCCATTCTGTCATCAGGAGACTTGCTAATTTTCAGGCATGGAAACCTGCGCCACCATTGTCCTTGCCACAGCGTCGACTATCAAGCACGTACAAAGAAGTGCTACCTAGGATCCCATCACAACAACCCCCTCGTCATCGCCTCGAGCTTCGACAGCGCCCATAGTGTAGGATGTGCTGGAGCGTGCGGTGGAGGAGGCTGCTGTAAAGATGCTCGCAAAGATGACGTCCAAGAGCCAGCATCTCTCCCAGACACGTCCTGTGGCAATGCTGGGTTTGAGTTTGCATTTTTCCCGAATGACATTACATACCTAGGACCTAACGACGGAAACTTTAACCTCGTGGTCATGAAGCGTACGGAGCCATACTACGAGGGAACGACTACGAGAATCGGAGTCGCAGATGCCCATACAATCTACGGCCAGACGCCGCAAACTGGGAATACGTTGCGGTGAACCATAGAGGCTATCTGTACGCGCACCAGGATGGAGAGTACAGCTTTACCGCGCCCATTGCCGATAACCTGAGTCTGCTCTGGCTCGCTCCAAACGCCTACTCTGGCTACACACGCGCAAACGCTAATCTGGAGGCGACGTACACTCCAGTCGGCTCGGCGCCGCTAGAGTACAAGGTCACGCTAGTAAAGGGCAAGTACTATCCGATTAGGTTCTCTTGGGATAACTCGGGCGGAGCGGGATACTACGAGCTGAAGATCAAGGCTCCGGATGGGACACTTATTGTCGATGGCACAACGACCATAAGCCCTTATCTGGTCAAGTTTGGGTGCAGGGATACGTATGGCGGGAGGCATATGCGCCGTGGGGGGAGGAGAACTAGGGGGGTAGGTATAAGTAGCTAGCCAGGTTTCTACGAATTGAATGAGTTACTGTGATTGTATTCCATGTGCAGAGTGATTTTTTTCCCTGGTGCTAGTGTGATTGATTATAGTGCACGAGTCTGAGAGAGGGCTTTGATTAGTATAGGCGATTGTATTCTCTATAGTGTCTGTTCCTAATAAGAAAAACGACTCGAGGTCAAGCCATGACCTGTGACCCTTGCCCTGCAGCACCTCAATCACCATGAACTATATAGTGCTTGTGTTATGACTAGCTCCGCTTAGCATACTGCCTAACTCCTCTGTCAAGTCTAGCTTAATTAGTGTCCCTCTCGGCTCCCCTTTTAAGGCAGCTTCTGTAATGATGATATTATTCTTAGAATTATCGCAATGAAGAATTTTCCCATCCTCAAGAAGCGACCCGTGACTTTCCATGGCATCTTGTTCCGCCTCTAGAAGCTCTCGTACCAACCTACAAGCATTATCTAGGGGGCTAGACTAGGGAGGGCTAAACTGTTAGTGCCCAATGCTCCTATTGGCTGTAGGGCCAGCCAGCTCACCAATATTAGTAGTAGGAGGGCCGAACTATTTGCTAGAGCGTCAATTATTCAATATTGTGGCGGCGGTAAGGCAGAACATATAAATTATAAAGGCGCCTACGCATACGCCTACATGTTAATACAGCGTGACTATTATTCCCAAGAGGCTCATTACTATAAGTCATCAAACCCCAATAGTTTGTTCACTAACAACTCATCGCCCTTCGTTTCTTCACATACAACCCTTACCAACCACGCCCAACCTCACCATGTCCCTCCCCTTCCACTGCACCTCCTGCACATTCCCTATTCCTCCCACCTCCCCCCGTATCTCTTGCAACACGTGTCCCTCTCATTTCTGTGCCTCCTGCTACATCCTCTCACGCTCCCCCGGACCCCACCTCGCCTCCCACCCCTCCCTCCTTTACGAATACAGCGGCTACCCCCCTCGCACTCCGCCAGAGCTCCCTCCACGGCCGCCTCTACAACCAATCAACACAGCGGCTTCAACGCAGAGACGACCGGTGTCGACGCAGTTGCCGTTGGCCTCGCTGAAACAGGTTGGGGGTGAAGGCTTGCCGCCTCAACGATATCCACCACAGCCGTCGGTGAGTGCGTCTACAACGCCGCCGCCATTTGCAAGTCCCCATGCAGCGTCACCGCAAACTAGCCATGCACCTCCTGCACCTGAAATCCCAAGCTCGGCGTCTTCACAAACAAACTACGCAGCTCCATCCGAGAGCACAAACACAGTGCTACCAGAGGCTGGCCCTTCGCGGTCCTCGCCATATGCTTATACGTCGCGTTCAAACTCGACCCCTGGCCCGCAAACACCACAATACACATATGAGCCTTCCCAAGGACCTGTTCCCTCTCAACCGCAGCAACAGCAAAAGTACCAGCAGCCGCCACAACAACCACCGCGGCCTCAGCTACAGCAGACGCACTCCGCTGCTTCAACGGGGTGGCAGCCGTTTTATAACAACACTGCACCGACAGCTTTCGGCATGGCATTTTTCAACGAAATCTTCAACCATTTGGATACTAATCGCACCGGCCTATTACTGCCAGAGCAGTACTCTGGCTTCCTTGATATTATTGGCTACAGCCTTGAGCAGAACGCATGTACGTTTATACGTCTCGTTCCGCTCTCTCACTCCGCTCCTTTAAAGCCCTTCCTAATCTCCATCGCTCTAATATAGGGAAAAATCAAATGTCTAAACCCGTTTTCGGCTACAACCCACAGGATTTTGCGGACTACCAGCTCAGGCAAGAATATATTAATTTCTCCATCGACCATGTCATGGCACCCCGCCCACCTTCCGCCCCTAACACTGACATAAGATCCTCCTTCTCCTCTCTCCGCAATATAGTGCCACCTTCCTTCTCTAAAATCCTCGATTCTATCCCCACCGGCAACTCCATCTCCGGCAACCAAATGCCCCTCCTCACCCGCCGCGGTTTCATTGACCATTGCGCGAATGAGTTTCTCTACTATCCAAACGACGGGTTCAACTGCGTGACAAAGGCCGCAAGGCACTATGGAATTTGGCGCGAGTTGGGCGAAATGCCGAGGAATGTGTTCCCTGTAGTAGCACCGCAGGAGCTACTAGACCGTGTGAAAATTATCAACATTGAAGCGGCAAGGAAGGCAGAAGATTTATTAGCAGCGAAGACGATAGAGGCAAATATTGCAGCGAAGGGGCGGAGGAATGCGCTGAATTTAATAGGGGGTGATCGGTGGGAGTATATTTGATGAGGGAGCTAGGGTGGAATAAGGGTCATCCCGTAAGGTGGTTAAATAGGGTTAAGTGATATGATAACCAGGACTCTATTGTACCCCTTCTTGATAATTTAATATTAATTCACTATAACAGAGACGAATAAGATTTAAGCTACTATGAGAATTTGAAATCCGGTTGGAACGGTGAATTTTTATAGCATCTATTCTGAAGAGTATACGATTGAGATTCTTAGCATTTAGTAACCCCTTGTAGAATTAGACGTTTAGAAATAGACAAGTTTTTTCCTTCTAAGACTCGAGCCCTTATAAAGCTAACAATAACTTAGTTTCATCTTAATTATTTTATCTATTAAGAAAAATTAAGGGGTTGTAAATATTCCACTCCATTGATCGTCGTCGTAAGTGATCCATTCGCGGAGAAAATATTCAAAAATGCATCTATTTCTGCATGGAACCCGCCGGGGCTCGTCTTCTTAGTACCAAATACGGCACCAGATTGGAATATATCTGAGAACCAGTCGACATGAACGTCATAGTAATTTGGGGGCTTAACCGATGAGGTAGCGTTCTCGTATCCGTCTATGATGTGCCGATAGTCGTCGCTAAAGTTGGAGTATCTAATAGCGACGCTCGACGAAGTAAGCGTAACATTCGCGAAGCCATGTGCCTTGCCATAGAGGGTATAGTCCCCAGGTGCAAGTGTCTTATCGACAGGGACAGACGCTCCGGGTGGGAAGGGTGTTGCCCAGGGGATGATGTCAGGAATTTTAAAGACTGGGACGGGCCTTGTAGGTGCACGGCTGGTGCGTTTTGCGAGCATAACACGATAGTTGCTACCTCCTTGGGCCGTGGAGGCTGGGCACTTGAGCGGGTTGACGCCGCCACAGGCAGGAGATGTGACAAGAGCTTGCCAATACACGATTTTGGTGCTATCAAGAGAGAAACCGGCGTCGGCGCGGCCGTTCCAGTTTGGATCGTTGACAGAGCCATTAGAAAGGTCGCCTTCAGTATTAATACGTTGGCCATAGTAGTCGATATCGCTGCGATCGCCGAACTGGTCGAGGAGAATGGGCTGGAAAAAGCGACGCGGGCCATTGTTGCGGGTCGACACTGCGAGGAGCGTAACCACAATATCTATGATAGGGGGGATACCGCGCATGCCGGCCATCCACATCTGACGATTTGAGCCGCGGGTGTCCATGATGAGATAATTTCGATTATCGGGAGACGATACGATCGGATCAGCATACTCGGGGTGGCTAGTAATGCGGCGAATCGCACCAGTCACAACGTGAATGGCGTAGAGGTCGACGTTGTTAGCCTCGACGTTGGAACCAAGATAAATGATCTCCTCTCCATTGCCAGACCAGCCACGAAGTTCGCCGAGTGAGAGAGGCTGGGGGTTGATCTTGATCTGATTGCCGTCCGCATAGATAGCAGGGGTGCTGTTGGCGCGGGCTAGGACGTTGACTTGAATGAGATCATAACGTGGGGCGCGAAGGGACCCGTTAGTGGGTCTGGCATTGAATTGGAGCTTCCCCGTGAACGTGGATTGACCGCTGTTGGACAAGGAACTCCATAAAATGTGCGTATCATCTGGATGGAGACGCATCTCACGCGGAGATCCGCCGGCTGCGAAGGCATTCGTGGAGACGGGCCAGAAGATAGGGTAGATATGTGTGCGGGTAGGCGTGCACGACTCATCAGCAAGCGGTTGGCCATTGCAGTCGAGGATATTATGTCCCCACAAGATCTTGGTGCCACTCCGGAAGACGTGGGGATAGTCGATCACGGGATCGAGAGATTGCTTGTTTTGGGTGGGCACAGCACAGCTCATACACTTCCAGCTATCGCCATTAGGGAAGTTGGTGCCATCGGCCGTAATAAGTATCACCTGTGCGCCGGAGTAGATGCTGGCAGGGTCTGGTGCGGCAGGAGCACCGGTAAAGTTAACACTGACAACGACGTGTTTGCCATCGGGAGTGAAGTCGCCAGACTGGAAGTCGTAGTTTTCCTGGTAGTAGATACAGCCGGTGCGGCGAGGATTTATAGATGCTGTGCAGGCGCCCACACTCGTGGTATTGATGGCGGGTGGCAGAGACAGCTGAGTTATCTCGAAGAACTCCGGATTTGGCGGCGGGATGGCAGCGACAGCGACAGCGACAGCGGCAGCACTGAAGATGATTCTCTTCACGAAATTGAAAGACATAATGTCCCTACTGCTCCTTCTGTCGGTTACCATTCAGCGTCACAGAAGAATCCCTAGACGAATAATGCGTTTTGGACAATATAGAATTTGGGAGCAGCTTGAGTTATAACTTATAGTATCTTAATTTCAATCCTTTTTTTTTTCGTCTCTCCTTGCGATATTTCCTTGTGATTAACTTCAGCCCTATCTCCGCACTCTTGTCTCTCACTCGGTATATCTTCAGTCCTTTGAAGTCTGTAATAGCATCCATACGCCCTGGCTGCTGTAGCATCCAAATATTGATAAATTCGAATGAAGTTAGAACGCGGGGAAACGGTTCTTAACCCCATACAACTTTATCACGCCGGGAAATGGTTTTACCCCACATTCTAACTTCATTCGAATTACCAATATTTAGACACGACAGTGAGAAATACCAGAAGTATGGTTTTCCATGGGAGCCACAGTCGGGAATGCGTGCATGAAGTGTATGCTAGCGTATTTTGTACCTTTGGTAACATTCGTATAACATTCGGATAAACTTCAACATGGGGTTGTGGTCTCAACCGCGGATGAACTGTGGTGCTTCGAGAAAACGGCAAAACGCGGATAAACTTCAAGGTTGACACCCACCCCGTGTCTCCCCCATGACACTCAATAATTTACATTCTATGAGGTTGCGGATCCACTATTGGAAACCCCGCTAAACCTACGGCTCGGCCTAGACACTTCGGTGTCTCCTTCCCCGCATTTACATCCCCGCATTTCCTTCCCCGCATGCTAGAGCTCCAATATTGAAATGAAAGGTTGAATGAGCTACGTGCTATTTTCATGCGAGTTAAGTGGCATGTCCAAGAAGTATAAGGAGCTTAACATCCCCGCAATGTCAGAAAGATATCGGTGCATTAGATAGAGCAACTTCTCTACATCTCTTCCTTGTACCATCCCTCTTGTTTCAACGACACCTTTCAACGACACCTTTCAACTTCCGGCGGCCATTGACTGAATTTACTATTCTTTGCCATGGCTTCTCAGCCCATCAGCGATAAGCCGACTAATACCGCAGAGCACAACGAATTTGGGGAGGATGGCGATATCAAAGGCTCAGATGTCGTTGCCGATGCTGCTACTAAGGGTCAGGCCATCACCGGCTATGAAAATTTGACTCCATGGCAAACTGTAAAGCACTTTAAAATGGCCACTGCTCTTTGCTTTGCTGCTGCCTTTAGTGCTGCAACAGACGGTTATCAGATCGGGTGAGTTAGCTTTCACCGAACTTCTTTTGTGTTGTGCTTAGGCTCTATTATTAACATTCTTCTTGTTTAGCATCAACGCCAGTATCATCGCGAACGCGGGCTTTGTTAAGCAGTTCGCAACTGAGAAAAACGCTAATGGTAGCCCCGCCCTCGCCTCGCCCATTCTCAGCGGCTGGTCCTCTGTCGTATCTGTTGGTCAGATTATCGGCATGGTTGGGCTGTCCTTCTACACTGTCAAATTCGGCAGGAAGGTCGCCATGTATACTTACTGGCTCATTCTTGTGGGCTCTATCCTTGCCGAGACACTTACCCGCAGCTGGGAGGGCTGGTTGGTCGGCAAACTTCTAGCTGGTATTGGTGTCGGCTGTCTTCAATCTACTATCCCAGCATATATTTCCGAGTGTGCTCCTCCTCGTATCCGGGGTGGCTTGTTGATGCTCTACAGCTTTTGGTGGACCCTTGGCTCTTTCTTCGCTCAGGTGGCACTAAACAGTCTTAATGCTAGCAACCCGCACAACTACCTCAACGCCCTATATTCGCAATGGGCACAGATCGGCTTGATGCTCACCATTTATCTATTCCTCCCTGAGTCTCCCGCGTGGTGCGTCACAGCTGGGAAGATGGAGCTCGCCAAGAAATCCCTGTCGTACCTCAACCGGGGCGTCGAGAATTATAATGTCGATGCACAACTCGAGATCATTCTATTGAACGTCGAACACGAGCGCGCTCTTGCCGTCGAGCAGCGAAGAGAAAAGTGGTACGCCATCTTCCAAGGCGTGAACGGCATTCGGACTGTGATCACACTGTGGACCAACCTCACTCAGCAGTTCATCGGCCTCTCCCTCTTCGGCACATTTGGAACATACTTCTTCCAACAGGCGGGTCTCAAAAATCCTTTCAGAATCAAGGTTATCACGTCATCTATCCAGATTGCGACCGTTATCGTCGTAGTTCTTTGTGCTGATAGAGTCGGCCGTCGATATATCGCTTGCTGTGGTACAACACTTTCTTGGCTTGCTTGCATCGCCGTTGGTATTCTAGGAGTCGTACCGTCTACTAATGCGTCATCCTACGTTTTTATCCTCTTCGCCTGTCTCTGGAGTACGTATCTCTTGCAATTCTCTCCTTCTGGTCTATACTTCTGAAGATTTATCTAACTTTTTACAGATGTCGGACTGGCCGCCAACGGTGCCACTGGTTGGGGCTTCATTGGCGAAATTTCTTCCCAGCGCCTCCGTCCTTATACTGCAGGGTTTGGTGGCGCAGCGACCTGCGTCATTGGCGTTGTCATGAGCGTCCTAGTTCCGTATATGACTAATATTAACAAGTGGAATTGGGGACTTAAGACCGCCTGGTTCTACGTTGGTGTCGGCGCGCCATTTATGGTCGGGATGTGGTTCTTAATCCCTGAGACAACAGGGTAAGTTCAGAATGCCCCCTTTATTTGTGGAAATCCGAATTGACCCTCCTCTAGCCGCTCTGCTGCTGAACTAGACGAACTTTTCGAGCGAGGTATCAAGCCATGGCGATTCCACAAGACGGAGACCGCAACCCAACGTGTCCTTAAAGAGCACGAGGCTGAGTAAGCAATCGAAGAATAGCATACGCATGATCGCCTAATGCTGCGATATTCAGTTTGCGGGCTGATGTAGCTGATTTACTCATTAAGTAGAATTGTGAATACAATGTATTGATTGCACTATATATCCACTGCCAAGTCTTGATAGACAATGCACCTGACATCGAATGATATCGACAAGTGCATTTAACTTAATCGCATCTCTAGACTTTGTGAATTTATCCTAGTCTCGCCTCAGTTCCAAATGGCGTAGTGTTGTTTCCCCCTCAACAAATGATAATTATGACAAGATAATAATCTTACACTGGTGTTAATTACGCATCGCCTAGCTCCGACGCATGTTTAACATCTGCATCCTCTCTCCGTCATTGATGACTTAGAAACGGGACAATGTTTTTATACCGCGATGGCTAATCTTCCCGTGATTACCTCCATGATATCCCATTCTTCTATTAATCCCCATCCCCCCCCCACCCTGTATGATTGTAACGATCTACTTTTTTTACTGTTACACCGCACCTAAGTTAGGCGGAATAGCGCGTTCAGGTTTAGTGACTGATCCTGCCAAGCTCTAGTAATACTTTTCCGGGTCGTTACAGTCAGACAGGGGGACGGGGAATAGTAAGACAGTCACATGTAATTTGCATCATTCGAGTTGGTCGCTAAAGCTTCCATAGGCAACGGTCTGTCCCTAAATTTATATGCATAGCCCTAAAGGCTAACCCTGTTAACCTTCCTATCATTCTATTGATTTTTCTGTCTAGTACGTAGAATCATTATTAGATATGATGCTGATTTCTTTCTCTCCGATGCCTGAACGAGTGCTTTAGATATGATGCTGATTTCTTTGGCGTTCTTAATAGAGTCTTGTAGTCTGTATGTACAATACCAAAACGAGGGCTATAACCCGCCGACCACTCTATAATCATCCACTATTAGTATTGCATACCAACCACAAAGTTCAGGATATTTAACATACCAAAGTTATCCATGAGACTCCAGACATAGTAGCCCTTAACTAAAACACCATCCGTATAGATAGCCTGCGAAATCGCATCTAGATAGAGCCCTAGATACCGTATGCGGAACTGATCATCGACCGCCTGCTCTAATGTCATATTATTCTCACCTGGGCATGGGCACCCATTCTCTGTGATTATGATTGGGATGCTATAACGCTTCCACAGCCAGCTGAGTAGCTTGCGAAACCCCTCAGGCGCAACACGTAACCATATCATGCCAGATACTGGGCCAATCTCTTCCCCTTCGCTATTGATGGCACCCTCTTCCACATTTCCAGTGATGTCATCGTCAGCAGGCGGATCAGGTAGGGCCCTGGCGTATTTTGTCGAGTAGTGGTTCAGGCCGAAAAATGTATTGAGGGAGACCGATTTGCGGAGGAGTTCGAGCTCATCAGGCGAGAACTTAGGCAGACGCGAACCTAGCTGGGCACGCATTACGGCGGGGTAGTCTTGTCCTAAGTAAATCGGATCGGCGAACCAGCCGAAGTAAAATTCCATCCTGCGCCGTGCGGCGGCCTTGTCTGCATTGCTGTTTGAGTCAAAAGGCTCATACATATGGCCATTCAAAACAATTGCCGTGCAGCCTTCCTGAGTCGGACGGAACTCGTCGGCGTAGATTTGCGCTACAGAGGTGTGAGAAAGTATAATCGTGTGTCCGACCCGCCATGGTTCCGTTTTGGTATCAAAGCCTGTCGCCCGGTTATGGCCAGGTGCAAGTGAGCCGCTATGGTGTCCAAAAACTGATATGACATAAGGCTCATTGAAGGTAACCCATTCCTTCACGCGGTCCCCAAAGCGGGAGAAACACAGTCTCGCATAATTTTCAAAATCGGCCTTAAATTCAGCCGTATTTAAGAAAGCGCCATATCGGTCGTACAGAGCCTGAGGAGCATCCCAGTGATAAAGAGTGACTGAGGGCGTGATATTTCGTGCGGCTAGCTGGTCGATGAGGTTGTTATAGAATGTGACCCCGGCTTCATTGACCTGGTCGTGGCGGCCGCCAAGGGGGATAATGCGTGACCACGAGATAGAGAAGCGGTAGACGTCGAGGCCCAGCGATTCCATTAGCTCAACATCTTTTGGCATACGATTGTAGTGGTCACATGCGACGTCGCCATTGTCACCACTGGTGCGTGAGGGAACGACATGGGAAAACATGTCCCAGATAGAGGGACCTTTTCCGTCCTGGAAAGCGCCACCCTCGATCTGGTATGCTGCTGTAGCAGCACCCCAAACGAAGTCTCGTGGGAGTGGCAGATCTTTACTAGGCTTTTGTGCTGTCGTTAACGTGTTATCAGAGGGAGCCTCGACAACGTCGCTTCGTTCGAACATGCTGAGCGAACCTTCAGTTAATGAACCCAAATGAGTGAATATAGACTATCTCCAGCACAAATATAGGAGGTAAGAAATTAAAAACGAACTGGGGTGTAGCATCTCTCAAATATTAGACATCAGGCTCTAGATCCTAGTAGGGAATATTTTGTAGACCTAGGATGGATCCATAACTAAGGGTAGCGGGGCTGGGATCGGGGACAGAGTTGGTCGCTAGGCCGGAAAACAAGACAAAAAGGCAGGAGGAAAGGGTCTGCTCGGGTTAATAGTGAGCGAATTTGTCAAGAAACGGGATGCAAGAGACGATGTGATGTGATGTGGTTGTAGTTATGGAATCAAAGAACAGAACTGCCAGTCATTCAACCATCTGATACTACCATTAACGGGACGGATAAACGTCGGGGGTAAGTAAGTTTATACAGTTCTACCGCGGATAAATGTGGCGCTTTCGCTCCACTATCGCTGCGCTATGACTACAAACTAACAAAGCTATCTATAGCTATGGATAGCTTTAGACTCTAGGTAAAAGGCGTCAGCTGTTTACAAATTAATCCGTAAGTTTAATAACAGTTCTTAATATGGACGATCAGAGTTACGATGACTGCTCTGCTCGCCGGAATTGTGGTCTAATTTTCTGTTTAGAATTAGTGAGAAGTGTGAGAAGCCCTGATATTATTCTATACAGTACTTACTTTACTCTCCCTGCCTGGTCTGTTTCTCTCTAGCAGTTAAGGCCAATCTCACTCTGGCTTTGCCACAGAACCCCACTGGTATCATGGCATCGATCATTGACCTTCGTTTTGAGCACTACCACCCCGGGCCTACACAGCTGCTGGTAACTCAGGACACCGCGCCGCGCCTGTCGTGGACATTCCAGAACGCTTCCAGTGCCTTTTCTCCGCAAAGCTACGACATTGAAGTCTCGAAAGAGAGCTCTGGCTCAACCCTCGAGCTCCTCTGCACAGTGCGGCGCGCGTCCTCACTATCTCATCTTGTTCCATGGCCGCTTGATCGACATCTCCGCGCGCGAGAGAAGATCTCAGTGCGAGTTCGGGTATGGGATTCGGCAGGACAAGACACGCCCTGGAGCGCACCAGCCCGCCTCGAGATTGGCCTTCTCAGCCATGCAGACTGGCAATGTGAGCGCATCGCGGCGCCATGGGCATCTGACACCACGGTATCGGACCCGGAACAGTTGTTTCGCCAGGAATTTTCCCTGCCGGCGGCTAGCATAGTGGGTACCATCGATCAGGCGCGGCTCTACATCACTGCGCAAGGAGTCTACGAAGCCGAGATCAACGGCCAGCGTGTAGGCGACATTTTCATGGCGCCTGGCTGGACCGCCTACGATGCTCGCCTCCCCTACCAGACCTATGATGTAACGTCCCTCCTGGCAGGCGGCGTCAACTGTCTAGGCGTGCGTGTTGCGGAGGGATGGTTCTCAGGGCGCATTGGTTTTGAGGGTGGCCATCGAAATATCTGGGGGCCACACACGGCCTTGATGGCTCAGCTGGAGATCCGCTATGTCGATGGCCGAGAGGAACGCATTGTGACCGACGGCTCATGGCAGGTGACGCGAGGACCAATTCGCCTGGCCGAAATCTACGATGGAGAGAAGTATGATGCTACGCTCGAGGTTCCGGGCTGGTCGTCACCAGCGGCTTCCGCGTCAATAACAAGCAGTCTGGAAAACAGTGCTGAAATAAGCGTAGTCGCCCGCTGGGAACCAGTCGTGGTGATGGATTTCCTGCCAGCCACCACTAATCTCACAACGGGCTTTACCGAGCCGGTGAGGCGTATTGAGGAGGTCAATCCGGTGCAACGCATCACCACGCCAGCTGGCAAAACCGTCCTTGACTTCGGTCAGAATCTCGTCGGCTATGTTCGTCTAAAGAATATTATAGGACCGCGCGGCCACCAAATCACCCTCTCGCACGTCGAAGTACTAGAGGACGGGGAGATCGCAACGCGACCTCTGCGCGTCTGCAAGGCTATCGATGTCTACACACTTAAGGGTGATGCAAGCGGCGAACATTACGAACCTCGGTTCACTTTCCACGGTTTCCGCTATGTGCAGGTGGACGGGTGGGATGATACAGTCGACCTGAGCGCCTCCATTAAAGCCGTTGTCTGTCACACGGACATGAGGAGCGCCGGCACCTTCGATTGCTCTGATCCCTTGCTTAACAAGTTATACCAAAATATCCGGTGGGGCATGCGTGGTAACTTCCTTTCCGTACCGACCGACTGCCCGCAGCGCGATGAAAGACTGGGCTGGTCTGGCGATCTGGCCTTGTTTGCCCCAGCTGCAACCCTGATCTACGACTGCTTCGGTATGTTGAAGAATTGGCTGGTAGATGTCGAATACGACCAGAAGGTACTAGGCGGCGTCCCAGCAATGGTGACGCCCAACTCAACCATTGTCGACCCGGTTTGGTGTCGACGGAAGCCATGTGCCGTGTGGCATGATGTGACCATATTAGCCCCGTGGGAACTATACAGCGAGACAGGAGATGCGACGATTCTAGCACAGCAGTACTCCAGCATGACGACGTGGATAGACATTGTGCCCCGCTGCAAAAATGGTACAACCCACTTATGGGACCCATCGATATTCCAACTTGGGGTACGCATTTGTGTCTCTTTGCGTCTTGGTGCTACATCTGCCAACTAATGTATTTGAGTAGGACTGGCTTGACCCTGCTGCTCCGGCCGATGCGCCGTGGAAATCAGCAACCGACGCCCAGCTCGTCGCTAATGCCTTTCTTGTCCACAGTCTAGACCTCATGGTTCTTATCTCACGCATTGTCGGCCAAACCGCCGACTGCGCAAAGTTCTCTAGCGACGCTCTCGCTACACGTCAGGACTTCCAGAACGAGTATGTGTCACCCAACGGTCGGCTCATCTCCGACTCTCAAACAGCCTACGCCCTCGCGATCTGCTTCGACCTGCTCACACCTACACAAGCAGTGGTCGCCGGCAATCGTCTCAAGTATCTCGTTCACAAGAACGGATTCAGGATCGGTACCGGATTCGCTGGCACACCATTCTTGTGCGAGGCCCTTGCACGGACGGGCCATACGAATATAGCGTACGCAATGCTCCTCGAAAAGACGTGCCCCTCCTGGCTGTATCCCGTGACAATGGATGCAACAACCATGTGGGAGCGCTGGGACAGCTTACTACCCGACGGGTCAGTGAACCCTGGCGACATGACAAGCTTTAATCACTACGCTTTTGGTGCCGTCGCAACGTTTCTCCACGGGCGTGTTGCAGGGCTTCGGCGCTTGGCGCCTGGATGGACAAAATGCTGCTTTGCGCCTTTGATTGGAGCAGAGTTCGACAGGGCCATCGTGGAACATGTTACGCCTTTCGGCCTTGTTTCGTGCACGTGGGAGACGAAGCAAGATGGCTACGGGATGAATACGATAGAGATGCGGGCTTTGGTGCCATACGGTGTGACCTTAGAGGTTGTAGTGCCGCAAGAGACGGGTGAGAAGACAGAGACCGTAGGAATGGGCGAGTGGGTATTTAAGTCGAGGTTTAGCAGGGACTATGAGTGGCCAATTAAGCCATTGCCACCAAAGTCATAGATCTAGAAAACAATTATAGTATATTCTTAGCATATAGGCAGTACAGAGAGCTGCTGAGGTGCCACTAGATCCTGCGTATTAATAAGTATGTTTTACAACTTTAGCAGCTAAAGTTTAAACTAAAGGCAAAAGATCTATTTACCCTGTTTGCCCCTATAAAGATCTATATGCGCTGTCTCTGAAAAAAAGTTCTATCTACCCTACACGTGACCCTAAAGCCCCTAAAACCTTCCTGTCGGTACCTCGCTATCGCCTCATTTCTACCACCTTACTTCGTTCACTACCTCGTTATTAACCCTCTTCCCATGTCCTCTACCATAGGGGGCTGTGGTAGTAAGTCTGCACGTTATAGCTTACTACCATTAAAGCCAACGAGCATCATTAGACACGCTCATTTTTCATCTCCCGTTAGTAAATTTTATGCCATTCGAAGGGGTTAGTTAGCCTGCCACGAGATGCGGGAAATAGTATAGCAGTTTGTGAAATGCAAGGATAAAAGCGGTTAACATGTGGCAAGATTCCCATGGAGCAACGCCTGCCATAGGTTGCTCTTTTCGACAGAGGCAATTGCCATAGGTCTGGCATATATGCCTCTGCCACCCTCTTACTTATTCATAGAGGTAGGTGCGTGAGTGTAGTTGTAGTGTGCTAGAGAGCGTTGGTGGTCCATCTCTATAGTGGTTTAGGGATTTAACATTTTGTTATAAAAATCATTAGTTTAAGGGCAAAAGATCTATTTACCATGTTTGCTTCCTTAAAAGATTTATCTACCATGTGCGTGCTAACTATTAATAGATATTCTCTACTAATTAGGCTTACCGCCGCTATCCTTACTATTTAATACAGAATCCTATCTATGCCCTTTGTAACACTAACGTAAGTCGTGGCGTAACGGGTGTAATGGCGTAACGGGTGTAGTGGGGTTGGAACCACCCCATCAAACCTACCACCCTATTAACTATTACTACTACTACTATGCTAGAATGGTCCGTCAGAAGAGTATAAAGGCTCAAGAACGCGAAATTCAAATACAAAAGGCTATATTAGCTATTAAATCAAATCAATATAAATCAATATATGCTGCTGCAAAAGCTCTAGGGCTACCAGCAGAGACCCTCCGATGTCGTGTAAATGGAAGGCATACACGAGTAGAAGCACGCCAATAGCAGCAGCTCCTATCAAAAAATCAAGAGCAGACCCTCCTAAAGTGGATTAAAGAGCTTACTATAAGTGGCTACGCTCCTAGCCATCGGATATTACAGGAGGTTGCAGATGAAGTCCGGTCAAATAAGTGTTGCGTTTTTCAGCCTCAACACCTACAAACTCAACAACTACAAACTCAACAACTACAAACTTAACAAGAACACATTCCTAACTTACCTCTTAGGCAAGATTGGGTTCCACGATTCATTCAAAGGCATCCTAACTTACGTGTTAAGTTAGGACGTAGAGTTAAGGCACAAAGGATGAATGGGGTCACAAAGCAGGTGTTAAGGGGGTGGTTTGACGCGTACAAGAGCCTTATAACAGAGCTAAAAATCGAAAACTACAACACCTACAATATAGATGAAACTGGATTTTCAATTGGAACTATGCAATCTACACGAATTATAGTCGATTCTACACTTCGTACGCGTTTTCAAGCTCATCCTAGCTAACAGGAATAGGTGTCTGCTGTTAAATGCATTTGCATGGACAGAACAGCTATTAACCCCCTTATTATTTTTAAAGGACAGAACATACTACAGAGCTAGATTCCAAAGGAGGTTATACAAAAATGGCACTTCTCTACAAATACAAAAGGATAGACAAGCAATCTTCATGGATTAGAGTAGCTAAAACGCGTTTTTGAGCCCTCTACAAGAGCAAAAGCAACACAAAATGGACGACTACAGCAACGGCTCCTAATTTGCGATGGCCATAATAGCCATATAAGTGGAAGCTTTATATCACACTGCATTCAAAATCGAATATTGCTCCTTATACTACCTCCTCATACATCTCATGTTCTACAGCCACTTGATATTTCAATTTTTAGGCCCTTAAAGCAACACCTTATAACTGCTCTCTCGCACCTAAATGAGGCGCAACTCCTACGTATACAGAAAGCAGAGTAGCTCAAAGTATATATAAAAGCAAGAGAATTAGCATTTTCTAACTTAAATATTACTTCTGCATAGAGAGGAAGTAGGCTATAGCCATTCTAGCCACAAACAGTAATTTGAGCAGCTACAATTCCTACTATAGACGTAGTAGTATTAGAACGGCTACATACTCCTATAGAGTATGATATTTTTAAGAA